CCAGAAACCACGTACAACATGCGAGTGTCGGCAAGAGCTGAAGTTGACGGTCCACCGTGTGATCCGATTGTTTTCATGACTGGAGATGGAGGTGATTCTTTTAAACAAGCTGAACTCACAAGTGTTTTAGTGATCGCTCCTGAAAAACCGGAGTTGAATGTAAAAGCTGATGACAACACGATTCGAGTGCCAGCTGGAACTGATTACACAGTAGAATGCTCGAGTCAGGGACATCCACCACCAGAAATGCGTTGGGTTAATGAAAATGGAGAAGTTGGTATTTTGAGAGAATTCAAAAACCGATTAAAACGATAAAATAACAATTTTAGATTCTTTCTGAGTCGGGAAAACTTCAACTACAAGATATTCGTGAAAGCATTACGGTCAGATGTGTGGCAGAAAATCGCGGAGGAACTGCTGAGACGGATTTCACCGTTTTTGTTGCAGGTGAGAAAGAGGAAATTAACTTAACTTAAAGCAACCAAAAATAGGTCCTGGTTCGGCGCCGGAAAACGTGCAGCTGTCAGCGGATAGACCGAAAACTCTCACCGTCACTTTTGACCCACCATTGATTACAAATGGAAATCTCACCAAATACATTGTTTACTATAAACCTCTAGCTGATCAAGTAAGCAAGCTGAATTCGATTTACCACAAATCGTAACCAGAATCCCATTCATCAAATCGGTCAACTCATTGACGAGCCGATTGTCAGCTGGCCTAATCAACACTACGATAAGCCCGATTTGAACACTGGAACTCAGGTAAAGTTTTTAGTTTAAAGAGAAAACTTATAGTTTTATGATATTTAGACCGTACAAGTGACACATTTCATTGAGCCGGATACAGCATACGCGGTGGTTGTTCAAGCTGTCAACAATGATGGCCCAGGACCCTATTCAAATCAATACACTTTGCGTTCAATGAGTAAAGGTTGGTTGATCGTGGTTTTGTAGGTAAAATTGTCACAGAGCACAACCTTTAAATCTCTATTTTAGCCCGAATGGAGCCACCAGTGGATCTTGTTGTGAACCCGAGTGGTCAACGCTCCGCTAGTATTCAATGGAAGGTGAAAAGCATCACTTAAAGCTGTTAACTGGTTAACTTTACAATCCGTTACAATGGTTATTAACTATAAATTGTAACATTGTAAAGTTGGAAGCATTTCTAAATCACAGATGCCTCCACCAAAAGACGGTCAGCGGCCCATCGGATATGAGCTTTTCTATGTGCCTGGCGACAAAAGTGTAGATGCTGATCAACAAGCTTCCGCGGATTGGTTTGTTGGAGGAAAAGCTATCTTAATTGAGAAATTTTAGGTTCAAAATCTCCGTCGATGATCCCGACAAATTGGTGCATCAGATCAACAACTTGTTGACCCCGGATACGGATTATGTGTTCAAAGTGAGCCCATTTCCAATAAGTGAATTGCAAAGCTTTCTTTAGATTCGAGCAATTTACGACGATGGACCGAGTGTCTTCTCTCAGCCATGCATCATGAAAACTCTTCCTGATGGTTGGTGCATAAATCCGAAAATAGCTTTGCTTAAACTTAGGCACCGCCCCATATATCACCGTGTCGAATGGTGACAATGGAGTGGAAGGTTTGACGGAAATCGAAGTGCTACCTGGATCGACGATCACTGTCTCTTGCAATGCCTCCGGAAGCCCTCAACCAAAAGTTGAGTGGATCCGCGCCGGGGTTGCTTCGATTGATCCATCAACGGTTTGTTTGGATCAAAACAAATTTCGAAATCTCCACCAAATGAATCTTTTTCTACACTTCAGATTCGAGCTGATGAGATGGGAACCGCTGCTTTCTCGTTGCACGTTGCCAATCTCACTGAAGAGACAACTTTCAATTGTGTGGCTCAAAATTCGCTTGGCAAAGCTAATTGGACGATTTCGGTGAACATGGTTCCTGGTTAGTTTTGTTAAAATCTTACTTATTATTAAGACGCAAAGTTTGTCTGTCTACGTAATATGATTTATGGCTAATTTTACAGGGTGAGAGCAAGAGTTTTCTATGGCAAACATGATTTTAGAACAGAGAAAATTCTAGTCTATAGATGATAATCTATAGAATTTATCCTAGAGCAGAAAAAGCGCGCTCTAAGGGAGTTTAAGAGGGAAAGAGCCGCTTGGTCGGGATTAAAATCAAAATGCACGCAACCTTTTCGCAGAGGAGTCGAAAATTGCAGTCCTCCAATTTTGAACGCGATTCCATCATAATGGTCAGATCCAGGAAGAGGCTCCAAACGCTTCAACTCCATGATGACATCAGGGGAATCGGGCAAGACCAGATCTAAAATAGAAATGAACGGCAGAAGGTAGCAAATGTGTTTAAAATCGAGAGAGAGCATGTAATAAGGAAATTTTGTAGCGAAATGGCCGGGTGGTGATACTTATCAAACACAAATTTGTCATTAGAATAGGTTACATGAAAATTTTAATCGCCTAGTAAAATGTTGACTTCCGAATTATTCAAGAAAAGTGATAAATGATCAAAAAGACGAGAAGTACCAGGATAATTCATGTTAGTGGGCCGATAAACGACAAGAAAACGAACCTTTCTACCAAGATAAACATCTACAACTATAATTTCACAGTTAAAAATGGAACTGCAGTAAATTACATGATGGGTAAAAGACTTCAGAAGCAAAAACACAACACCGCCACCATGTGATTTAGTGAAAGAAGCTCTATCACACCTAATCATATGGTAATGACCCTAGGATCAAGAATAGAGGAGACATCTAGCCATGTCTCGGTAGTAGCAAAAACGATTAAGATTTTGCATGAGTCATTTTCTGGAAAGTAGCTAAGCGACTTTTGCTATTAGAGACTACAGGGTGTCCCAAAAAATCCACTTCGGGTCAAATTTTAAAATATTTTTGGTGGCTTAAGGTTAAATTGTGCGAAAATGATTTTTTTGGGATAGGAAAATTTTGATGTTTTTTCATGATTTTTGCCATATCCATGACTCCCTATGCATGAAATTTCTGAGCCACCATGGTCACCACCACCATGAGACTCTTGCCATAAAATTAAAACTTTGTACTGGCATCGTGGCACATAATAAACACTATTAGGCTACCTACAAATCTAAACCATACACTTTATTGATCAGCGTTTCCTTGGAAAAACGGGACACTTCTTTAAAAAAAGGCGAGTTGAAAATCCCTTATGTATGACAGATCATATAATGTAGACGAATGAAGTGTTTGGCTAAAAATCTCAGTTTATATATTAACTCTAATATGACACCACGATGCCAGTACAAAGTTTTAATTAGCGGCGAGATCAAAGGGCACTTAGGGACACTTCAGAAATGAGATTCAAAGTTTATTTTTTCATATTATACGTAAAAAACGAGGTTTTTCCATGACACTAAAAGATTTTGAAAATCTTGTTTATCTTATAAGCGGTGAAGTCGGTAAACTTCAATGGGAGGAAACCGAAACTCAAAACTTTTTTTTTTGGGGGGGGGGGCGGTGCATGTGAAAATGTACTTCTCAAGCTCATTTTATAAATGATTATAATTATTATAAATGTGAATGGTCATGCTAAAGCGAATTACTTTTTAGGACTCAAACCAAACTGGCAAGATGACTTTGTTGTCGTAAAGATCCAGAATGGAGTTCCAGTTTTGAAGTTCACTGATGTGCTTCCAGCTTATTTGAGAGCTCCAGTATGAGGAAACTAATTGCAAGTTATTTACAGTATCATTTTCAGAATGACTGGAAAATCTTTTACACCGATGACCCAGCAAAATCGCGAGATGAATGGAATGTGGTCGATGCTGATGGACGAGCGCTTACCATCGTGCAGGTATAGTTGATGAAACAGAAGCACATGAACTGAGCTTTTTGTCAAATATAATCTAAACTTATTAGGCACCAGACATGGAGCCGGGAACGTATTATTATGTGATCGTGGCTAATCCAGGTCAAGGCATTGAAACCCCAACAATTCTGGTTCAAACTCCGAGTAGGTGACTAAAAACAGCAATTTTCATTGCACTTTTCGATTTCCAGAACCACCACATGATCTCCGAGTTGGCTCGAATATAAACGATGAAATTGTGCTCGACTTCAAGTCGGCTATCGCCTCGCAACCAATAAAGGTTTTCATAAAAGCTCTCAAGAGACATGAAGCACTTTCTTTGCGTTGGTCAGTGTTCAAAAGTTTGATGTTTTTTTTGGCAAATCATTGACCCGAGAACAGAATTGTTTCTTGTCTCTACTACGCTTTTATTTGTATTTTTTTCATCTTAGGGGTACTCGATCCGCTATTGGCCAGTGGGGAACGCCACGGGACCTCACCGAATACAAACGAGTCCCGATGCCACTTCGGTCATTCTGCATCCTATTCAGCGGGACATTGATTACAGCATTGTGGTGGGTCTTGCATGGAATCTTAATTCATACATGATCATCCTAACTTTGCTTTCTACACAAGAACTATTTAGGTGGTGGCGGAGTTCTATGAAGATGATGAGCTTCCAAGTGACATAGTTATCGTGCACACCCCACCTGGAGGTAGTCTTTCCAAAGAGTCCCCAAAAATTCCACAAATTTCAGAAGTGAAGTGTAACTGCGCCCACGCCTGCCGAATCATCGAAAATGCGGATAATTCTCAGAGCACCGAGTGCTACTGCAATCCAGGCTTCGAGCTACAACCAAATGGCTCATGTCTGGCCATCGACGAAACGAAACTTGTGCCAAAAGTTATTCAGGTTCGTTCCAAAAACGTAATATGTAATATGTAGACCAATAAAATGGCCTTCCACAAATGAATATTGTACAAAGATCAAAATAAAATTCAAAGCAAATAATTTCAGGTGGCGCCAACCTCGCTAGTTGATGGACAAGCACCAGTTGAAGTTGCCTCGACCGCTAAAGCTTTTGTGATTGTTGCAACCGATGCAAGCGGAAATCAAATACCGCCTGTCGTCTCCTCATTGGGAAAACCTTTATCTATTGGGAAAAACGGTGAATACCTGGATGCAAACGGAAAACCCATTGCCCGAAACAATGCTGGAAGGCCTATTGACCCCGCAGGAAACGAGCTGCCAAAAAATGAGAAAGGAGAACTTGTCTACCCATTCGTTGATGACGAGGGAGCCGTTCTCGTCACACCACCAGTGTTTACAGTTGTAGATTCCAATCAAAATGAGTTACAAAGAGATGATAAAGGGTGGATAATTGATACCGAAGGAAATCGTTTTGAGACAGATGAATGGGGCAGACCAATTGAAACCGAAAAGACTCAAGTGAAAACTGACGAAGACGGAAAGATTGTAGTCTCAGTCAATGAAGAACCAGTGATTATCGAAGTCCCATCAGAAGAACCTGCCGAAACAATGCCACCTTTGATAATTATTGATGGTGATCCAGTTACAGAAGAAGACGGGCTATTTTGGGGACCCGACGGTGAAAGAATCGACACCAACGATGATGGGGTTCCAGTTGATCAAGAGGGCAAGCCTCTGGAAAAAAATCAACAAGGACAGTTTGTTATCAAAAAAACCACGACAACTACTCAGATGCCTCTCCAGATTATCTTTGAAAATGGAGAACCTTTGCCAACTGATGAAATGGGAAACTTTCTCACCCAAGAAGGAGAAATATTTCCATCCGATGAAGAACGCCGTCCTATTGACATCGAGGGTGCTGTCTTACCAACAAACGGTGAGGGCCAATACGTGCTAGTTGAAAAGACAAGGTACACAACAACTGCTCAATATCCATACCAGATCGTCAACCAGCATGGATCTACTTTGCCTGTTAATCAAGATGGTCACTTTGAAGACAACAATGGCCAAATTATTGAGATCAATGCAGATGGATTGCCAATAGACATTGAAAACAACATTTTACCGACCGACAACGTTGGCAGCTTTATCTGGTATGAAAGACCTAAACTAGTTGATACAACTCAAGAAACTCAAGGGCCGAAGCCAACCGATGAGCACGGCAATCAAATCACTCCCGTGCACCGTCCTGATGGGCAGTTGCTGCCTACCGACTCGACTGGACATCATGTATCCGACAGCGGCGAGGTGATCACACAAAATGATCAAGGCGAGCCAATTGGAACAGATGGTGAGGTTCTGCCAACTGATGCCACCGGAAAGTACATCTACATTGAGCCGAGCACCGAGGAGCCAACCGAGGAGCCAACACCACTTACGATCATTGTCGGCCCTGATGGAACACCGCTACCCACTGATGCAAGTGGAGCGACCGTTGATGCTCAGGGAGAGCCAATTCCAACAAATCTTCAGGGACAACCGGTCGATGTCGAGGGCCAAGTGCTTTCCACCGATGATAGTGGTCGATTCGTCTATATACCAACTGCTGAGCCCACCACTACTACTGAAGCCGCACCAACCGAGCCACCAACGCCAACTGATCAATATGGAAACTCGATCGCTCCTGTGCACCGCCCCGATGGACAGTTGCTGCCCACCGACTCCACTGGACACCATGTAGCTGACAACGGCGAAGTGGTCACGCAAAACGACCAAGGCGAGCCAATTGGAGCCGATGGTGAAGTTCTGCCAACTGATGCCACCGGAAAGTACATCTACATTGAGCCGAGCACCGAGGAGCCAACACCAATCATCGTTGTTGTGGGTCCTGATGGAACACCACTGCCTACTGATGCAAGCGGAAGACACGTTGGACCAGACGGTGAACCCGTGCCAACCAACGCCGATGGATTGCCCGTTGATCCCAGTGGTGAACTTCTGCCGACTGACAGCGAGGGACGACATGTCTTCATTGGAACTGCCGAACCCGAAGTGACAAGCAAGGTGTTGCCCACCGATGAGACGGGTAGAACGCGAATCCCAGTTGTTTGGCCTGATGGAACGCCACTCGCTACGGATTCCACTGGCGAATACATCCTTGACGACGGCACTCCAATTTCACGTGACGACGAGGGCAAGCCTATTGGATTTGATGGAGAGGTTCTGCCAACCGACAACTCCGGTCAATGGGTGCTTGTTACCCCAGAACCAGAACCCGAAACCACGACAGCTACGAAACAAATCATTGTCGTTGTGGGACCAGACCAGACTCCATTGCCGACGGATGCATCAGGAGCTCCGCTTGATCCAGAGGGACGACCATTGGTCACCGATGACGAAGGGCGCCCGCTTTCTCCAGCTGGCGAGGTGCTGCCAACTGATGGCGAGGGGCGCTATGTGTTTGTGCCCACTGAGCCAACAGCTCTGCCAACGCATGAACTGCCGACTGAAAGAACGGCGATCGTTCGTGAAGATGATGGTTCCCTCTTGCCAACAATCGAAAGCGGTCAATTCATCGCCGATGACGGCTCGATCATTAAGGAAAACGATGAAGGCAAACCCATTGGCCCCGATGATCAAGTTCTAGCCATAAACGAACGTGGCGAGTACGTATGGCCCACCACCAAGCCGGATATCGTGCTGCCAGACACATCAACCACAACAGTTATTCAAGTGGTCGGACCCGATGGAACACCTCTGCCCACAGATTCAAGTGGAGCCGTGGTTGATGCGGAAGGAGAAACTATTCCAACAAACGTTGCCGGACAACCAGTCGATGCCGAGGGGCAAGTGCTTCCCACCGATGATAGTGGTCGATTTGTCTACATACCAATTGCTGAGCCCACGACAACTCAAGAAACGAAGCCAACCGATGAGCACGGCAATCAAATCACTCCCGTGCACCGTCCTGATGGACAGTTGCTGCCTACCGACTCGACTGGACATCATGTATCCGACAGCGGCGAGGTGATCACACAAAATGATCAAGGCGAGCCAATTGGAACAGATGGTGAGGTTCTGCCAACTGATGCCACCGGAAAGTACATCTACATTGAGCCGAGCACCGAGGAGCCAACCGAGGAGCCAACACCACTTACGATCATTGTCGGCCCTGATGGAACACCGCTACCCACTGATGCAAGTGGAGCGACCGTTGATGCTCAGGGAGAGCCAATTCCAACAAATCTTCAGGGACAACCGGTCGATGTCGAGGGCCAAGTGCTTTCCACCGATGATAGTGGTCGATTCGTCTATATACCAACTGCTGAGCCCACCACTACTACTGAAGCCGCACCAACCGAGCCACCAACGCCAACTGATCAATATGGAAACTCGATCGCTCCTGTGCACCGCCCCGATGGACAGTTGCTGCCCACCGACTCCACTGGACACCATGTAGCTGACAACGGCGAAGTGGTCACGCAAAACGACCAAGGCGAGCCAATTGGAGCCGATGGTGAAGTTCTGCCAACTGATGCCACCGGAAAGTACATCTACATTGAGCCGAGCACCGAGGAGCCAACACCAATCATCGTTGTTGTGGGTCCTGATGGAACACCACTGCCTACTGATGCAAGCGGAAGACACGTTGGACCAGACGGTGAACCCGTGCCAACCAACGCCGATGGATTGCCCGTTGATCCCAGTGGTGAACTTCTGCCGACTGACAGCGAGGGACGACATGTCTTCATTGGAACTGCCGAACCCGAAGTGACAAGCAAGGTGTTGCCCACCGATGAGACGGGTAGAACGCGAATCCCAGTTGTTTGGCCTGATGGAACGCCACTCGCTACGGATTCCACTGGCGAATACATCCTTGACGACGGCACTCCAATTTCACGTGACGACGAGGGCAAGCCTATTGGATTTGATGGAGAGGTTCTGCCAACCGACAACTCCGGTCAATGGGTGCTTGTTACCCCAGAACCAGAACCCGAAACCACGACAGCTACGAAACAAATCATTGTCGTTGTGGGACCAGACCAGACTCCATTGCCGACGGATGCATCAGGAGCTCCGCTTGATCCAGAGGGACGACCATTGGTCACCGATGACGAAGGGCGCCCGCTTTCTCCAGCTGGCGAGGTGCTGCCAACTGATGGCGAGGGGCGCTATGTGTTTGTGCCCACTGAGCCAACAGCTCTGCCAACGCATGAACTGCCGACTGAAAGAACGGCGATCGTTCGTGAAGATGATGGTTCCCTCTTGCCAACAATCGAAAGCGGTCAATTCATCGCCGATGACGGCTCGATCATTAAGGAAAACGATGAAGGCAAACCCATTGGCCCCGATGATCAAGTTCTAGCCATAAACGAACGTGGCGAGTACGTATGGCCCACCACCAAGCCGGATATCGTGCTGCCAGACACATCAACCACAACAGTTATTCAAGTGGTCGGACCCGATGGAACACCTCTGCCCACAGATTCAAGTGGAGCCGTGGTTGATGCGGAAGGAGAAACTATTCCAACAAACGTTGCCGGACAACCAGTCGATGCCGAGGGGCAAGTGCTTCCCACCGATGATAGTGGTCGATTTGTCTACATACCAATTGCTGAGCCCACGACAACTCAAGAAACGAAGCCAACCGATGAGCACGGCAATCAAATCACTCCCGTGCACCGTCCTGATGGACAGTTGCTGCCTACCGACTCGACTGGACATCATGTATCCGACAGCGGCGAGGTGATCACACAAAATGATCAAGGCGAGCCAATTGGAACAGATGGTGAGGTTCTGCCAACTGATGCCACCGGAAAGTACATCTACATTGAGCCGAGCACCGAGGAGCCAACCGAGGAGCCAACACCACTTACGATCATTGTCGGCCCTGATGGAACACCGCTACCCACTGATGCAAGTGGAGCGACCGTTGATGCTCAGGGAGAGCCAATTCCAACAAATCTTCAGGGACAACCGGTCGATGTCGAGGGCCAAGTGCTTTCCACCGATGATAGTGGTCGATTCGTCTATATACCAACTGCTGAGCCCACCACTACTACTGAAGCCGCACCAACCGAGCCACCAACGCCAACTGATCAATATGGAAACTCGATCGCTCCTGTGCACCGCCCCGATGGACAGTTGCTGCCCACCGACTCCACTGGACACCATGTAGCTGACAACGGCGAAGTGGTCACGCAAAACGACCAAGGCGAGCCAATTGGAGCCGATGGTGAAGTTCTGCCAACTGATGCCACCGGAAAGTACATCTACATTGAGCCGAGCACCGAGGAGCCAACACCAATCATCGTTGTTGTGGGTCCTGATGGAACACCACTGCCTACTGATGCAAGCGGAAGACACGTTGGACCAGACGGTGAACCCGTGCCAACCAACGCCGATGGATTGCCCGTTGATCCCAGTGGTGAACTTCTGCCGACTGACAGCGAGGGACGACATGTCTTCATTGGAACTGCCGAACCCGAAGTGACAAGCAAGGTGTTGCCCACCGATGAGACGGGTAGAACGCGAATCCCAGTTGTTTGGCCTGATGGAACGCCACTCGCTACGGATTCCACTGGCGAATACATCCTTGACGACGGCACTCCAATTTCACGTGACGACGAGGGCAAGCCTATTGGATTTGATGGAGAGGTTCTGCCAACCGACAACTCCGGTCAATGGGTGCTTGTTACCCCAGAACCAGAACCCGAAACCACGACAGCTACGAAACAAATCATTGTCGTTGTGGGACCAGACCAGACTCCATTGCCGACGGATGCATCAGGAGCTCCGCTTGATCCAGAGGGACGACCATTGGTCACCGATGACGAAGGGCGCCCGCTTTCTCCAGCTGGCGAGGTGCTGCCAACTGATGGCGAGGGGCGCTATGTGTTTGTGCCCACTGAGCCAACAGCTCTGCCAACGCATGAACTGCCGACTGAAAGAACGGCGATCGTTCGTGAAGATGATGGTTCCCTCTTGCCAACAATCGAAAGCGGTCAATTCATCGCCGATGACGGCTCGATCATTAAGGAAAACGATGAAGGCAAACCCATTGGCCCCGATGATCAAGTTCTAGCCATAAACGAACGTGGCGAGTACGTATGGCCCACCACCAAGCCGGATATCGTGCTGCCAGACACATCAACCACAACAGTTATTCAAGTGGTCGGACCCGATGGAACACCTCTGCCCACAGATTCAAGTGGAGCCGTGGTTGATGCGGAAGGAGAAACTATTCCAACAAACGTTGCCGGACAACCAGTCGATGCCGAGGGGCAAGTGCTTCCCACCGATGATAGTGGTCGATTTGTCTACATACCAATTGCTGAGCCCACGACAACTCAAGAAACGAAGCCAACCGATGAGCACGGCAATCAAATCACTCCCGTGCACCGTCCTGATGGACAGTTGCTGCCTACCGACTCGACTGGACATCATGTATCCGACAGCGGCGAGGTGATCACACAAAATGATCAAGGCGAGCCAATTGGAACAGATGGTGAGGTTCTGCCAACTGATGCCACCGGAAAGTACATCTACATTGAGCCGAGCACCGAGGAGCCAACCGAGGAGCCAACACCACTTACGATCATTGTCGGCCCTGATGGAACACCGCTACCCACTGATGCAAGTGGAGCGACCGTTGATGCTCAGGGAGAGCCAATTCCAACAAATCTTCAGGGACAACCGGTCGATGTCGAGGGCCAAGTGCTTTCCACCGATGATAGTGGTCGATTCGTCTATATACCAACTGCTGAGCCCACCACTACTACTGAAGCCGCACCAACCGAGCCACCAACGCCAACTGATCAATATGGAAACTCGATCGCTCCTGTGCACCGCCCCGATGGACAGTTGCTGCCCACCGACTCCACTGGACACCATGTAGCTGACAACGGCGAAGTGGTCACGCAAAACGACCAAGGCGAGCCAATTGGAGCCGATGGTGAAGTTCTGCCAACTGATGCCACCGGAAAGTACATCTACATTGAGCCGAGCACCGAGGAGCCAACACCAATCATCGTTGTTGTGGGTCCTGATGGAACACCACTGCCTACTGATGCAAGCGGAAGACACGTTGGACCAGACGGTGAACCCGTGCCAACCAACGCCGATGGATTGCCCGTTGATCCCAGTGGTGAACTTCTGCCGACTGACAGCGAGGGACGACATGTCTTCATTGGAACTGCCGAACCCGAAGTGACAAGCAAGGTGTTGCCCACCGATGAGACGGGTAGAACGCGAATCCCAGTTGTTTGGCCTGATGGAACGCCACTCGCTACGGATTCCACTGGCGAATACATCCTTGACGACGGCACTCCAATTTCACGTGACGACGAGGGCAAGCCTATTGGATTTGATGGAGAGGTTCTGCCAACCGACAACTCCGGTCATTGGTTATATTCAACAGCATCAAGTTATCCTGTGCAAACGACAAAAAATTGCCAAGAATGGACAACAACCGGCAATTTTTTTTTCCCCGCTGACATCAACACCGATGACCCTGACCAAATCACGAAAGCCAAAGAGGGCCATCGAAAAATTTGTCAATTCTCTGGATTTGAGCCCGGACGTAACAAATATCGGGCTTTTGACATATTCAGATTCGATCAGCGTACCTGTCCCGTTGGGCGGCTATCCAGAGCAAGGTCATTTCATGGAGTCTCTGGTCGGAATTCAATCGAGCGCCACTCTTATATCCTTTGCCAATCAAAGCAGTCGTTTCCTCGGCAATTCAACAATTAGAGGAAAACGGACTTCCTACAGCTTCCTCGACGACAAATATTCTTGTCTTGTTATCAACACAAAAACAAAGGTAGGCAAATCAATGGCTTAAAAAGAGCCTTTAAGCTACCAAAATTGATAAATAGCCTTTCTCTTGTCGTGTTGTTGGGGTTTTGGGATGAGTTAAGTTTACGGATAGGGTTTCACCATAAATGTCTTAATTATTGTCAGGATCCAAAAATGGAAAATCCTCTAGGCTCTCGGAAACTTTCAAAAATCTCGTAGCGCGACCAGAGCCGGTCGTCTTACGTATTGAGCGTTAAGTATTGCGTGAATTTCGCATTCTTAAGGAAATAAAACCATTCAAATTTTATTGATTAATATTTAGTGTCGACCAGGCTGGGAACATGGACGTATTGCTAATCGATTTGGAGTCTGATAGCCTTGATATCAAACAACGCATTGTATCAAGCTGTGAAAATGGTGAGATCGGCGTCAGAGAAGGGCAGCCGAAATCCGTAAGCCAAGCTACAACACCAGTCACAATCATCGTCGGACCCGATGGAACACCTCTGCCCACAGATTCAAGTGGAGCCGTGGTTGATGCGGAAGGAGAAACTATTCCAACAAACGTTGCCGGACAACCAGTCGATGCCGAGGGGCAAGTGCTTCCCACCGATGATAGTGGTCGATTTGTCTACATACCAATTGCTGAGCCCACGACAACTCAAGAAACGAAGCCAACCGATGAGCACGGCAATCAAATCACTCCCGTGCACCGTCCTGATGGACAGTTGCTGCCTACCGACTCGACTGGACATCATGTATCCGACAGCGGCGAGGTGATCACACAAAATGATCAAGGCGAGCCAATTGGAACAGATGGTGAGGTTCTGCCAACTGATGCCACCGGAAAGTACATCTACATTGAGCCGAGCACCGAGGAGCCAACCGAGGAGCCAACACCACTTACGATCATTGTCGGCCCTGATGGAACACCGCTACCCACTGATGCAAGTGGAGCGACCGTTGATGCTCAGGGAGAGCCAATTCCAACAAATCTTCAGGGACAACCGGTCGATGTCGAGGGCCAAGTGCTTTCCACCGATGATAGTGGTCGATTCGTCTATATACCAACTGCTGAGCCCACCACTACTACTGAAGCCGCACCAACCGAGCCACCAACGCCAACTGATCAATATGGAAACTCGATCGCTCCTGTGCACCGCCCCGATGGACAGTTGCTGCCCACCGACTCCACTGGACACCATGTAGCTGACAACGGCGAAGTGGTCACGCAAAACGACCAAGGCGAGCCAATTGGAGCCGATGGTGAAGTTCTGCCAACTGATGCCACCGGAAAGTACATCTACATTGAGCCGAGCACCGAGGAGCCAACACCAATCATCGTTGTTGTGGGTCCTGATGGAACACCACTGCCTACTGATGCAAGCGGAAGACACGTTGGACCAGACGGTGAACCCGTGCCAACCAACGCCGATGGATTGCCCGTTGATCCCAGTGGTGAACTTCTGCCGACTGACAGCGAGGGACGACATGTCTTCATTGGAACTGCCGAACCCGAAGTGACAAGCAAGGTGTTGCCCACCGATGAGACGGGTAGAACGCGAATCCCAGTTGTTTGGCCTGATGGAACGCCACTCGCTACGGATTCCACTGGCGAATACATCCTTGACGACGGCACTCCAATTTCACGTGACGACGAGGGCAAGCCTATTGGATTTGATGGAGAGGTTCTGCCAACCGACAACTCCGGTCAATGGGTGCTTGTTACCCCAGAACCAGAACCCGAAACCACGACAGCTACGAAACAAATCATTGTCGTTGTGGGACCAGACCAGACTCCATTGCCGACGGATGCATCAGGAGCTCCGCTTGATCCAGAGGGACGACCATTGGTCACCGATGACGAAGGGCGCCCGCTTTCTCCAGCTGGCGAGGTGCTGCCAACTGATGGCGAGGGGCGCTATGTGTTTGTGCCCACTGAGCCAACAGCTCTGCCAACGCATGAACTGCCGACTGAAAGAACGGCGATCGTTCGTGAAGATGATGGTTCCCTCTTGCCAACAATCGAAAGCGGTCAATTCATCGCCGATGACGGCTCGATCATTAAGGAAAACGATGAAGGCAAACCCATTGGCCCCGATGATCAAGTTCTAGCCATAAACGAACGTGGCGAGTACGTATGGCCCACCACCAAGCCGGATATCGTGCTGCCAGACACATCAACCACAACAGTTATTCAAGTGGTCGGACCCGATGGAACACCTCTGCCCACAGATTCAAGTGGAGCCGTGGTTGATGCGGAAGGAGAAACTATTCCAACAAACGTTGCCGGACAACCAGTCGATGCCGAGGGGCAAGTGCTTCCCACCGATGATAGTGGTCGATTTGTCTACATACCAATTGCTGAGCCCACGACAACTCAAGAAACGAAGCCAACCGATGAGCACGGCAATCAAATCACTCCCGTGCACCGTCCTGATGGACAGTTGCTGCCTACCGACTCGACTGGACATCATGTATCCGACAGCGGCGAGGTGATCACACAAAATGATCAAGGCGAGCCAATTGGAACAGATGGTGAGGTTCTGCCAACTGATGCCACCGGAAAGTACATCTACATTGAGCCGAGCACCGAGGAGCCAACCGAGGAGCCAACACCACTTACGATCATTGTCGGCCCTGATGGAACACCGCTACCCACTGATGCAAGTGGAGCGACCGTTGATGCTCAGGGAGAGCCAATTCCAACAAATCTTCAGGGACAACCGGTCGATGTCGAGGGCCAAGTGCTTTCCACCGATGATAGTGGTCGATTCGTCTATATACCAACTGCTGAGCCCACCACTACTACTGAAGCCGCACCAACCGAGCCACCAACGCCAACTGATCAATATGGAAACTCGATCGCTCCTGTGCACCGCCCCGATGGACAGTTGCTGCCCACCGACTCCACTGGACACCATGTAGCTGACAACGGCGAAGTGGTCACGCAAAACGACCAAGGCGAGCCAATTGGAGCCGATGGTGAAGTTCTGCCAACTGATGCCACCGGAAAGTACATCTACATTGAGCCGAGCACCGAGGAGCCAACACCAATCATCGTTGTTGTGGGTCCTGATGGAACACCACTGCCTACTGATGCAAGCGGAAGACACGTTGGACCAGACGGTGAACCCGTGCCAACCAACGCCGATGGATTGCCCGTTGATCCCAGTGGTGAACTTCTGCCGACTGACAGCGAGGGACGACATGTCTTCATTGGAACTGCCGAACCCGAAGTGACAAGCAAGGTGTTGCCCACCGATGAGACGGGTAGAACGCGAATCCCAGTTGTTTGGCCTGATGGAACGCCACTCGCTACGGATTCCACTGGCGAATACATCCTTGACGACGGCACTCCAATTTCACGTGACGACGAGGGCAAGCCTATTGGATTTGATGGAGAGGTTCTGCCAACCGACAACTCCGGTCAATGGGTGCTTGTTACCCCAGAACCAGAACCCGAAACCACGACAGCTACGAAACAAATCATTGTCGTTGTGGGACCAGACCAGACTCCATTGCCGACGGATGCATCAGGAGCTCCGCTTGATCCAGAGGGACGACCATTGGTCACCGATGACGAAGGGCGCCCGCTTTCTCCAGCTGGCGAGGTGCTGCCAACTGATGGCGAGGGGCGCTATGTGTTTGTGCCCACTGAGCCAACAGCTCTGCCAACGCATGAACTGCCGACTGAAAGAACGGCGATCGTTCGTGAAGATGATGGTTCCCTCTTGCCAACAATCGAAAGCGGTCAATTCATCGCCGATGACGGCTCGATCATTAAGGGAAAACGATGAAGGCAAACCCATTGGCCCCGATGATCAAGTTCTAGCCATAAACGAACGTGGCGAGTACGTATGGCCCACCACCAAGCCGGATATCGTGCTGCCAGACACATCAACCACAACAGTTATTCAAGTGGTCGGACCCGATGGAACACCTCTGCCCACAGATTCAAGTGGAGCCGTGGTTGATGCGGAAGGAGAAACTATTCCAACAAACGTTGCCGGACAACCAGTCGATGCCGAGGGGCAAGTGCTTCCCACCGATGATAGTGGTCGATTTGTCTACATACCAATTGCTGAGCCCACGACAACTCAAGAAACGAAGCCAACCGATGAGCACGGCAATCAAATCACTCCCGTGCACCGTCCTGATGGACAGTTGCTGCCTACCGACTCGACTGGACATCATGTATCCGACAGCGGCGAGGTGATCACACAAAATGATCAAGGCGAGCCAATTGGAACAGATGGTGAGGTTCTGCCAACTGATGCCACCGGAAAGTACATCTACATTGAGCCGAGCACCGAGGAGCCAACCGAGGAGCCAACACCACTTACGATCATTGTCGGCCCTGATGGAACACCGCTACCCACTGATGCAAGTGGAGCGACCGTTGATGCTCAGGGAGAGCCAATTCCAACAAATCTTCAGGGACAACCGGTCGATGTCGAGGGCCAAGTGCTTTCCACCGATGATAGTGGTCGATTCGTCTATATACCAACTGCTGAGCCCACCACTACTACTGAAGCCGCACCAACCGAGCCACCAACGCCAACTGATCAATATGGAAACTCGATCGCTCCTGTGCACCGCCCCGATGGACAGTTGCTGCCCACCGACTCCACTGGACACCATGTAGCTGACAACGGCGAAGTGGTCACGCAAAACGACCAAGGCGAGCCAATTGGAGCCGATGGTGAAGTTCTGCCAACTGATGCCACCGGAAAGTACATCTACATTGAGCCGAGCACCGAGGAGCCAACACCAATCATCGTTGTTGTGGGTCCTGATGGAACACCACTGCCTACTGATGCAAGCGGAAGACACGTTGGACCAGACGGTGAACCCGTGCCAACCAACGCCGATGGATTGCCCGTTGATCCCAGTGGTGAACTTCTGCCGACTGACAGCGAGGGACGACATGTCTTCATTGGAACTGCCGAACCCGAAGTGACAAGCAAGGTGTTGCCCACCGATGAGACGGGTAGAACGCGAATCCCAGTTGTTTGGCCTGATGGAACGCCACTCGCTACGGATTCCACTGGCGAATACATCCTTGACGACGGCACTCCAATTTCACGTGACGACGAGGGCAAGCCTATTGGATTTGATGGAGAGGTTCTGCCAACCGACAACTCCGGTCAATGGGTGCTTGTTACCCCAGAACCAGAACCCGAAACCACGACAGCTACGAAACAAATCATTGTCGTTGTGGGACCAGACCAGACTCCATTGCCGACGGATGCATCAGGAGCTCCGCTTGATCCAGAGGGACGACCATTGGTCACCGATGACGAAGGGCGCCCGCTTTCTCCAGCTGGCGAGGTGCTGCCAACTGATGGCGAGGGGCGCTATGTGTTTGTGCCCACTGAGCCAACAGCTCTGCCAACGCATGAACTGCCGACTGAAAGAACGGCGATCGTTCGTGAAGATGATGGTTCCCTCTTGCCAACAATCGAAAGCGGTCAATTCATCGCCGATGACGGCTCGATCATTAAGGAAAACGATGAAGGCAAACCCATTGGCCCCGATGATCAAGTTCTAGCCATAAACGAACGTGGCGAGTACGTATGGCCCACCACCAAGCCGGATATCGTGCTGCCAGACACATCAACCACAACAGTTATTCAAGTGGTCGGACCCGATGGAACACCTCTGCCCACAGATTCAAGTGGAGCCGTGGTTGATGCGGAAGGAGAAACTATTCCAACAAACGTTGCCGGACAACCAGTCGATGCCGAGGGGCAAGTGCTTCCCACCGATGATAGTGGTCGATTTGTCTACATACCAATTGCTGAGCCCACGACAACTCAAGAAACGAAGCCAACCGATGAGCACGGCAATCAAATCACTCCCGTGCACCGTCCTGATGGACAGTTGCTGCCTACCGACTCGACTGGACATCATGTATCCGACAGCGGCGAGGTGATCACACAAAATGATCAAGGCGAGCCAATTGGAACAGATGGTGAGGTTCTGCCAACTGATGCCACCGGAAAGTACATCTACATTGAGCCGAGCACCGAGGAGCCAACCGAGGAGCCAACACCACTTACGATCATTGTCGGCCCTGATGGAACACCGCTACCCACTGATGCAAGTGGAGCGACCGTTGATGCTCAGGGAGAGCCAATTCCAACAAATCTTCAGGGACAACCGGTCGATGTCGAGGGCCAAGTGCTTTCCACCGATGATAGTGGTCGATTCGTCTATATACCAACTGCTGAGCCCACCACTACTACTGAAGCCGCACCAACCGAGCCACCAACGCCAACTGATCAATATGGAAACTCGATCGCTCCTGTGCACCGCCCCGATGGACAGTTGCTGCCCACCGACTCCACTGGACACCATGTAGCTGACAACGGCGAAGTGGTCACGCAAAACGACCAAGGCGAGCCAATTGGAGCCGATGGTGAAGTTCTGCCAACTGATGCCACCGGAAAGTACATCTACATTGAGCCGAGCACCGAGGAGCCAACACCAATCATCGTTGTTGTGGGTCCTGATGGAACACCACTGCCTACTGATGCAAGCGGAAGACACGTTGGACCAGACGGTGAACCCGTGCCAACCAACGCCGATGGATTGCCCGTTGATCCCAGTGGTGAACTTCTGCCGACTGACAGCGAGGGACGACATGTCTTCATTGGAACTGCCGAACCCGAAGTGACAAGCAAGGTGTTGCCCACCGATGAGACGGGTAGAACGCGAATCCCAGTTGTTTGGCCTGATGGAACGCCACTCGCTACGGATTCCACTGGCGAATACATCCTTGACGACGGCACTCCAATTTCACGTGACGACGAGGGCAAGCCTATTGGATTTGATGGAGAGGTTCTGCCAACCGACAACTCCGGTCAATGGGTGCTTGTTACCCCAGAACCAGAACCCGAAACCACGACAGCTACGAAACAAATCATTGTCGTTGTGGGACCAGACCAGACTCCATTGCCGACGGATGCATCAGGAGCTCCGCTTGATCCAGAGGGACGACCATTGGTCACCGATGACGAAGGGCGCCCGCTTTCTCCAGCTGGCGAGGTGCTGCCAACTGATGGCGAGGGGCGCTATGTGTTTGTGCCCACTGAGCCAACAGCTCTGCCAACGCATGAACTGCCGACTGAAAGAACGGCGATCGTTCGTGAAGATGATGGTTCCCTCTTGCCAACAATCGAAAGCGGTCAATTCATCGCCGATGACGGCTCGATCATTAAGGAAAACGATGAAGGCAAACCCATTGGCCCCGATGATCAAGTTCTAGCCATAAACGAACGTGGCGAGTACGTATGGCCCACCACCAAGCCGGATATCGTGCTGCCAGACACATCAACCACAACAGTTATTCAAGTGGTCGGACCCGATGGAACACCTCTGCCCACAGATTCAAGTGGAGCCGTGGTTGATGCGGAAGGAGAAACTATTCCAACAAACGTTGCCGGACAACCAGTCGATGCCGAGGGGCAAGTGCTTCCCACCGATGATAGTGGTCGATTTGTCTACATACCAATTGCTGAGCCCACGACAACTCAAGAAACGAAGCCAACCGATGAGCACGGCAATCAAATCACTCCCGTGCACCGTCCTGATGGACAGTTGCTGCCTACCGACTCGACTGGACATCATGTATCCGACAGCGGCGAGGTGATCACACAAAATGATCAAGGCGAGCCAATTGGAACAGATGGTGAGGTTCTGCCAACTGATGCCACCGGAAAGTACATCTACATTGAGCCGAGCACCGAGGAGCCAACCGAGGAGCCAACACCACTTACGATCATTGTCGGCCCTGATGGAACACCGCTACCCACTGATGCAAGTGGAGCGACCGTTGATGCTCAGGGAGAGCCAATTCCAACAAATCTTCAGGGACAACCGGTCGATGTCGAGGGCCAAGTGCTTTCCACCGATGATAGTGGTCGATTCGTCTATATACCAACTGCTGAGCCCACCACTACTACTGAAGCCGCACCAACCGAGCCACCAACGCCAACTGATCAATATGGAAACTCGATCGCTCCTGTGCACCGCCCCGATGGACAGTTGCTGCCCACCGACTCCACTGGACACCATGTAGCTGACAACGGCGAAGTGGTCACGCAAAACGACCAAGGCGAGCCAATTGGAGCCGATGGTGAAGTTCTGCCAACTGATGCCACCGGAAAGTACATCTACATTGAGCCGAGCACCGAGGAGCCAACACCAATCATCGTTGTTGTGGGTCCTGATGGAACACCACTGCCTACTGATGCAAGCGGAAGACACGTTGGACCAGACGGTGAACCCGTGCCAACCAACGCCGATGGATTGCCCGTTGATCCCAGTGGTGAACTTCTGCCGACTGACAGCGAGGGACGACATGTCTTCATTGGAACTGCCGAACCCGAAGTGACAAGCAAGGTGTTGCCCACCGATGAGACGGGTAGAACGCGAATCCCAGTTGTTTGGCCTGATGGAACGCCACTCGCTACGGATTCCACTGGCGAATACATCCTTGACGACGGCACTCCAATTTCACGTGACGACGAGGGCAAGCCTATTGGATTTGATGGAGAGGTTCTGCCAACCGACAACTCCGGTCAATGGGTGCTTGTTACCCCAGAACCAGAACCCGAAACCACGACAGCTACGAAACAAATCATTGTCGTTGTGGGACCAGACCAGACTCCATTGCCGACGGATGCATCAGGAGCTCCGCTTGATCCAGAGGGACGACCATTGGTCACCGATGACGAAGGGCGCCCGCTTTCTCCAGCTGGCGAGGTGCTGCCAACTGATGGCGAGGGGCGCTATGTGTTTGTGCCCACTGAGCCAACAGCTCTGCCAACGCATGAACTGCCGACTGAAAGAACGGCGATCGTTCGTGAAGATGATGGTTCCCTCTTGCCAACAATCGAAAGCGGTCAATTCATCGCCGATGACGGCTCGATCATTAAGGAAAACGATGAAGGCAAACCCATTGGCCCCGATGATCAAGTTCTAGCCATAAACGAACGTGGCGAGTACGTATGGCCCACCACCAAGCCGGATATCGTGCTGCCAGACACATCAACCACAACAGTTATTCAAGTGGTCGGACCCGATGGAACACCTCTGCCCACAGATTCAAGTGGAGCCGTGGTTGATGCGGAAGGAGAAACTATTCCAACAAACGTTGCCGGACAACCAGTCGATGCCGAGGGGCAAGTGCTTCCCACCGATGATAGTGGTCGATTTGTCTACATACCAATTGCTGAGCCCACGACAACTCAAGAAACGAAGCCAACCGATGAGCACGGCAATCAAATCACTCCCGTGCACCGTCCTGATGGACAGTTGCTGCCTACCGACTCGACTGGACATCATGTATCCGACAGCGGCGAGGTGATCACACAAAATGATCAAGGCGAGCCAATTGGAACAGATGGTGAGGTTCTGCCAACTGATGCCACCGGAAAGTACATCTACATTGAGCCGAGCACCGAGGAGCCAACCGAGGAGCCAACACCACTTACGATCATTGTCGGCCCTGATGGAACACCGCTACCCACTGATGCAAGTGGAGCGACCGTTGATGCTCAGGGAGAGCCAATTCCAACAAATCTTCAGGGACAACCGGTCGATGTCGAGGGCCAAGTGCTTTCCACCGATGATAGTGGTCGATTCGTCTATATACCAACTGCTGAGCCCACCACTACTACTGAAGCCGCACCAACCGAGCCACCAACGCCAACTGATCAATATGGAAACTCGATCGCTCCTGTGCACCGCCCCGATGGACAGTTGCTGCCCACCGACTCCACTGGACACCATGTAGCTGACAACGGCGAAGTGGTCACGCAAAACGACCAAGGCGAGCCAATTGGAGCCGATGGTGAAGTTCTGCCAACTGATGCCACCGGAAAGTACATCTACATTGAGCCGAGCACCGAGGAGCCAACACCAATCATCGTTGTTGTGGGTCCTGATGGAACACCACTGCCTACTGATGCAAGCGGAAGACACGTTGGACCAGACGGTGAACCCGTGCCAACCAACGCCGATGGATTGCCCGTTGATCCCAGTGGTGAACTTCTGCCGACTGACAGCGAGGGACGACATGTCTTCATTGGAACTGCCGAACCCGAAGTGACAAGCAAGGTGTTGCCCACCGATGAGACGGGTAGAACGCGAATCCCAGTTGTTTGGCCTGATGGAACGCCACTCGCTACGGATTCCACTGGCGAATACATCCTTGACGACGGCACTCCAATTTCACGTGACGACGAGGGCAAGCCTATTGGATTTGATGGAGAGGTTCTGCCAACCGACAACTCCGGTCAATGGGTGCTTGTTACCCCAGAACCAGAACCCGAAACCACGACAGCTACGAAACAAATCATTGTCGTTGTGGGACCAGACCAGACTCCATTGCCGACGGATGCATCAGGAGCTCCGCTTGATCCAGAGGGACGACCATTGGTCACCGATGACGAAGGGCGCCCGCTTTCTCCAGCTGGCGAGGTGCTGCCAACTGATGGCGAGGGGCGCTATGTGTTTGTGCCCACTGAGCCAACAGCTCTGCCAACGCATGAACTGCCGACTGAAAGAACGGCGATCGTTCGTGAAGATGATGGTTCCCTCTTGCCAACAATCGAAAGCGGTCAATTCATCGCCGATGACGGCTCGATCATTAAGGAAAACGATGAAGGCAAACCCATTGGCCCCGATGATCAAGTTCTAGCCATAAACGAACGTGGCGAGTACGTATGGCCCACCACCAAGCCGGATATCGTGCTGCCAGACACATCAACCACAACAGTTATTCAAGTGGTCGGACCCGATGGAACACCTCTGCCCACAGATTCAAGTGGAGCCGTGGTTGATGCGGAAGGAGAAACTATTCCAACAAACGTTGCCGGACAACCAGTCGATGCCGAGGGGCAAGTGCTTCCCACCGATGATAGTGGTCGATTTGTCTACATACCAATTGCTGAGCCCACGACAACTCAAGAAACGAAGCCAACCGATGAGCACGGCAATCAAATCACTCCCGTGCACCGTCCTGATGGACAGTTGCTGCCTACCGACTCGACTGGACATCATGTATCCGACAGCGGCGAGGTGATCACACAAAATGATCAAGGCGAGCCAATTGGAACAGATGGTGAGGTTCTGCCAACTGATGCCACCGGAAAGTACATCTACATTGAGCCGAGCACCGAGGAGCCAACCGAGGAGCCAACACCACTTACGATCATTGTCGGCCCTGATGGAACACCGCTACCCACTGATGCAAGTGGAGCGACCGTTGATGCTCAGGGAGAGCCAATTCCAACAAATCTTCAGGGACAACCGGTCGATGTCGAGGGCCAAGTGCTTTCCACCGATGATAGTGGTCGATTCGTCTATATACCAACTGCTGAGCCCACCACTACTACTGAAGCCGCACCAACCGAGCCACCAACGCCAACTGATCAATATGGAAACTCGATCGCTCCTGTGCACCGCCCCGATGGACAGTTGCTGCCCACCGACTCCACTGGACACCATGTAGCTGACAACGGCGAAGTGGTCACGCAAAACGACCAAGGCGAGCCAATTGGAGCCGATGGTGAAGTTCTGCCAACTGATGCCACCGGAAAGTACATCTACATTGAGCCGAGCACCGAGGAGCCAACACCAATCATCGTTGTTGTGGGTCCTGATGGAACACCACTGCCTACTGATGCAAGCGGAAGACACGTTGGACCAGACGGTGAACCCGTGCCAACCAACGCCGATGGATTGCCCGTTGATCCCAGTGGTGAACTTCTGCCGACTGACAGCGAGGGACGACATGTCTTCATTGGAACTGCCGAACCCGAAGTGACAAGCAAGGTGTTGCCCACCGATGAGACGGGTAGAACGCGAATCCCAGTTGTTTGGCCTGATGGAACGCCACTCGCTACGGATTCCACTGGCGAATACATCCTTGACGACGGCACTCCAATTTCACGTGACGACGAGGGCAAGCCTATTGGATTTGATGGAGAGGTTCTGCCAACCGACAACTCCGGTCAATGGGTGCTTGTTACCCCAGAACCAGAACCCGAAACCACGACAGCTACGAAACAAATCATTGTCGTTGTGGGACCAGACCAGACTCCATTGCCGACGGATGCATCAGGAGCTCCGCTTGATCCAGAGGGACGACCATTGGTCACCGATGACGAAGGGCGCCCGCTTTCTCCAGCTGGCGAGGTGCTGCCAACTGATGGCGAGGGGCGCTATGTGTTTGTGCCCACTGAGCCAACAGCTCTGCCAACGCATGAACTGCCGACTGAAAGAACGGCGATCGTTCGTGAAGATGATGGTTCCCTCTTGCCAACAATCGAAAGCGGTCAATTCATCGCCGATGACGGCTCGATCATTAAGGAAAACGATGAAGGCAAACCCATTGGCCCCGATGATCAAGTTCTAGCCATAAACGAACGTGGCGAGTACGTATGGCCCACCACCAAGCCGGATATCGTGCTGCCAGACACATCAACCACAACAGTTATTCAAGTGGTCGGACCCGATGGAACACCTCTGCCCACAGATTCAAGTGGAGCCGTGGTTGATGCGGAAGGAGAAACTATTCCAACAAACGTTGCCGGACAACCAGTCGATGCCGAGGGGCAAGTGCTTCCCACCGATGATAGTGGTCGATTTGTCTACATACCAATTGCTGAGCCCACGACAACTCAAGAAACGAAGCCAACCGATGAGCACGGCAATCAAATCACTCCCGTGCACCGTCCTGATGGACAGTTGCTGCCTACCGACTCGACTGGACATCATGTATCCGACAGCGGCGAGGTGATCACACAAAATGATCAAGGCGAGCCAATTGGAACAGATGGTGAGGTTCTGCCAACTGATGCCACCGGAAAGTACATCTACATTGAGCCGAGCACCGAGGAGCCAACCGAGGAGCCAACACCACTTACGATCATTGTCGGCCCTGATGGAACACCGCTACCCACTGATGCAAGTGGAGCGACCGTTGATGCTCAGGGAGAGCCAATTCCAACAAATCTTCAGGGACAACCGGTCGATGTCGAGGGCCAAGTGCTTTCCACCGATGATAGTGGTCGATTCGTCTATATACCAACTGCTGAGCCCACCACTACTACTGAAGCCGCACCAACCGAGCCACCAACGCCAACTGATCAATATGGAAACTCGATCGCTCCTGTGCACCGCCCCGATGGACAGTTGCTGCCCACCGACTCCACTGGACACCATGTAGCTGACAACGGCGAAGTGGTCACGCAAAACGACCAAGGCGAGCCAATTGGAGCCGATGGTGAAGTTCTGCCAACTGATGCCACCGGAAAGTACATCTACATTGAGCCGAGCACCGAGGAGCCAACACCAATCATCGTTGTTGTGGGTCCTGATGGAACACCACTGCCTACTGATGCAAGCGGAAGACACGTTGGACCAGACGGTGAACCCGTGCCAACCAACGCCGATGGATTGCCCGTTGATCCCAGTGGTGAACTTCTGCCGACTGACAGCGAGGGACGACATGTCTTCATTGGAACTGCCGAACCCGAAGTGACAAGCAAGGTGTTGCCCACCGATGAGACGGGTAGAACGCGAATCCCAGTTGTTTGGCCTGATGGAACGCCACTCGCTACGGATTCCACTGGCGAATACATCCTTGACGACGGCACTCCAATTTCACGTGACGACGAGGGCAAGCCTATTGGATTTGATGGAGAGGTTCTGCCAACCGACAACTCCGGTCAATGGGTGCTTGTTACCCCAGAACCAGAACCCGAAACCACGACAGCTACGAAACAAATCATTGTCGTTGTGGGACCAGACCAGACTCCATTGCCGACGGATGCATCAGGAGCTCCGCTTGATCCAGAGGGACGACCATTGGTCACCGATGACGAAGGGCGCCCGCTTTCTCCAGCTGGCGAGGTGCTGCCAACTGATGGCGAGGGGCGCTATGTGTTTGTGCCCACTGAGCCAACAGCTCTGCCAACGCATGAACTGCCGACTGAAAGAACGGCGATCGTTCGTGAAGATGATGGTTCCCTCTTGCCAACAATCGAAAGCGGTCAATTCATCGCCGATGACGGCTCGATCATTAAGGAAAACGATGAAGGCAAACCCATTGGCCCCGATGATCAAGTTCTAGCCATAAACGAACGTGGCGAGTACGTATGGCCCACCACCAAGCCGGATATCGTGCTGCCAGACACATCAACCACAACAGTTATTCAAGTGGTCGGACCCGATGGAACACCTCTGCCCACAGATTCAAGTGGAGCCGTGGTTGATGCGGAAGGAGAAACTATTCCAACAAACGTTGCCGGACAACCAGTCGATGCCGAGGGGCAAGTGCTTCCCACCGATGATAGTGGTCGATTTGTCTACATACCAATTGCTGAGCCCACGACAACTCAAGAAACGAAGCCAACCGATGAGCACGGCAATCAAATCACTCCCGTGCACCGTCCTGATGGACAGTTGCTGCCTACCGACTCGACTGGACATCATGTATCCGACAGCGGCGAGGTGATCACACAAAATGATCAAGGCGAGCCAATTGGAACAGATGGTGAGGTTCTGCCAACTGATGCCACCGGAAAGTACATCTACATTGAGCCGAGCACCGAGGAGCCAACCGAGGAGCCAACACCACTTACGATCATTGTCGGCCCTGATGGAACACCGCTACCCACTGATGCAAGTGGAGCGACCGTTGATGCTCAGGGAGAGCCAATTCCAACAAATCTTCAGGGACAACCGGTCGATGTCGAGGGCCAAGTGCTTTCCACCGATGATAGTGGTCGATTCGTCTATATACCAACTGCTGAGCCCACCACTACTACTGAAGCCGCACCAACCGAGCCACCAACGCCAACTGATCAATATGGAAACTCGATCGCTCCTGTGCACCGCCCCGATGGACAGTTGCTGCCCACCGACTCCACTGGACACCATGTAGCTGACAACGGCGAAGTGGTCACGCAAAACGACCAAGGCGAGCCAATTGGAGCCGATGGTGAAGTTCTGCCAACTGATGCCACCGGAAAGTACATCTACATTGAGCCGAGCACCGAGGAGCCAACACCAATCATCGTTGTTGTGGGTCCTGATGGAACACCACTGCCTACTGATGCAAGCGGAAGACACGTTGGACCAGACGGTGAACCCGTGCCAACCAACGCCGATGGATTGCCCGTTGATCCCAGTGGTGAACTTCTGCCGACTGACAGCGAGGGACGACATGTCTTCATTGGAACTGCCGAACCCGAAGTGACAAGCAAGGTGTTGCCCACCGATGAGACGGGTAGAACGCGAATCCCAGTTGTTTGGCCTGATGGAACGCCACTCGCTACGGATTCCACTGGCGAATACATCCTTGACGACGGCACTCCAATTTCACGTGACGACGAGGGCAAGCCTATTGGATTTGATGGAGAGGTTCTGCCAACCGACAACTCCGGTCAATGGGTGCTTGTTACCCCAGAACCAGAACCCGAAACCACGACAGCTACGAAACAAATCATTGTCGTTGTGGGACCAGACCAGACTCCATTGCCGACGGATGCATCAGGAGCTCCGCTTGATCCAGAGGGACGACCATTGGTCACCGATGACGAAGGGCGCCCGCTTTCTCCAGCTGGCGAGGTGCTGCCAACTGATGGCGAGGGGCGCTATGTGTTTGTGCCCACTGAGCCAACAGCTCTGCCAACGCATGAACTGCCGACTGAAAGAACGGCGATCGTTCGTGAAGATGATGGTTCCCTCTTGCCAACAATCGAAAGCGGTCAATTCATCGCCGATGACGGCTCGATCATTAAGGAAAACGATGAAGGCAAACCCATTGGCCCCGATGATCAAGTTCTAGCCATAAACGAACGTGGCGAGTACGTATGGCCCACCACCAAGCCGGATATCGTGCTGCCAGACACATCAACCACAACAGTTATTCAAGTGGTCGGACCCGATGGAACACCTCTGCCCACAGATTCAAGTGGAGCCGTGGTTGATGCGGAAGGAGAAACTATTCCAACAAACGTTGCCGGACAACCAGTCGATGCCGAGGGGCAAGTGCTTCCCACCGATGATAGTGGTCGATTTGTCTACATACCAATTGCTGAGCCCACGACAACTCAAGAAACGAAGCCAACCGATGAGCACGGCAATCAAATCACTCCCGTGCACCGTCCTGATGGACAGTTGCTGCCTACCGACTCGACTGGACATCATGTATCCGACAGCGGCGAGGTGATCACACAAAATGATCAAGGCGAGCCAATTGGAACAGATGGTGAGGTTCTGCCAACTGATGCCACCGGAAAGTACATCTACATTGAGCCGAGCACCGAGGAGCCAACCGAGGAGCCAACACCACTTACGATCATTGTCGGCCCTGATGGAACACCGCTACCCACTGATGCAAGTGGAGCGACCGTTGATGCTCAGGGAGAGCCAATTCCAACAAATCTTCAGGGACAACCGGTCGATGTCGAGGGCCAAGTGCTTTCCACCGATGATAGTGGTCGATTCGTCTATATACCAACTGCTGAGCCCACCACTACTACTGAAGCCGCACCAACCGAGCCACCAACGCCAACTGATCAATATGGAAACTCGATCGCTCCTGTGCACCGCCCCGATGGACAGTTGCTGCCCACCGACTCCACTGGACACCATGTAGCTGACAACGGCGAAGTGGTCACGCAAAACGACCAAGGCGAGCCAATTGGAGCCGATGGTGAAGTTCTGCCAACTGATGCCACCGGAAAGTACATCTACATTGAGCCGAGCACCGAGGAGCCAACACCAATCATCGTTGTTGTGGGTCCTGATGGAACACCACTGCCTACTGATGCAAGCGGAAGACACGTTGGACCAGACGGTGAACCCGTGCCAACCAACGCCGATGGATTGCCCGTTGATCCCAGTGGTGAACTTCTGCCGACTGACAGCGAGGGACGACATGTCTTCATTGGAACTGCCGAACCCGAAGTGACAAGCAAGGTGTTGCCCACCGATGAGACGGGTAGAACGCGAATCCCAGTTGTTTGGCCTGATGGAACGCCACTCGCTACGGATTCCACTGGCGAATACATCCTTGACGACGGCACTCCAATTTCACGTGACGACGAGGGCAAGCCTATTGGATTTGATGGAGAGGTTCTGCCAACCGACAACTCCGGTCAATGGGTGCTTGTTACCCCAGAACCAGAACCCGAAACCACGACAGCTACGAAACAAATCATTGTCGTTGTGGGACCAGACCAGACTCCATTGCCGACGGATGCATCAGGAGCTCCGCTTGATCCAGAGGGACGACCATTGGTCACCGATGACGAAGGGCGCCCGCTTTCTCCAGCTGGCGAGGTGCTGCCAACTGATGGCGAGGGGCGCTATGTGTTTGTGCCCACTGAGCCAACAGCTCTGCCAACGCATGAACTGCCGACTGAAAGAACGGCGATCGTTCGTGAAGATGATGGTTCCCTCTTGCCAACAATCGAAAGCGGTCAATTCATCGCCGATGACGGCTCGATCATTAAGGAAAACGATGAAGGCAAACCCATTGGCCCCGATGATCAAGTTCTAGCCATAAACGAACGTGGCGAGTACGTATGGCCCACCACCAAGCCGGATATCGTGCTGCCAGACACATCAACCACAACAGTTATTCAAGTGGTCGGACCCGATGGAACACCTCTGCCCACAGATTCAAGTGGAGCCGTGGTTGATGCGGAAGGAGAAACTATTCCAACAAACGTTGCCGGACAACCAGTCGATGCCGAGGGGCAAGTGCTTCCCACCGATGATAGTGGTCGATTTGTCTACATACCAATTGCTGAGCCCACGACAACTCAAGAAACGAAGCCAACCGATGAGCACGGCAATCAAATCACTCCCGTGCACCGTCCTGATGGACAGTTGCTGCCTACCGACTCGACTGGACATCATGTATCCGACAGCGGCGAGGTGATCACACAAAATGATCAAGGCGAGCCAATTGGAACAGATGGTGAGGTTCTGCCAACTGATGCCACCGGAAAGTACATCTACATTGAGCCGAGCACCGAGGAGCCAACCGAGGAGCCAACACCACTTACGATCATTGTCGGCCCTGATGGAACACCGCTACCCACTGATGCAAGTGGAGCGACCGTTGATGCTCAGGGAGAGCCAATTCCAACAAATCTTCAGGGACAACCGGTCGATGTCGAGGGCCAAGTGCTTTCCACCGATGATAGTGGTCGATTCGTCTATATACCAACTGCTGAGCCCACCACTACTACTGAAGCCGCACCAACCGAGCCACCAACGCCAACTGATCAATATGGAAACTCGATCGCTCCTGTGCACCGCCCCGATGGACAGTTGCTGCCCACCGACTCCACTGGACACCATGTAGCTGACAACGGCGAAGTGGTCACGCAAAACGACCAAGGCGAGCCAATTGGAGCCGATGGTGAAGTTCTGCCAACTGATGCCACCGGAAAGTACATCTACATTGAGCCGAGCACCGAGGAGCCAACACCAATCATCGTTGTTGTGGGTCCTGATGGAACACCACTGCCTACTGATGCAAGCGGAAGACACGTTGGACCAGACGGTGAACCCGTGCCAACCAACGCCGATGGATTGCCCGTTGATCCCAGTGGTGAACTTCTGCCGACTGACAGCGAGGGACGACATGTCTTCATTGGAACTGCCGAACCCGAAGTGACAAGCAAGGTGTTGCCCACCGATGAGACGGGTAGAACGCGAATCCCAGTTGTTTGGCCTGATGGAACGCCACTCGCTACGGATTCCACTGGCGAATACATCCTTGACGACGGCACTCCAATTTCACGTGACGACGAGGGCAAGCCTATTGGATTTGATGGAGAGGTTCTGCCAACCGACAACTCCGGTCATTGGTTATATTCAACAGCATCAAGTTATCCTGTGCAAACGACAAAAAATTGCCAAGAATGGACAACAACCGGCAATTATCTTTTCGCACTTGACATCAACACTGATGACTCTGACCAAATCACGAAAGCCAAAGAGGCCATCGAAAAATTTGTCAATTCTCTGGATTTGAGCCCGGACGTAACAAATATCGGGCTTTTGACATATTCAGACTCGATCAGCGTACCTGTCCCGTTGGGCGGCTATCCAGAGCAAGGTCATTTCATGGAATCTCTGCTCGGAATTCAATCGAGCACCACTCCATATCCTTTGCCAATCAAAGCAGTCGTTTCCTCGGCAATTCAACAATTAGAGGAAAACGGACTTCCTACAGCTTCCTCGACGACAAATATTCTTGTCTTGTTATCAACACAAAAACAAAGGTAGGCAAATCAATGGCTTAAAAAGAGCCTTTAAGCTACCAAAATTGATAAATAGCCTTTTCTCTTGTCGTGTTGTTGGGGTTTTTGGGATGAGTTAAGTTTACGGATAGGGTTTCACCATAAATGTCTTAATTATTGTCAGGTCCAAAAATGGAAAATCCTCTAGGCTCTCGGAAACTTTCAAAAATCTCGTAGCGCGACCAGAGCCGGTCGTCTTACGTATTGAGCGTTAAGTATTGCGTGAATTTCGCATTCTTAAGGAAATAAAACCATTCAAATTTTATTGATTAATATTTAGTGTCGACCAGGCTGGGAACATGGACGTATTGCTAATCGATTTGGAGTCTGATAGCCTTGATATCAAACAACGCATTGTATCAAGTTGTGAAAATGGTGAGATCGGCGTCAGAGAAGGGCAGCCGAAATCCGTAAGCCAAGCTACAACACCAGTCACAATCATCGTCGGACCCGATGGAACACCTCTGCCCACAGATTCAAGTGGAGCCGTGGTTGATGCGGAAGGAGAAACTATTCCAACAAACGTTGCCGGACAACCAGTCGATGCCGAGGGGCAAGTGCTTCCCACCGATGATAGTGGTCGATTTGTCTACATACCAATTGCTGAGCCCACGACAACTCAAGAAACGAAGCCAACCGATGAGCACGGCAATCAAATCACTCCCGTGCACCGTCCTGATGGACAGTTGCTGCCTACCGACTCGACTGGACATCATGTATCCGACAGCGGCGAGGTGATCACACAAAATGATCAAGGCGAGCCAATTGGAACAGATGGTGAGGTTCTGCCAACTGATGCCACCGGAAAGTACATCTACATTGAGCCGAGCACCGAGGAGCCAACACCAATCATCGTTGTTGTGGGTCCTGATGGAACACCACTGCCTACTGATGCAAGCGGAAGACACGTTGGACCAGACGGTGAACCCGTGCCAACCAACGCCGATGGATTGCCCGTTGATCCCAGTGGTGAACTTCTGCCGACTGACAGCGAGGGACGACATGTCTTCATTGGAACTGCCGAACCCGAAGTGACAAGCAAGGTGTTGCCCACCGATGAGACGGGTAGAACGCGAATCCCAGTTGTTTGGCCTGATGGAACGCCACTCGCTACGGATTCCACTGGCGAATACATCCTTGACGACGGCACTCCAATTTCACGTGACGACGAGGGCAAGCCTATTGGATTTGATGGAGAGGTTCTGCCAACCGACAACTCCGGTCAATGGGTGCTTGTTACCCCAGAACCAGAACCCGAAACCACGACAGCTACGAAACAAATCATTGTCGTTGTGGGACCAGACCAGACTCCATTGCCGACGGATGCATCAGGAGCTCCGCTTGATCCAGAGGGACGACCATTGGTCACCGATGACGAAGGGCGCCCGCTTTCTCCAGCTGGCGAGGTGCTGCCAACTGATGGCGAGGGGCGCTATGTGTTTGTGCCCACTGAGCCAACAGCTCTGCCAACGCATGAACTGCCGACTGAAAGAACGGCGATCGTTCGTGAAGATGATGGTTCCCTCTTGCCAACAATCGAAAGCGGTCAATTCATCGCCGATGACGGCTCGATCATTAAGGAAAACGATGAAGGCAAACCCATTGGCCCCGATGATCAAGTTCTAGCCATAAACGAACGTGGCGAGTACGTATGGCCCACCACCAAGCCGGATATCGTGCTGCCAGACACATCAACCACAACAGTTATTCAAGTGGTCGGACCCGATGGAACACCTCTGCCCACAGATTCAAGTGGAGCCGTGGTTGATGCGGAAGGAGAAACTATTCCAACAAACGTTGCCGGACAACCAGTCGATGCCGAGGGGCAAGTGCTTCCCACCGATGATAGTGGTCGATTTGTCTACATACCAATTGCTGAGCCCACGACAACTCAAGAAACGAAGCCAACCGATGAGCACGGCAATCAAATCACTCCCGTGCACCGTCCTGATGGACAGTTGCTGCCTACCGACTCGACTGGACATCATGTATCCGACAGCGGCGAGGTGATCACACAAAATGATCAAGGCGAGCCAATTGGAACAGATGGTGAGGTTCTGCCAACTGATGCCACCGGAAAGTACATCTACATTGAGCCGAGCACCGAGGAGCCAACCGAGGAGCCAACACCACTTACGATCATTGTCGGCCCTGATGGAACACCGCTACCCACTGATGCAAGTGGAGCGACCGTTGATGCTCAGGGAGAGCCAATTCCAACAAATCTTCAGGGACAACCGGTCGATGTCGAGGGCCAAGTGCTTTCCACCGATGATAGTGGTCGATTCGTCTATATACCAACTGCTGAGCCCACCACTACTACTGAAGCCGCACCAACCGAGCCACCAACGCCAACTGATCAATATGGAAACTCGATCGCTCCTGTGCACCGCCCCGATGGACAGTTGCTGCCCACCGACTCCACTGGACACCATGTAGCTGACAACGGCGAAGTGGTCACGCAAAACGACCAAGGCGAGCCAATTGGAGCCGATGGTGAAGTTCTGCCAACTGATGCCACCGGAAAGTACATCTACATTGAGCCGAGCACCGAGGAGCCAACACCAATCATCGTTGTTGTGGGTCCTGATGGAACACCACTGCCTACTGATGCAAGCGGAAGACACGTTGGACCAGACGGTGAACCCGTGCCAACCAACGCCGATGGATTGCCCGTTGATCCCAGTGGTGAACTTCTGCCGACTGACAGCGAGGGACGACATGTCTTCATTGGAACTGCCGAACCCGAAGTGACAAGCAAGGTGTTGCCCACCGATGAGACGGGTAGAACGCGAATCCCAGTTGTTTGGCCTGATGGAACGCCACTCGCTACGGATTCCACTGGCGAATACATCCTTGACGACGGCACTCCAATTTCACGTGACGACGAGGGCAAGCCTATTGGATTTGATGGAGAGGTTCTGCCAACCGACAACTCCGGTCAATGGGTGCTTGTTACCCCAGAACCAGAACCCGAAACCACGACAGCTACGAAACAAATCATTGTCGTTGTGGGACCAGACCAGACTCCATTGCCGACGGATGCATCAGGAGCTCCGCTTGATCCAGAGGGACGACCATTGGTCACCGATGACGAAGGGCGCCCGCTTTCTCCAGCTGGCGAGGTGCTGCCAACTGATGGCGAGGGGCGCTATGTGTTTGTGCCCACTGAGCCAACAGCTCTGCCAACGCATGAACTGCCGACTGAAAGAACGGCGATCGTTCGTGAAGATGATGGTTCCCTCTTGCCAACAATCGAAAGCGGTCAATTCATCGCCGATGACGGCTCGATCATTAAGGAAAACGATGAAGGCAAACCCATTGGCCCCGATGATCAAGTTCTAGCCATAAACGAACGTGGCGAGTACGTATGGCCCACCACCAAGCCGGATATCGTGCTGCCAGACACATCAACCACAACAGTTATTCAAGTGGTCGGACCCGATGGAACACCTCTGCCCACAGATTCAAGTGGAGCCGTGGTTGATGCGGAAGGAGAAACTATTCCAACAAACGTTGCCGGACAACCAGTCGATGCCGAGGGGCAAGTGCTTCCCACCGATGATAGTGGTCGATTTGTCTACATACCAATTGCTGAGCCCACGACAACTCAAGAAACGAAGCCAACCGATGAGCACGGCAATCAAATCACTCCCGTGCACCGTCCTGATGGACAGTTGCTGCCTACCGACTCGACTGGACATCATGTATCCGACAGCGGCGAGGTGATCACACAAAATGATCAAGGCGAGCCAATTGGAACAGATGGTGAGGTTCTGCCAACTGATGCCACCGGAAAGTACATCTACATTGAGCCGAGCACCGAGGAGCCAACCGAGGAGCCAACACCACTTACGATCATTGTCGGCCCTGATGGAACACCGCTACCCACTGATGCAAGTGGAGCGACCGTTGATGCTCAGGGAGAGCCAATTCCAACAAATCTTCAGGGACAACCGGTCGATGTCGAGGGCCAAGTGCTTTCCACCGATGATAGTGGTCGATTCGTCTATATACCAACTGCTGAGCCCACCACTACTACTGAAGCCGCACCAACCGAGCCACCAACGCCAACTGATCAATATGGAAACTCGATCGCTCCTGTGCACCGCCCCGATGGACAGTTGCTGCCCACCGACTCCACTGGACACCATGTAGCTGACAACGGCGAAGTGGTCACGCAAAACGACCAAGGCGAGCCAATTGGAGCCGATGGTGAAGTTCTGCCAACTGATGCCACCGGAAAGTACATCTACATTGAGCCGAGCACCGAGGAGCCAACACCAATCATCGTTGTTGTGGGTCCTGATGGAACACCACTGCCTACTGATGCAAGCGGAAGACACGTTGGACCAGACGGTGAACCCGTGCCAACCAACGCCGATGGATTGCCCGTTGATCCCAGTGGTGAACTTCTGCCGACTGACAGCGAGGGACGACATGTCTTCATTGGAACTGCCGAACCCGAAGTGACAAGCAAGGTGTTGCCCACCGATGAGACGGGTAGAACGCGAATCCCAGTTGTTTGGCCTGATGGAACGCCACTCGCTACGGATTCCACTGGCGAATACATCCTTGACGACGGCACTCCAATTTCACGTGACGACGAGGGCAAGCCTATTGGATTTGATGGAGAGGTTCTGCCAACCGACAACTCCGGTCATTGGTTATATTCAACAGCATCAAGTTATCCTGTGCAAACGACAAAAAATTGCCAAGAATGGACAACAACCGGCAATTATCTTTTCGCACTTGACATCAACACTGATGACTCTGACCAAATCACGAAAGCCAAAGAGGCCATCGAAAAATTTGTCAATTCTCTGGATTTGAGCCCGGACGTAACAAATATCGGGCTTTTGACATATTCAGACTCGATCAGCGTACCTGTCCCGTTGGGCGGCTATCCAGAGCAAGGTCATTTCATGGAATCTCTGCTCGGAATTCAATCGAGCACCACTCCATATCCTTTGCCAATCAAAGCAGTCGTTTCCTCGGCAATTCAACAATTAGAGGAAAACGGACTTCCTACAGCTTCCTCGACGACAAATATTCTTGTCTTGTTATCAACACAAAAACAAAGGTAGGCAAATCAATGGCTTAAAAGAGCCTTTAAGCTACCAAAATTGATAAATAGCCTTTTTCTCTTGTCGTGTTGTTGGGGTTTTTGGGATGAGTTAAGTTTACGGATAGGGTTTCACCATAAATGTCTTAATTATTGTCAGGTCCAAAAATGGAAAATCCTCTAGGCTCTCGGAAACTTTCAAAATCTCGTAGCGCGACCAGAGCCGGTCGTCTTACGTATTGAGCGTTAAGTATTGCGTGAATTTCGCATTCTTAAGGAAATAAAACCATTCAAATTTTATTGATTAATATTTAGTGTCGACCAGGCTGGGAACATGGACGTATTGCTAATCGATTTGGAGTCTGATAGCCTTGATATCAAACAACGCATTGTATCAAGTTGTGAAAATGGTGAGATCGGCGTCAGAGAAGGGCAGCCGAAATCCGTAAGCCAAGCTACAACACCAGTCACAATCATCGTCGGACCCGATGGAACACCTCTGCCCACAGATTCAAGTGGAGCCGTGGTTGATGCGGAAGGAGAAACTATTCCAACAAACGTTGCCGGACAACCAGTCGATGCCGAGGGGCAAGTGCTTCCCACCGATGATAGTGGTCGATTTGTCTACATACCAATTGCTGAGCCCACGACAACTCAAGAAACGAAGCCAACCGATGAGCACGGCAATCAAATCACTCCCGTGCACCGTCCTGATGGACAGTTGCTGCCTACCGACTCGACTGGACATCATGTATCCGACAGCGGCGAGGTGATCACACAAAATGATCAAGGCGAGCCAATTGGAACAGATGGTGAGGTTCTGCCAACTGATGCCACCGGAAAGTACATCTACATTGAGCCGAGCACCGAGGAGCCAACACCACTTACGATCATTGTCGGCCCTGATGGAACACCGCTACCCACTGATGCAAGTGGAGCGACCGTTGATGCTCAGGGAGAGCCAATTCCAACAAATCTTCAGGGACAACCGGTCGATGTCGAGGGCCAAGTGCTTTCCACCGATGATAGTGGTCGATTCGTCTATATACCAACTGCTGAGCCCACCACTACTACTGAAGCCGCACCAACCGAGCCACCAACGCCAACTGATCAATATGGAAACTCGATCGCTCCTGTGCACCGCCCCGATGGACAGTTGCTGCCCACCGACTCCACTGGACACCATGTAGCTGACAACGGCGAAGTGGTCACGCAAAACGACCAAGGCGAGCCAATTGGAGCCGATGGTGAAGTTCTGCCAACTGATGCCACCGGAAAGTACATCTACATTGAGCCGAGCACCGAGGAGCCAACACCAATCATCGTTGTTGTGGGTCCTGATGGAACACCACTGCCTACTGATGCAAGCGGAAGACACGTTGGACCAGACGGTGAACCCGTGCCAACCAACGCCGATGGATTGCCCGTTGATCCCAGTGGTGAACTTCTGCCGACTGACAGCGAGGGACGACATGTCTTCATTGGAACTGCCGAACCCGAAGTGACAAGCAAGGTGTTGCCCACCGATGAGACGGGTAGAACGCGAATCCCAGTTGTTTGGCCTGATGGAACGCCACTCGCTACGGATTCCACTGGCGAATACATCCTTGACGACGGCACTCCAATTTCACGTGACGACGAGGGCAAGCCTATTGGATTTGATGGAGAGGTTCTGCCAACCGACAACTCCGGTCAATGGGTGCTTGTTACCCCAGAACCAGAACCCGAAACCACGACAGCTACGAAACAAATCATTGTCGTTGTGGGACCAGACCAGACTCCATTGCCGACGGATGCATCAGGAGCTCCGCTTGATCCAGAGGGACGACCATTGGTCACCGATGACGAAGGGCGCCCGCTTTCTCCAGCTGGCGAGGTGCTGCCAACTGATGGCGAGGGGCGCTATGTGTTTGTGCCCACTGAGCCAACAGCTCTGCCAACGCATGAACTGCCGACTGAAAGAACGGCGATCGTTCGTGAAGATGATGGTTCCCTCTTGCCAACAATCGAAAGCGGTCAATTCATCGCCGATGACGGCTCGATCATTAAGGAAAACGATGAAGGCAAACCCATTGGCCCCGATGATCAAGTTCTAGCCATAAACGAACGTGGCGAGTACGTATGGCCCACCACCAAGCCGGATATCGTGCTGCCAGACACATCAACCACAACAGTTATTCAAGTGGTCGGACCCGATGGAACACCTCTGCCCACAGATTCAAGTGGAGCCGTGGTTGATGCGGAAGGAGAAACTATTCCAACAAACGTTGCCGGACAACCAGTCGATGCCGAGGGGCAAGTGCTTCCCACCGATGATAGTGGTCGATTTGTCTACATACCAATTGCTGAGCCCACGACAACTCAAGAAACGAAGCCAACCGATGAGCACGGCAATCAAATCACTCCCGTGCACCGTCCTGATGGACAGTTGCTGCCTACCGACTCGACTGGACATCATGTATCCGACAGCGGCGAGGTGATCACACAAAATGATCAAGGCGAGCCAATTGGAACAGATGGTGAGGTTCTGCCAACTGATGCCACCGGAAAGTACATCTACATTGAGCCGAGCACCGAGGAGCCAACCGAGGAGCCAACACCACTTACGATCATTGTCGGCCCTGATGGAACACCGCTACCCACTGATGCAAGTGGAGCGACCGTTGATGCTCAGGGAGAGCCAATTCCAACAAATCTTCAGGGACAACCGGTCGATGTCGAGGGCCAAGTGCTTTCCACCGATGATAGTGGTCGATTCGTCTATATACCAACTGCTGAGCCCACCACTACTACTGAAGCCGCACCAACCGAGCCACCAACGCCAACTGATCAATATGGAAACTCGATCGCTCCTGTGCACCGCCCCGATGGACAGTTGCTGCCCACCGACTCCACTGGACACCATGTAGCTGACAACGGCGAAGTGGTCACGCAAAACGACCAAGGCGAGCCAATTGGAGCCGATGGTGAAGTTCTGCCAACTGATGCCACCGGAAAGTACATCTACATTGAGCCGAGCACCGAGGAGCCAACACCAATCATCGTTGTTGTGGGTCCTGATGGAACACCACTGCCTACTGATGCAAGCGGAAGACACGTTGGACCAGACGGTGAACCCGTGCCAACCAACGCCGATGGATTGCCCGTTGATCCCAGTGGTGAACTTCTGCCGACTGACAGCGAGGGACGACATGTCTTCATTGGAACTGCCGAACCCGAAGTGACAAGCAAGGTGTTGCCCACCGATGAGACGGGTAGAACGCGAATCCCAGTTGTTTGGCCTGATGGAACGCCACTCGCTACGGATTCCACTGGCGAATACATCCTTGACGACGGCACTCCAATTTCACGTGACGACGAGGGCAAGCCTATTGGATTTGATGGAGAGGTTCTGCCAACCGACAACTCCGGTCAATGGGTGCTTGTTACCCCAGAACCAGAACCCGAAACCACGACAGCTACGAAACAAATCATTGTCGTTGTGGGACCAGACCAGACTCCATTGCCGACGGATGCATCAGGAGCTCCGCTTGATCCAGAGGGACGACCATTGGTCACCGATGACGAAGGGCGCCCGCTTTCTCCAGCTGGCGAGGTGCTGCCAACTGATGGCGAGGGGCGCTATGTGTTTGTGCCCACTGAGCCAACAGCTCTGCCAACGCATGAACTGCCGACTGAAAGAACGGCGATCGTTCGTGAAGATGATGGTTCCCTCTTGCCAACAATCGAAAGCGGTCAATTCATCGCCGATGACGGCTCGATCATTAAGGAAAACGATGAAGGCAAACCCATTGGCCCCGATGATCAAGTTCTAGCCATAAACGAACGTGGCGAGTACGTATGGCCCACCACCAAGCCGGATATCGTGCTGCCAGACACATCAACCACAACAGTTATTCAAGTGGTCGGACCCGATGGAACACCTCTGCCCACAGATTCAAGTGGAGCCGTGGTTGATGCGGAAGGAGAAACTATTCCAACAAACGTTGCCGGACAACCAGTCGATGCCGAGGGGCAAGTGCTTCCCACCGATGATAGTGGTCGATTTGTCTACATACCAATTGCTGAGCCCACGACAACTCAAGAAACGAAGCCAACCGATGAGCACGGCAATCAAATCACTCCCGTGCACCGTCCTGATGGACAGTTGCTGCCTACCGACTCGACTGGACATCATGTATCCGACAGCGGCGAGGTGATCACACAAAATGATCAAGGCGAGCCAATTGGAACAGATGGTGAGGTTCTGCCAACTGATGCCACCGGAAAGTACATCTACATTGAGCCGAGCACCGAGGAGCCAACCGAGGAGCCAACACCACTTACGATCATTGTCGGCCCTGATGGAACACCGCTACCCACTGATGCAAGTGGAGCGACCGTTGATGCTCAGGGAGAGCCAATTCCAACAAATCTTCAGGGACAACCGGTCGATGTCGAGGGCCAAGTGCTTTCCACCGATGATAGTGGTCGATTCGTCTATATACCAACTGCTGAGCCCACCACTACTACTGAAGCCGCACCAACCGAGCCACCAACGCCAACTGATCAATATGGAAACTCGATCGCTCCTGTGCACCGCCCCGATGGACAGTTGCTGCCCACCGACTCCACTGGACACCATGTAGCTGACAACGGCGAAGTGGTCACGCAAAACGACCAAGGCGAGCCAATTGGAGCCGATGGTGAAGTTCTGCCAACTGATGCCACCGGAAAGTACATCTACATTGAGCCGAGCACCGAGGAGCCAACACCAATCATCGTTGTTGTGGGTCCTGATGGAACACCACTGCCTACTGATGCAAGCGGAAGACACGTTGGACCAGACGGTGAACCCGTGCCAACCAACGCCGATGGATTGCCCGTTGATCCCAGTGGTGAACTTCTGCCGACTGACAGCGAGGGACGACATGTCTTCATTGGAACTGCCGAACCCGAAGTGACAAGCAAGGTGTTGCCCACCGATGAGACGGGTAGAACGCGAATCCCAGTTGTTTGGCCTGATGGAACGCCACTCGCTACGGATTCCACTGGCGAATACATCCTTGACGACGGCACTCCAATTTCACGTGACGACGAGGGCAAGCCTATTGGATTTGATGGAGAGGTTCTGCCAACCGACAACTCCGGTCAATGGGTGCTTGTTACCCCAGAACCAGAACCCGAAACCACGACAGCTACGAAACAAATCATTGTCGTTGTGGGACCAGACCAGACTCCATTGCCGACGGATGCATCAGGAGCTCCGCTTGATCCAGAGGGACGACCATTGGTCACCGATGACGAAGGGCGCCCGCTTTCTCCAGCTGGCGAGGTGCTGCCAACTGATGGCGAGGGGCGCTATGTGTTTGTGCCCACTGAGCCAACAGCTCTGCCAACGCATGAACTGCCGACTGAAAGAACGGCGATCGTTCGTGAAGATGATGGTTCCCTCTTGCCAACAATCGAAAGCGGTCAATTCATCGCCGATGACGGCTCGATCATTAAGGAAAACGATGAAGGCAAACCCATTGGCCCCGATGATCAAGTTCTAGCCATAAACGAACGTGGCGAGTACGTATGGCCCACCACCAAGCCGGATATCGTGCTGCCAGACACATCAACCACAACAGTTATTCAAGTGGTCGGACCCGATGGAACACCTCTGCCCACAGATTCAAGTGGAGCCGTGGTTGATGCGGAAGGAGAAACTATTCCAACAAACGTTGCCGGACAACCAGTCGATGCCGAGGGGCAAGTGCTTCCCACCGATGATAGTGGTCGATTTGTCTACATACCAATTGCTGAGCCCACGACAACTCAAGAAACGAAGCCAACCGATGAGCACGGCAATCAAATCACTCCCGTGCACCGTCCTGATGGACAGTTGCTGCCTACCGACTCGACTGGACATCATGTATCCGACAGCGGCGAGGTGATCACACAAAATGATCAAGGCGAGCCAATTGGAACAGATGGTGAGGTTCTGCCAACTGATGCCACCGGAAAGTACATCTACATTGAGCCGAGCACCGAGGAGCCAACCGAGGAGCCAACACCACTTACGATCATTGTCGGCCCTGATGGAACACCGCTACCCACTGATGCAAGTGGAGCGACCGTTGATGCTCAGGGAGAGCCAATTCCAACAAATCTTCAGGGACAACCGGTCGATGTCGAGGGCCAAGTGCTTTCCACCGATGATAGTGGTCGATTCGTCTATATACCAACTGCTGAGCCCACCACTACTACTGAAGCCGCACCAACCGAGCCACCAACGCCAACTGATCAATATGGAAACTCGATCGCTCCTGTGCACCGCCCCGATGGACAGTTGCTGCCCACCGACTCCACTGGACACCATGTAGCTGACAACGGCGAAGTGGTCACGCAAAACGACCAAGGCGAGCCAATTGGAGCCGATGGTGAAGTTCTGCCAACTGATGCCACCGGAAAGTACATCTACATTGAGCCTGTTCCACTTCGGCCTACACTTGAGGAATTACTTCAGCCCACCAAGATGCTCATTATTCAAGCAGATAGGACAGCGCTTCCGACTGATACTACCGGGGAATATCTGGATCCACGCGGAGGCTTATTGTTATATGATTCAAACGGGTATCCACTAGACCGCCATAAACAACTACTGCCGAGGGATAATATTGGAAGATATATTTATCCGGTGTATGGCCCAGATAACAATCCACTGCCTACAGACTCGGGCGGTTTACCAATCTACCCGGTTGTCGGACCTCAGGGCTACCTCCTACCAACTGATACAGCAGGCAGAACAATTGCTGAAGGAGGAAAAATTATTCCCACCGATTCAAGCGGAATTCCTTTGGACTCAAGAGGATCACCGTTGCCAACCGACATCTTGAAATATCACACTTTGCGACCAACACGACGACCAACAAATTTCTGCTTTATCAACTCCCACATTGAACTGGTTCTGGTGCTGGATACCTCCAACTACGTGAAGATTTTGGACTATCGAGTTATGAAGGAGCACATCAAGACTTTCTTGCACGAGCAATTCAATCTTCTCACTAATCATGTTCGTGTCGGGGTCGTGAAATATGGTGAAAGTGTGGACGTGCCGATTCCAATCGGCGACTATTCTGTTGAAGATGATTTACTCCATCAAATATCGGAAACTCGTCGTATGAAGGTATTTTACTCATGTTATTAGTATTTAATTAGACTCTATCTATAGCTCTTTATCATAATCAAGAGTAAGATGTATAAGAACGATTACCACTTAAAGCAGTTATCAAAAAATACACCTACGGTAAATACTCTAATATGCGCTTCCAATTTTTCCCTCCTTTTCTGGGGTGCGCTTTTAATTTTCCTCTTAAAAAATTGTTTAGACAACCCAATCTGGAAGTCTTCTAGATAATTCATTAACGTTTTATGCCTTTTGAATTACATTTATTCATCTTTAACAATCAAGAATGATTTAAATATAAAAATAGATCAATTGTCAACACATAAAGATGAATTCTGTTGACAAAAAGGCATATAAAGTAGCAAAACGTTAGAAAGTTGTCTAAGGGTAGAAAAACAAAAAAAAGTTAAATGAAAGGAGGGGTTTTTTGGCGTAAGAAACAGACTACAAAACGGAAGACTAAATATTTGAGTTTTCCCAAGAGCATGATATTCAGTCAAAGGATATGCTTCTATTAGAGTATTTACGGTACTTTTCCAGGGTGCCCCTCATCTGGGTGCCGCTCTTCGAGAAGCCGGCGGCGATTTCCTGATTTCGGGCAGTGAAAATATCCCCCGAATTGTCATCGTGTTCAAAAATGCGGCCAGCTCGTGAGTATTCAGAGTATTGAGCAATTCTAAATGATTCGTTTAGTGACGATGCCAAAGAGCCGGCCAAACAACTCCAATCGGACCTTGGTGCGCATCTGTTCATCGTGGATGCTGGAGGGTCCGATAGCTACACTGAGGTGAGGCAAAACAAAATAAGAGCTTCATTTGTTGAGCAAATTCTTAAATCTCGGTATTTAGGGATTTCATGAGTTTTTTGATTTAACGTAAGAGAAGTTTTTTGCAGAGCAAAGAACTCGTTTCTGATCCATCACATGTTCTCCAAGTGAAGCAATGGCGCACAGCCGAGGCATCATTTTTGGGACACCTTGCCGACTTGATCTGTGCAGTGAGTTTCGAGGACTAAAATTTTCTTAAACATGCTAAAACACAAAGTATGACAAGAGCTAGGCCAGAAAACTAATTGAAAATGAAATTTCCAGACGGTTCCCAGTGCAAAGATCGAAGACGAGACCAAATTGTGGCCAACACGGGTACCACGGCCTTACAAGACAACCGTCAAAGACCGTGATTGTAGTAAAATCGATTTTGAAGTCTGTTCAAGGAACGATAAACAAAATTAACGAGTTTGTATTTTAGGCGGATGTGATTTTGATGCTTGACTCTTCGGAAAACTTCCAGCATGAGCAATTCAACCAGCTTAAAGAATCCGCAGCTACGCTTGTGGATGAGACATTCGATTTGTCGCCCGATCTTGTCAGAGTTGGCTTTGTAGTATACAGGTAAAAAATGGAAATGTTAGATTCCAAAGGCTTCTCAATTCTAGTGACAAAGTTGCTGTACCTGTAGCGCTAGGACATTATGAAGACAAGATCGAACTTATCGAGAAGATGTCCGATGCTGAGAAGATCAACGAAGGTAGTGAATTCAATTTTAAATTTTAAAAAAAAGAAACTAAAATTAAAATAAAGATTCAAGATTGTAAAGTTAACTTTCAGCTGGTCAAGCAATCGCTTTATACGGGTTTAACGCGGCTAAAGAGCAATTTGATCTCCACGGCAGAAAGAACGCCACAAGAATCGTCGTCATGCTTACATCCGGGCAAAATCGGTATGGAAAATTGTCCTAAAATAGAAAATTATTAAATTTTAGCGGTAACGCAGCTGGAGCTGCTCAAGATCTCCGCGAAATTTATGGAGTTCAACTATTCGTTGTCACTATTGGCGCTAATGCAGATAACTTGCAATCGATGAAGAGAGTTGTTGGTGGGAAAATTTAGACAAGCTTGCAATTGCTTTAACTTGAAAACGATAGATCTTTGAACTTTTATATACAACCGTTTCATAAGAAACTTTCAGGAGATTTCCCTGAACGGCTTTTCCAAGTGACGTCGGTGGATGCATTGGATGATCAAGTTACCGAGCTTGGTCGTCATCTTTGTGGCTACACAACACCGCCAATCCCCAAGCCCACCGAGATCTATCGTCACACAACAAAGCGAGATGTTGAAGGGTTGGTTAAAGTTGTAATGAACTTGGAAATCTCAAGAAATCTCAAGAATTTCTAATGTTTACAGAGTAACCACCTCTGGACATCGTACCACCAGAGCAATTCACACCCCACAACCCCTATGTGCAGATGGAATTCGAAGACCGTACCAACTCTCACTTGTCGTTGACATCACCGGTCGATCAAATGAGAGCGATTTCAACGCTGTCCTTGCTCATCTAGCCTCTTTCCTTCAAGTGAGATCAACTAGTGAGCAACACTTTTGTTTTTTAGGAGAGCTTTGCTTTAACACCGGATATGATGGCAATCAATCTCGTCACTGTGAACAGTCAGGAAGTCTTTGCAAAGAAACCAGCAATCAATCTCAACGATATTGACACCGAACTGGCAAACATTCATCAACATTCGTAAGCAGAAAATTGATTGATAAATTTAAGAGAACTTTAGCGATGACACACTTTCGGCAAAACTGGGCGAAGGGGTTGAAGAGGTGATCAAATTGGCAAACAAGAACTACGTGAAAGGAGTGTTCCGCGTTTTGTTGGTTGTCAGCGCTGATGGAACATCGAGGTATGACATCATCATATCAATTAAAGTTATCTCTTAATATATAAAAAATTCAGTGATGAGCCGATGCCAGCGATTGAAACAGCTCGAGAACAATCTGATCATCATGTGGTCACGATTTCGATTCGCAAGCCCGCCAATCAACTTTTGGCTCAAATTGCTGATGACAAGCCAACAAGGTTTAGTTTGAAAATCGAAATATTTACACCTTTCAAACCTTCCAAAATTGCAGTTAAAACCTTTCATTTAAGAGTGATTCACCTTTCAAATTGGGAGTCACACGAGCTCTTCACTTCGTGGTTGTCATACTCGATCTGTGATGCGGTTACATCGTCCACCACCAAGCGACCCACCACCACCACTCCTCGCTTCACCACGACTTCTATTCGAAAGACAACGGGTTTGTTCTTATTTTGTGCAAATAACCAATTTACTTTAATCTTATCCAATGCTGTTTATTTTCAGTGACAGCAAAACCTCCAACTCAAACGGAGCCAACGAATGTCGAGGTGACGGCTTTGACGCCAACCTCTGTGTCCGTCTCGTGGACTTGTTGCACTAACAACAAGGCTGTGAGTTTAAAAATATGTTATTTCAGCTTTAAAAAAAACTTTAGAACTACTCAATCCTGTTCACGAGTGATCAAGAATCACCCAAAGAAAAATGGGATCGGATTCCAGCCAGATGCCGTGACAGGCAAGTGCTGAAAACAATTTTCAAACTTTTCTGAGTTTTAGCTTTGGTCTTGTGATTGCAAATCTTAAAACCGAGACCGAATACAAAGTTTGTGTGGTGGCGATGACGATAAAGGACTCCTTGAACTCAACCGCTTTAGAGCTCGATGAAAACTGCCAAGTGATCACACTCAATAAAGGTTTGTTTTCGTGAAAACAAAACGTATGGTAAAGGAAAATTTTCAGACACGAGTCCTCCTCCAGAATATATATCGATGGATGTGGTGAAGCCATGTAATTGCATCTGCCGAGGAGGAGAAGCGGTGATCACCCCCTCGTGCGGAATTCCGCTTGACGCAACTCGTCCCATCTCCACCCTTCCACCAGCACAAGAAGGAGAATGCAACTGCAAGGTGGGTCAAGTGAACTGAGTCATTACACCTACATCAACCAATCTACATCAGTCAATCTCTAATACCTTCAAAAAGCGACCGAATACAAAGTCTTTAGCTTCAACCACACGCTGGACGATGCCCAGCCGGATATGCTCTCAGCAATGCACAATGCTATGGTATTTTAAAAAAGAAAAAGGATAAATTGAGATCTTTTAGACATTGACGAGTGTCGAAACTCGAATGGAGGCTGTTCCCATGGCTGCGTGAACACTCCTGGCTCGTACTATTGCGCGTGTCCACATGGAATGCTCCGTGATCCGATGAATCCCAACAACTGCATTAGCGCTGCTAGGTAGGTGCCATAAAATGGATTGATCCACTTGCACGATTAAACTTTCGATTGACTATCGACTATGAGTATTGACTATTGACTATTGACTATTGACTTAACAAAGATTTTTAGTTCATTTGATCGAGTTGCTCAACTTCTTGGGCAATACCTTCATGCGAACAGTGAAGGACTACAAGGAGAAAAGCCCGGCCGATTCAAGGTATGTAAAGCTGTACTAGAGTACTCTAACAAGCTCGAACAACCAATATCTCAATAAAATCATATATTCAGGCAACAATTGAGTCAAAAGACGAGAAAACGATTTCTTTCGAGTGGTCATCAGTGCCGGCCGCAGTGCGGAAAGCGCTAAAATGGCTCATCTAAACATCACGAGTCGCTTTCCGAGAAAATGGAAAAAAATGAGCAAAAATTTTTTGTGCATATTGTTATTGTAGTTTCCGATTAGTTGCTATTGTAAAGATTTTGCTGAAAGCAATCCAAGAGAGTCGCCAAAGAGCCAAGTGCCCCCACACTTGACCCTCGTGCGCTCAAACGGTGTCCCTTTTGTCCCAATATTGTATCAATATTTTCTGTTTTTTTTTTTGAGAATTTTCCCCACATTATAGCCTTCATTGTCATCAAATTTCCTCCCTCGTTTCGTGCTCTCATTGAGCGTGACACCGGTGCTTATTGATGTGTATTTGTTTGCTTGCCCCTTTTTTTCTTCTTCTTTCCCAATTTCCCCCTTTCTTTATCATAGCTGCCCCCCACTGCCCCGGTTATGCACTTACTTTATCAATGCGTATTCCAATATATTGAACATTTCTCTTTTTAAGGGTTAATGAGAATTTTAACAACAATAACCTTATAGCTTTTTATCCCATATTTATTGTGCAGCAAAATGTGCATTGAGACTTTTTTTTCTTCTTTATGTCCCTCCCTTTTTGGAAATTAGCCCAATCAAAAAAGGAAATAACCCTGAAAGTCTCTCATTTTTTCTTTCTCTTTATACTAAATGTTATATATATTATTTTGTTGAATAATAAATATATGTTTTTGTTTTAAAATAAAACGCAGACTGACTATTGGTCCTTTAGCTGACTCCAAGACTCTGTAAACGTAAAATCACCTAAAATTTGATTTCTCGGGCTAAAATTTGTAAGTTCCTGGTCATTTTCTCGAGAAATTTTCAAATTACTGTGAGATTTTTAGCGAAGAGCGGACAAAATGTATCTTTCGATGAGAGACTGAAGGGGGAAAGAGGGTCGACGAGTAGCCTTCACGATCAACGCACATTGGTGAGAGCAAAAAAAGTGGAGGGTGCATGGGATTGATCGAGGAGAAGACAGCTCGGTTTTCAGCTGATCTTCACGGACTCCCACCTCTCCCACCTCTCCCACCTCGACCCCCTCACCACTCTCTCACCTCACCCCCGTCCCAGTGCTGCACCCCTCCCTTCTCCAGGCTCTCTCTATCCATTCCCCTCCTTTTCCCCCTTTCCTCTCACAGCTCATCGGCCTGCGAAACTTGTCCATTTGTCCGGTTTTCGTCGAAATATCGTGGATTCTAGCTTGCACCCTTTTCCCCTAAACATTTCTCTCTCTTTACCCCCATTTTCGGCCACCAATTTTGCATTTTCATGTTCTCACATTTTTACTTTTATTGCTCTGGTAGAATTCCCCCTATTTTATCCCATAATCATAAGGGTAAATGGGTGACTGCAAATGGGTGCACATTTGGGATATGAGGAGGCAGATGGGATCTTGTTTAGCTTGAATCTTGTTTAGCATGAATCTTGTTTAGCATAGATCTTGTTTAGCTTTCTATCAAGAAAGTCGTATTTTCTTCATCCTTTCATTTACACCTGGATACACGTTGAGAATATTTGTATAATGATTTCGATCTTGCTTTACAGTTACTAGTTTTGATACTGATTTGAACCATCTAAAGCTTTTAGACTTGGCTAAAATAGACGATCTATCTTTAGACTTGAGCTAAGCTTGAGCTTGAGCTTTAAACTTTAAACTTGAGCTTAAACTAAATTTCGTTAAGGTTTTTATTTTAATGTTATGTGTACACTGTTTATTTCATATAATGAATGATTTTGCTTATGATTTAGCTTGTGATTTGGCAGTTATTCGGCCAAAACGATTGGTGAATGGGACACCCAATGACTCCGTGGGGCTTTGATGGGGGAAACGGGTGGTGAAGAGAAAGACGGCCAGTTGGCTGTGTCGTCGGGGAGCGCATAAATTGGCTCAGAGCTCAATGGCCAGCTGCAACGACTCTTTCTCCATTCCTTTCCTCCATTCTCCTTTCCTCCTTTTGGTCACCCCTTGTCCTCCGCATTTCCGTCACCCCTTTCCCAAATCCCCAAATTTTCAACTAATAGAGTAGCTTCTATTTGTTCTTTATCCTTTTCTCCTCTTTGATCACTCTTTGAAAACCTCTGTGACTAGCTTTCGTCAAATCAACCCTTGTCCACCATTGAAATCAAATCCTTATCCATTTTTAACAATCGTTTAGCACTTTATTAGCAAAGTCGATTGACCGATTGACCTTTTAAAATCGATTGGTGCTTGTTTAATAATCTATTCTCAGAATAAAGCGTATGACAAATACTTGAATTGAATACAAAAAATGACTCAAACCTTGAAAAAATGAACTCTCCCATCCCGTTTCTCTGGCACACTCCGACAAAAAAAAATGCCCACCTAATAGCGCGCCTTTCATGCTATTCATCAAACCCTCACATTTCCGCAACTTTTCAAAAATTATTCAGCAAAAATTCTCTCCTCCTTTTCAATACACTAATTAATTTTGCTTCACTGATCGTATCTTCGTATTTTCTTTTTTACGGCACTCCTTCGGATTTGTTTTCCTTATGACGCGAAGAAATTTATGGACTTTTTTTTCTTGGGCGGTGCCCTTCTATTCTCAGACTTTATCAGCAAAAAGCGAGCAAGCAATCGCACTTTTTCGAGGGGAAGAAATGACAAAAACTAGGCTCATCTTTATAAACTGAGTCTTAACTGATGGAATTTTTATCATAAAACTAATTTAAAGAATTTTACTGTGATTGAGAGGGTTGGGTAACAATTAGAAATGGTATCGATATAAATTTCTTAATATTAGATCTTTTCTAGAAAAACAGATTCTTCTTAAAAACGTTTCAGAGAAATGAAGAGGGTAAGAGGTTTTGTTGAAGGCTAAGTTTTTAAGTGTGTAGGGTAGAGAATTTAGTTTATTGAAAATCACTGGTAACCAAGTTGCTTTTGCGTATTTTCCTGACGAGAAGTGAGGAAAGAAGAGGAGAAATGACTGGAGGCAAGGGGGTAGTGGTGGATGGGGGATGGGGGGGAGGGGTGCGTGGCGGACCGAGTATCGATTTTCTCGAGGGCCCTCGGGAGTAGCACCCTAGCCTTTCTCTCTCCTCCCTTTCCTCTTTTCTTCTTTTTCAATCTCTTTTTCTTTTTCTCTCTTAACCTCCTTACCCACTTCTTCACTTTATTTATTTATTTTCCCCTCATTGATCGTTGAAGTTTTTGATTTCACGGGACTAATCTCTCTCGACATTTCAGATACAAGCGCTGGGCAAATGCCAAGCGACGCCTCGGGAGATCATGTGAGTAGTTAAATTTTGATTTTTCCACTTATTAAACATTGATTCTTGATTTACTTTTGATTAGGAGTTAAACTGGTCTAGTTATCGTACTTTTTGATCGTTAATTTATCGTTAAACTCTATTGATCAAGAAATTATTCTTGAGTGTCAGCACAAATGCTTCAAAATTTACAAATTCATAGTTACAAACGCAAATTTACAAAGAAAAAGCGCAAAACAAGCATTTTAGGTTACACTCAAATTGATATTGGTGTCGGGTCGGACAAGGGAATTCTCCTTTTCACCATCAATTTCCGCTGCCGAAGTGACTCAGTTCGTCTTTGACCACTGGCCACAAGGTTGATTATTGATTTTAATATCTTGATATGCTATTTTGCAAGCTAATCGAGCTACCGTATTCTGATTTGATTTATCTTTGCCATTTCAATCAATTTTCCAATCCATTTCCTTTCAATTTCAGAGTGGGAAGAAGAAAGCGTCGACTCGGCCTCCCTCTTGAAACTCATCTATCACGGGCGATTCTTGCACGGGTGAGAACTGCTGTTTTATCTAAATTTTTGATAGATTCTTCTATTCTTCTATAGTTATAATAAATAATTCTTCAATTTCTTTAATTTTTAAGTATAAACGTGAATTCTAGATCTGTGACATTATCAGCTTTGGCGTTGCCACCCGGAAAAACAACAGTGATGCACCTAGTAACAAGAGAAAATCTCCCGGAGCCCAATTCTAATGGTTGGTTTGGAGGAAAAGAAGAACTTTGAGATCTTTGGCATTTCTCATAGCACTTATAGCTGAAGATAAAGAGAGTTAGCCACCATTTTACAAAGAATCCATCTGTCTATGAGCTATTAAAGCTGAGTTATGAATTGAATTGTATCCTATGAGACAAATGAATTGCTTTTGCTTCTATTAGAGCAATGTTAGAGAATTTTAAAGTTTACGATAGCTTTAAAACAAAGTTCTCTTTCAGATTCGTTGTCAAAGCGAAAACGCGGTGGATGTTGTCGATGTACGCTTTCATAAAAGATTGATTCGATTCTTCTCAAAACACTCCCAATCTTTTTAAATGCCTTTTTCTCCTCAAGACTTATTTCCAAATATCAAGCAACAAAAAAAAGAGCTTTTTCTTCATTCTCCAATTTTAGAAACAGTGCTAAGGGCTGAGGAAAGAATTGCGGAGATTTACAGTTGTTTTAGACTTTAGAGATTCGCTTTTTCAAGTTTTTTTTTCTAAAAACATAAGAATTTGGTATCATTGAATCTATGAAAGACAGAATGTCCACCATTTGAAGTCTTAAAACTTAAAAATCTCTACAATCTTTCCACCCAAAACAACGAGATCTTGAATACGGGCTTAAGAATCGTATTCTATTGTTTTTTCCTTTTTTCTCTTTTCTCTGCCACTCATCAAACGATGCACAATGTTTATTTTTTTTTAAACTTTTGCCAGCTTTCTAATTGGAACCCAATCTAATTAGAGATAAGACAAAATTGGATAAGTTTTTAAGACCTCTTAACTGTGATAAGTTAAGCAGTAAGTTAAACCTCTTAACTGTGATAAGTTAAGCAGTAAGTTAAACCTCTTAACTGTGATAAGTTTCCTGAATCTAAAGCCTTCAACAATAGCGCTTTTCTAATATTATAAAAAACATATTACCGTTTAAACTTTGTAAACAGAATACATAGTTTCTGAAAAGATATTTGAAGATTTCAATCATTCTCTGTACCATTTTCTTACCTAAACCAATCAGAAAGCTGGCTTGTATTTATTTCACAAACTAGCAATAATCACAAATAAATAATCATTAAAAAGTTTTAGGCAACTTTTTCATTTTACTCGATTTTCCTGTGAAAGCCTAGTCGCCAAAAATGAAATTGCAAATGTTCTTTGTGATTTTTCTGTCAATCCTGACTAAAAATAAGTTTCTTTCTCACTCTGTGTTCGATTTTTTTTTCGTTTTTGTCCTTTTTGTGGGTTTGCATGATATTTTTTGTGATATTTTTGTTTTTTTTGCTTATGATTTGTTCCTACTGTAAATACTGTAATAGTACCCCAGCCCCATAATGACGGTGCGGAATGTTGCGTAGTCTAGCTTTGAACGAGTTTTTCTCGACACTGATTTAAGCTATAATGCGCGCTTAGGTATCAAAAAAATAGCTGAAATTCAGGGCTATTTTTTGATACCAAAGACGTATTTTTTGAAAGTACGGGCGCTTTGTAAAAAATGAAATACTAAAAAACTTTTGCGACTACGCGACTGTACGAGGGGGGTGGGGTACTATTACAGTATTTACGGTAAGTGTTTTGTTTTTTTTCTGATTTCAACTCTCTAAGGTAAAAGCTTTCAAAAGAATCATTTTTTTGTGGATTTCATTTTGTTCAACCAAAGAGCTGTTACGTGCTATCAGGTTTTTAAAAAAAAGGGAATTTCGTAGGAATACTCTAAAGAATGGCAAACTTACCGTAATCTCAAAGCCAAACTCTCTCCTCCATGTGTACATTTCGGCAATAATCGCCTTTCAATGCGTTTAATTTATGCAAAAAGAAATAAAAACTTCAAACATATAACGAAAATCGATTTTAATTTGAATAACGTTAAAAAATTACAAAAACGTGTAACACCTTTTGAACGACTTATGAAACTAGTCTTTTGAATCAAATCAAAAATCAATTGTGTCAAATGTCAAATAAATATGTATCAATTGTCAAATATTATCCACAGCTACTATATTAATTATACAATCAAAAGCAGTTTTTAATAAAACAACTGGAACCAGGGCAGCGCAAAAACTTATGTGCCGCTGAGACTCGAACCCAGGACCTTTCGTTCCCAGAGCAACTGTGCTAACCATTACACCACAACGCATTTAATCTCCCTAGCTCCATAGGGACTTAAGTAAACAAAAAGATCAATTTCTTTTTTTTAAAAAACCAAAAGTTTCACTAAAAAAGGCTAAAAATATGATTTTATGCTCTTTCAGGCTGCACCATTTTTGTTCTGTAACAAAAAGTATTCAGCTGGAGTGTTTGGATTATAAGGTGGATGAACTACCGTAGGCTTGGGAAAGTGTATAAAAGGAGCAAATTTAGCAAAAATTTTCATTCTGGTTCAATCGTTAGCAGAGTTTTTAGTTTAGTATAAGATGGTTGCTCATTCGATAAACCATCACCCTGAAATTTCGGAGTATAAAATACTATTTTGTGCTATGAGTGTAGAAATAGCGTAATGAAATGAAGCTTTCGAAGCGAAGCACAAAATAGACAAAAATGAAATGAATTTAGAAATGTTTTTTGGGAACTAGTTTTTATTGGATGATTAGCTTTTTGTTCAACTTTTTCTTTTCAAATTTTCCTTTAAAATATTACGAGCTAGTTTTAAAGATATTTAAGTTTAAAATTAGAAACCCGATACAGAAAAGGCATGTTGTCATGACTACCGAGTAAACGAAAAAGAAAAGCAGAAAGGGAAAAAGAGACAAGAAAACATACGATTTACATACAAACTTCAAAAGCTTTCACCTATTTACTACTTTTTTTGAAAAATAAATTTGTTGTTCATTCTATAAATGTCTCGAAATAAAGTCTCCTCGAAAATCCCGACAAAGACGAAAGATTCAAAGTCGAATGAGAAAATAACGAAGAAAAATCCCAGCTCAACTCTCAAATCGGATAAGGTGATTAGAAGAATTGAATAAATCTGTTTTCAGGAAGTACTAATAAACTTTAATAGTACGAATCTATAGAAATCTTTCCGTTTTCAAATCTTTATCCTTTAGAAAACGAGTAAATCAACGACAGGCAAAGAAAACACATTAAAGAAGGCGCCGAAGCCGAAAACTCCGACTCCTGAACCGCAAGAAGAATACAATTATGAGGTTTTCTTGTAACAAAGAACTGTTTTAAATTATTTGAAAACTAAACATTTATATTAGCTACTTATAATTATTACACCAAAGTCTCTTTAAATCTTGAATAATAAAATCCTTTTCCAATATCAAAGAACTCTCTTTTACTAGATCAGATTTCAAAAAGTTCAGGACGATTTCGAGGATTATTCGGATGATTTTGAAGATGATGATGAAGAAAAAGAAGAAAAGAAAGAAGTCGAGCCAAAATCGGAGAATATTAAAATGAAAGAAGAGAAACCAATGGGCAGCGAAGCTTCACGCGCAAGAACTCCACCACAATCAATACCAATAACAAATGACGAATCGAAACCGGAACCAATAGTAGTTAAATCTTTTATTTATTTAGTCAAAGCTTTTAGGAAGGTTCTGACGAGACACCGATGATGCGACGATTGAAAAGCAGCAAAGGACCCCGAGCACACGTTCAATCTGAAGTTGAACAAAAGACGATGAATAGAGAGGAACGATTTGAGGTAAATAATTTTTAAAAAAACATTTCAAATTAAACTAGATTATTTAACATTTTGAAACAAAAGTTGTCATTACAATATAACTGTTAACTTTAAGTTTAACGTCAAAGCATCACAGAGACAATTGACACTGATTCCAAGCGGTCCCATCATTCCAATGAACTTTGGAGACAATGGAAATCAAGAAAAACGACACCAAACTCTTCGACAGTTGATCGGTAGTTCAATAAAGTGTTCTTGATCTCTTGATCTCAAATATTTTCAGGAATCGAGTCAATCCCTGTTCGGATTCTTGACAAGCCACCAGTGAAAGATTACAATTTGTACCTGGAGATGTTCGGGGATAGTGGGAAAATTCAAGTAAAAGAAGTTATTTTTTTAAAAAAAGGATTGGCTTTAGGCGTACTGTCAAACTGGTGACGACGATACGAATGAAGAGACACAAACCGACGAACGAGAGCTACAAAATAAATGGACACAGCACCCAGCTATTGTATGTGGCAAAGAGTATCCAATACTCTGCATCCAGCTATGTATCCATTGTATTCAATATTTATTTAAAATTACCATTCCTTTAGGACAGTTTCGGATGGGGAGCCGATGCAGAAATGGGGGCCAACGAAATGGGCATTCTCTCGGATGATCTCAATCTTTTTAAGGTAGATTTTAAATGGCTCACTTACAAGAGTTCACTTTCAACTTTTCTATAATAAAAATTTGAATATCTTTTAGATAAACCATCTTCAAAACCCTCGATTGAAAGAGTTTGTTGAAGCATCAGCTCAGGTAGATTTACAAAGCTGTACTTGAACTGTATGTCGACGAATTGTATGTTTTTTTTCTCTATACAATATAACACTTTTGAGATTATCATCGAATTGATCACTTCTCGAAATCGAAAAGTTGAATACATCGAAATGCACCATCGAAGCGATCTTGCATTCAGTGCCGGCTACAACTTGTTCGGACTCGGACAATTGGCTAGCGGTTAGCTTAGCTAAAAATCATTCATTGTTATATTTAAAGTATTGTATTGTATGATATTGTTTAAAGCAAACATTTATTGTTCTATTTTTCAGTGTCAAGTTGTCAATTTGTGTTGAAGCCCCCACACGAGGACGAGACAATGCTCGGTGCTTTCTATATCGACGAATCACCGGCAACAGATATTGTCAAAAAATCGATTCTCATCGAATTTTTTTTGTCTAATTCAAAGATTCCGCAGAGGTTTTTTTTAAGGCAACTAGGCCTTAAACTTTAGCCATTTTTAGGGTATTTATTTGTGAAGGAAGAGTGAAATGTTGTGTCTATGCGCCCGATGGGACAATTCTCTTTGCCGGATTGGTGAGTGATTTTTAACTAATATCTAATATTTCTAAATACTCAAGTTTTAACAATCGATTGGTTTTGTATAGTTAAACTATTAAGTTAATGGTTTTTTTTTAATTTAGATGGATGGATCTTGCGTAGCTTGGGATCTCCTCGAGCCGTCAACTTCATTCACGAGCTCGATTCCGTGGCCTGAATCCGAAGATGATATCATTCTTAGGTGATTTATGATAGAATTCTTGGTTCTTGTAAAGTTATAGTAGAATTCTTGGTTCTTGTAGTTTTTTTTGAAAGTCTACAAGCTTTTTGAGGTTTTTGAGCTCTTTCTTGTTGTTTTCTTGAGTTTTACTTTATTATTACATGCAGCTAATATTTTTTTAAAGAATAATTATGATTAATAGAAAAAGGAACATAAAATGCATCCATAAAAGCTTATTTTGTATGATTTTGACTTCAAAATTAGCCTTTTGAAAGATTGGCTTCAGGAAATAAATCAAAGAAATCACTTTTCTGGATGCAATTCCTTTTTCTATTGATTATTCTTTAAAAAGAATATCAACTTGCATAGAATAATAAAGTAAAACTCAAGAAAACGACAAGAAAGATCACAAAACTTTACAAGAATCGAATTCTTAATAGATTCTTAATAGATTCTTAATAGATTTCTTTCCTTTTAGAACCCCAGCCTATGATACCTCGTTCTTGAGTAGTACGTTTTCTTCTTCAAGCAAATCAGCTTCAACCATTCACATCACAACAATCAATCGACCAAATGAGTGAGTCTAACTATAGCTTGTAGTCAGTAGAATAAATTATCCAGTTTCTGGTCAACATTTTTGAAAGTGGTTTTTTTCAAAATTTCATTTGAACTCTAAGCTCGAATCTTTAGCACAACTTATCAAGTGGCATGTCTTGACGAAAGTGGCACAATATCTGTATGGTCAGGTGAAAAATATTAAATTATAAGTATAATTTGATTTTTTTAGTACTTCGAGATGTGAACACGATGAACAACCTCGGCACTGGTCCAGACGCCCGTCTCGCAATGGGACTCACCGCTTTGCTCAGACCAGATCATTCGATTTTAAAGTGAGTGCAATTTCATTTGGGGAAAATCTCGAAATTCCAGTGCCAACTCGAATCCGACTTTCCTGATTGCTAACTGTATGGTATCGAATCGAAAAGATCCGACACATTTCATTGTTGGCACTGATATTGGTTTTTTGATGACTCTGTCAAGAACGAAAGGGCCTATTTATACCGGACCAAGGCTATACAAAGCAAATATGAGTTGGTGGACTTTAGAAAATTGAAATTGAAAATGAAATTGAAAATGAAAATGAAATCGAAATTGAAAGAAAGCTTATCTAGATGTGTTTGGAGAAGTGATTTGTTTACGGAACTCTCCATTCGATGAGGATGTCTTTGTGGTAAAGTTTTTGAATAATATTTTCAGAAAAATAATAGCATTATAAATTCCTAGTGATTCCAGGCGGGTCTCTCATCGGGTTGCTTGTCATTGCATAGAACAAATCACGCAAGCCCATTGATTGTGCTCACTCCACCGCAAGAGGCTCGAGACATCGTCACCACAATTGAATGGAGTCCTAGGTTTCGAATTTTAAATTCAAATATCTTTAGATATCTAGATATTAAATATTTAAATATTTATGTATAAAGAATCCTTAGAAAGTCATGTTTTTAGTCACCCAAGCATTCTCTACTCAGTCCATGGTGGTACGCGAGTTGTCACCTGGGATCTTGGCAAGGGTCAACAGCCTGTCTCTATCTCGAAGATCTCGCAAATAAATGCAAAGTATAGAAAAATTTGAATAGATTTAAGGAATTAGAATTCTTTTAGAGTCATATGCAGTCATTGCTGGTTTACGAAGCCAGGTCCAGCTTCGTCTGGAATCGGCTATATGGTTTGTTCTTTGAAGAAAACAAGATTTTTTTTATTCAATTCAGGCATTTGGTCTCGAAGATGGAAGTGTTCAGTTGCATGCGCTTGAGAATGTGAAACCGATTATCGATTCTGCAATCAAAAATATCACACAGATTCTGAAAAAGTCTGGTGCTTTTGTGTAGTGTTTCGAATGTGATGAATTGAATTATGAATCAAGTCAATCAATCAAATAAAGTTTTTTGAATCAAATTATGAATCAAATTAAGTCTTTTAAATCAAATTATGAATCAAATTAAGTCTTTTAAATCAAATTATGAATCAAATTAAGTACTTTGAATCGAGTTTTGAATCCAATCAAGTGCTTTGAATCTAGTGCTTTGAATCAAGTTTTGAATCAAACTCTTTACTACGATAAAAGTACATTCAAAAATAGAGACTCACATCAAAGAACACTCAGAAGTCCAGAAATCAAAAGGAAAAGAGGTGGTAAAAATGTGTCAACATATAATATCGCGCGGAGGCGTCAGTGGAAAGCAAATGATACTTGACTGGACCCAAACTGACGTCTCCTCCACCCACTGACGTACCTATATTTATTTTTCTTTCATTTTCTCTCACCTGGTTGGAATTTAATCCCAATCTTTTTTTCCAGTACAACTTTCCCTTCGATTACATTCATTCATTCATTAAATCCAGCTTACAATCTTGTGCATAAAAGTGTTGTAGTGCGGATTTGAGTCACACTCCTCATAGGTGACAGGTGAGGGTATGGTGAAAGAAAAGGGCTGACCCTGACACATTTCTTTCGCGCATCTCTACCTCTCCTCATCGTCTTACCATCATTTTCTCTCGTCTCTTCTCTCCTCGAAAACTTTTCCCTCGAAAAGCCAAATGAAAGAAAGAGAGAGAGCATCACCGAGCTCTTGTCGAGAAGATCGTTTCCCGTCAAAAACGCGCAGCACCCGCTTTCCATTTGAAATTGCAGGCGAGCAAACGTTTCTCTAATTTCATCAATCTCTTCTCAGATCTACTATTTCTATCTTTTCTTTATCAATCTTGTCATTCTTTTTTTTCATTTCTTTAATCTTTTCCATTTCGTCAAGCAATAAGCAGCAATAAGCAATTGCCATCCGATCTCTTTTCATCATCGTTCGAGTTTGATTTTTTTTTCTTGAATTGCCCTCCTTTCAAAATTTGAGAAAACGAAATTGATCTTGAAAACTGACTTTTAAAAGTGATTGATTAAAACATTTTCATTTTGCCATCAATGGAACGCTATTCCTTTTGCTAAAATTGCCTAGGTGAATCACAGTCGTGTTTTCAAAACAAAGAAAACAATCATCAAAATCATCAATGAACAATGCAACTGTGAAATTTCTACTGCAATCGTTTCTAAGTTTTAAATGCGAATGTTGCTTTTTCTTTTTTGCATTTTGCTTTGCTTATGCTAAATTTTGTTTGATTTTCCAGGGCCAAAAAAAAGATCGAATGCGGGGCGTCGGCTTCGGGCCGTTGTCGCGACTCGGCCCCCTTTTCTTTCTATATTTTTTCGTTTCAACTCCGGTTTTCGGTAAGCATAAATCCCAAATGAAAGCTAAATAAAGTTTCTGTAGCATTAACGAAAATCGAAGAATATCAACGATACGATGGATGGTTTAACAATCTCGCTAACCCGGATTGGGGGACCGTTGGTACGTCACTTTTTTTTTTCTTTTTCCTAAAGAAACTCACAAGTTTGGTCTTATTGGTTTTTCAATAGGACATTTCTTCAAAGAGATTACAAGAGAAAAACTTGAGAAGCGAAAAGAAACGGGAAAAGAAAAGACATTGGCTGATGATGGGGAACATTGTTTACCGAAAATCTCAAACGGTCATTCAGCACACTTTTTAAGCAGAATAGATTGATATTTCGAAGTGTGAACAAGTGTTAGGCGACTATTTCATAACAATCTCAACAAAGGTCACATATGCCTTTGTTTTTGGTGTTTTTGGTGTCTTTGTTTTTGGGAGGTGTTAAAGAAAAATGGTATCAGTGAAAAAAAATGGGGAATTGTGTATGCCAAGGCTTTAACTCAGACAATGCTTTGTCTATTGTAGACTTTATATGCAAATAAACATTCACAATAGAAAAGTTGTCTATATTTAGTTCAATTTTGTCTATTGTATAGTCAATTTTTGAGGAAGTCGCTTGCATCGAGATGCTCCATCGAATTACGAAGATGGCGTTTACATGATCGATTCTTCACTACCATCAGCTAGAGTAATCTCAGGTTTAGATCAAATCTTTTACCTTTTAAACAATGAAATGTTTCAGAACTTCTTTTCAAAGGTGAAGCTGGACGAGCAAGCAAACGAGGCCTCACCACAATGCTTACCTTTTTCAGTAAGCTAGTTTTTTAAAGGTTTATAAAAAGTTCTTTAGGTCAAGTTGTCGCCTATGAAATCATGCATTCAACTCAAACAAGTTGCCCACTCGAGATCATGAAAGTTAAAGTAATGATTTAAGAAATATTATTTCAAAGAGAAGAGCTCTAGGTACCTCTTTGTGATCGAGTTTTTGATAAGAATTGTGAAGGAAAAACAGAGATTCCTTTCACGAGAGCAAAATACGATAAACAGACTGGGAAAGGCTTCAATTCGCCGAGGGAGCAAGTGGGTAACGATATTATTTGATAAAGAAGAAAATTCTCTAGTCTTTTTTTTGAATAATGCTTTCAGACAAATGAAAGAACATCGTGGATTGACGCCTCACTGCTTTATTCAACTCAAGAACCTTGGGTGGCTGCTCTTCGTTCCTGGAAGAATGGCCGACTTTCGGAAGGAGACATGAAAGTAAGCAAAAATTGAATTTTCAAAAAGCTTAATTTAAAAGAAAACATATTGTTCTTTCATCAATTTCATCAATTTACGATTTCAGGGCTATCCACCATTAAACAATCCGCATATTCCGATCAATAACCCACCTCCACCACAAATTCATCGACTGATGAACCCAGAGCGATTATTTAGTAATTAAATCTTTTCAAAATTTGAAAAATCTAATCATTCAGTCCTTGGTGACTCTCGAATCAATGAAAATCCAGGCCTTCTTTCGTTTGGTCTAATCCTTTTTCGATGGCACAATCACTGGGTAAGACTTTTGAATGAATGTTGAACATCTTTGCTCTTAAATAAATATATCATTTCTTGATTTGTTTATTAGCTAAAAATTGAATTAGGCTGACAAAATTAAAAGCAAAAATGAACAATGGAAAGACGAGGACGTATTTCAAGCGGCAAGAAGATGGGTCGTCGCTACTTTACAGGTTTAATTTCAAAGTCTAACAGGCTAAAGAAAAATCTAGAAAATTGTGCTTTATGATTTTGTGCCAGCTCTTCTAGCAACAAATGACTCAACCCCACCATACAGGTTTTGATTTCTTTTTCGATTTTACTTTCAGTTTTACTTTTTAGGGGTTACCAACCGCACATTCCACCCGGAATTTCTCATGCTTTCGCGACAGCCGCTTTTCGATTCCCACATAGCATTGTAAGTGATATACAATCACTACCGTAAATACTCTAATAGTACCCCACCCCCATAATGACGGTGCGGAGCATTGCGTAGTCTGGCTTTGAACGCGTTTTTCTCGACACTGGTTTATGCTACAATGCGCGCTTAGGTATCAAAAAATAGCTGAAATTCAGGGCTATCTTTTGATACCAAAGACGCATTTTTTGAAAGTACGGGTGCTTTGAAAAAATGAAATACTAAAAAACTTTTGCGACTACGCGACTGTACGAGGGCGGTGGGGTACTATTACAGTATTTACGGTAAATGAAATACAATCACTGGGTAAGACTTTTGATTGAATGTTGACCATCTTTGCTAACTAAATATATAATTTACAATAAAAATAACCAGTCAAATCACTAAAGATGAAGACAATGTTGTGGTGGAGGATTTGGGGCTTTAGATGGGGAATTCTTTCAAAAACTAGAAAAATATTGCTAGATAATACAAAGATAATAAAAGACAATAAACAAACATTATTCTAGGTCCCTCCTGGGATGCTCCTTCGCAAACGAGACTCCAATTGTTCATTCCGATCCGAAGTTGGCGGATATCCAGCGCTTCGTCTTTGCCAAAATTGGTGGAATGCTCAAGACATTGTCAAAGAATATTCAGTTGATGAGATCATTTTGGGTTTGACTTTCGTACTCAAATTGTAATAAAGTGTTCAGGAATGGCCAGTCAAATTACTGAAGAGGAAGACAATATTGTGGTGGAGGATTTAAGGGGTTAGACAGAGAATTCATTTGTTTAAGAATGATTTTTAGATTACATTTTTGGACCAATGCATTTCACTCGTTTGGACGTTGTTTCCACGTCGATTATGAGAGGAAGGTGAGGCTTTTATTGAATTGAAATCACTTTCTAAAGCTATTGTAAGCTTTATTGCTATTCTAGCATTCATTGAATGCAAATTTTCAGAGATAACGGCGTTCCACCATATAATGTGATGCGTCGACAATTTGGGCTACCGGCAAAGGATTGGGACACTCTTGCTCCAGCGTTCTTCGACAAAAACGATCCTAAAAAACAAGAGGTGAACAAACGAAACGAAAAATTATGGAGATACAATATGATACTTTATGTTTAGAACCTCTGAAAATGATTTTCTGTCTAACTACAGTTGTCTAACTAGACTTTATCTAAACTCTTTACTAGTTAGACAGAGTTTAGATATCATAACAAACTGTAACTATTCTAGGCAAGGAAATAGTCTTGAATCTAACTACAGTCAACGCTCTCTATCACGGAATGGAAGGGACCAAAAAAATTTTTTCCGTTAGAGCTTTCCGTTATATAGCTTGGCGTCGGCCGGGATCAAAATTCCATTCCATTATATAGAGTTTTCGCTATATAGAGTTCCGTTATAGAGAGAGTCGACTATGGAATCTAAAGTATCTACCTTAAGGTTAAGTTAGGTATTACTTAAGGCTTAGGTTGTCCAGAAAATCTTTTTGTTCCTTTTCGTACTTCCTTTTTAAACCAACAAATGCATTAATTGAACTACAGTTTGTTTAAAAAGCTTAATTTCATTTCTTTCATTAGAAAGGTCAATGATTTCTATGAAAAATAAGATTAAAACGGGTTTAAAATGTCTTATTTTTGGATTTTTTTGAGAGCCTGAAGTCGGGTAGTCAAAACGGCTCGATGATGCGATTTAGACACTTTAGCTAAAGAAATCTATTTTAGTGTCAATAGATAAAAGATAGAGCATAAAAAGTTAGGTGTATAGCGAAATTTTCAAAGAAATTCATTCGGTCAATTTCTTCGTAGAGCTTTTTATAGATTTATACGATTTTTACGTGTTTTCACGATCGAATTTGGTTTTAAGTAAAACCGAAATTGACTTAAAAAGATGGAAATTGAACAAGAAATACTTTTTTATTTAAGTGAAAATCAGATTAATTAGTGAGTATTTGTTATTTTTCAATGGCAGTATGAAAAGAAACGAAAATACTTTCTAGAGCGTCTAATAGTTTCATTCTCTTCACCAATCTAAGTGAAAATCAGATTAATTAGTGAGTATTTGTTATTTTTCAAAAAGGAAATAGGAAAGAAAAGAAACGAAAAGACTTTCTGAAAAGCTTAATCGGTTTGTTCTTTAAGTAATGATTTAAAGAAAAAACCGATTAAGGTGTCCAGCTTTGAAATAGCACAAGTATTGGGTCAAAATTTAAAAAAATCAATTATAAAGTTACAACAAAGTATTCTACTAGATATCATCTTTAGCTCTTGAACAATTTGAGTGCTTTATATGGAGGCGATATCGACAAGTTGGAAACGTATGTGGGCGGAATGTTGGAGACAAATGGATCAGGTCCGGGAGAGCTTTTCTCTCGAATCATTATGGATCAATTCTTGAGACTTCGAGATGGAGACAGGCAATGAGAAATTGATAAGAAAAGATCTTAAGTCGATTTTTTTAGATTCTGGTTTGAAAATGAATTGAATCAGATCTTCACTGCTGACGAAATTCGAGAAATTCACAGCATCACCCTTAGAGATATCATTGGGAACACGACAAATATCGATTCGAGCATGTTGCAGCCAAATGTTCTCATAAAAAAAAAAGAATCCTTTCATCAGTTTGCATTTTAGGTTTTCTTTTGGAAAGAAGGTGATCCATGCAAACAACCGTTTCAAGTAAAGCCCACTTTCCATTTTTCGTTTCAAAAAAAAAAACTTTTTTGAGGTTGATACGAAAAACTTGGAGAAATGTGTTCCATTTATGAAATTCGATCATTTCACCGGGAATGAAGTCACGTATATCTTCACGCTGATTGGACTTGCCTGTGTTCCAATTGGTAAATAAAATTTGAGAATAAAAGTGACAAGTTTGCTTGCTACAGTTTGCTTTGGTATTGGTCAATTGTTGGTGTCAAGACGAAAAAAGATGGGCTGGGATTCGGCGTATGATGGGATGAGCGCGAACACAATCGATCACAAACCCGATGGAGACGTGCACAGTTGTGCAGGTGAATTCAAGCTTTAAAAGCTGGAGACAAGATTTTTTTTTAGCAATTGAATGGCTTCACGAAACATATTGTCGAAGTGTGGTGGTGGTTGTGGAAAAATCGGCATCGCTTGTGGTGAGAAAGCCGCGTGGAGGCGAGAGGAATCGTGATCGAGTTCTCAGAAGGATTAAGGTTTGAAAAATGGGATGATTTTTATGGGCAAACTAGGATATAATCGAATAAATGAATGAAATCCAATAAATTGAATGCGTATTGAAGTCAAATCCTGGTTTCAGTTCCCGCCAAATGCCACTATCAAGGTGATGCTTTCACATCCGAAAGCCAGCTCTGTGCATGGTCCGTTTTGCTTGATCCGAGTGCCGAAATTGCACGATTTGGTAGGAAAATTGTCGTTTTCTAATAAATAAAGGATAAATATCAATTCTAATTCACCAAAACTTCATTTCAGGTAGTTCGTCTTCCCTCCGATGCTCATAGTACCGAGTTTCTTCGGCACTTGAGCGCTTCCGTTGATGTGGTAAAGGAATTTTACATTGAAATCTTATATATTTCATTTCTTATATATTTTATTGTATTTATATTATATTATTCTTCTAGATTGGAGCAAAAATCGATAAAGAACACATCGATAATGAGGAACTTTTGGCTCAAGCCGAAACAAAAGATAAACGAAAGATGAAATTGGATCATTTCTTCAGGTTTTCACTAATAACTATTTCAAATTTGAATTTGAATCTAATAGCTATTTCTAATTTCATTTGTTTATTCGTTTCATTTAATTCGAATTCTAGAGAAGCCTATGCTCGTGCTTTCGATCAACCCGAGCTTTCCGACACAACTTTAGAGTACGATGCACAAGATGAAGATGTTCTTGCAACAAAGCTAACCAGGTAATAATAATAATAATAATAATCTTTTAACTAAATTTTAATTTTACAGAAGTGAATTTGCGGATGCGATTGGAATGAGAGAAAACGATCTTTTCGTTCAGCGAATGTTTGCAGTAACGGCGAAGAAGAACTCGGATACAATCACTTTCCGAGAATTCCTTGATGTTATTCGAAAATTTCAAACTGGTAAAGAGTTATTGTTATTTCTAAATCAAAAAGAAAAAGAAAGTTAATCAAGTTATTATTGTTATCTTTAAATCAAGTCAGAACTGAATCTTTAAACTCTTTCGCTGTTCTAACTAATGACATTGCTTGTATGACACAAGTAAGTGTTTCAGTTAATCCTATCTCTAAAGCAAATAAAAGTTCAGGTGGAACAAAGCAAAAGTTGACACTTTTATTCACGATGTGTGACCGAAATGGAGACGGTTCGGTGGAAAGAGAGGAATTCGTTGAGTTCATCAAATCGCTCAATGGGGTGGCTGGGGTGAAAATCGATAACTCTCAACAAAATGATATCATTGATGCGATTTTCTTCAAGAGTGGTTAGTTGTTGGATATTCTTGACAGTGGCTATATTTCAGTAAATTCCATAAGATGTCGATCTAGTAAAGCGAAACGACCAAGTAATCCCAGTTTGACGATTCCTTCGCTCAATTTTTGTCCGCTTTTATTTTGCTTTACAAAAAAAAAAACAATTCAAAGTTGAGCTTGAAATGAAAAATTTCGTTTTAGGCATTTCTCCACGCCAAGAAAAGCTGACATTCGATGATTTTGAGAATTTGTTTCATCATGACGGTGCAACGAGACCAGTGGGAGTTGATTTCAGAGGCGCACGAATGAAAGTGAATCTAGACGAGTAAGAGAAATGCTTGAAATTTTGAGAAAAAGAAAAAAACATTTCAGAACTGAATCTTTAAACTCTTTCGCTGTTCCAACCAATGACATTGCTTGTATGACAAAAGTAAGTTTTTCAGTTCATCCTATCAATCAAATCAATGTCTGAGTTTGGGGTGCGACCCGCTTTAACCTTATCATCGAGGATGATTTTGCTTCAGAATAGCCGAATTGCACAAAGAAGGTTAAAAGGGTTTCCCCAAAGCGCTTACAACATAACAAGAACGCGCAGCATCCAACACAAGATTAATACTCGTCGGTGGCGACACAAATGTTAGTAAGCTCTCTCTACAATGTTAAACCAGTCATCGAAACAGGATTTAAAACCTGAAGGGTAGCAGAAAGTAAGTTGAATTTATAATTTTACTGTTTATTAGTACAAAACCAAAATGCAACAATACCCATTACAAAAACAGCATGCGCATCAAAAGAAACAACCAAGTCCCCCCAGAAAAGAAGGCAAAAGCAACCCGCAGACCAGCAAAAACAATTTCGGGAAGGGACAAAAGGGCGAAAAATCCGACGCGAATAATTGCAAAATAGCAACGCAAATAGGAAAGAAACGGACGCGACCTCTGAAATCAATCTCTAATACCAAATATCTACTATCAATCTGATCTCAAAAATTTACAGGACTTTTTCGGCACAGCTCTCTCATTTTTGGAGACTTACCGTCAGCAAATCGTGATTCTCTTTGTCTTTTTCTCCATCAATATCATGATTTTTTTGGAAAGATTTTGGCGTAAGTTTTAACGAATAAATAAACTAACAAAAATTTAATAAATATTGAAGAAAGTTATTAAAGACTTTTTAGATTATCGCTACGAAACAGAGCACAGGGATTTAAGAAGAGTAATGGGAGCTGGTATCGCAATTACAAGAGGAGCCGCTGGATGTATCTCTTTCAATATGGTAAATGAACCTTTAAAGGTTATCTCGGTTTTAAGAAAAAACATTTCTTCACACGAATAATGTTGTACAAACAATACACAAGGAAGCCCTAAGCCTTAAACTTCGGGAAGAAAGAAACCAATATCGGAAAAAGAACCAAAAACATAGCCGGGGTTGAACCCTTAAAAACCGGAGTGAGCCTTCCGACTAAGATACAATGCTGTTGGCCAGCTATGGCGAGTTTTTGATCAACTCTATCTTTCTAGGCTTTGATTCTGTTGACGGTTTGCCGAAACGTGATCACTTTGATTCGCGAGACGCCACTCGGTGAATACATTCCATTCGATTCGGCAATTGCTTTCCACAAAATCGTCGCGATCACAGCTGCCTTTTGGGCCACCACACATACAATCGGTCATTGTGTCAATTTTTATCATGTCGCTACGCAAAGCCAAGAGGGATTACAATGTCTTTTCCAGGAGGCTGTTTTTGGGTTTGCATATTTGGATTCGTTTATTGAACATTTTCTAGATCGAATTTCTTACCGACGATCAGTTACTGGTTTTACAATACAATCACTGGGTTAACTGGTAAGCGGAAGAGTTCTTTAACTTCAAAATTTGGTTCAAATTCAAATGTGACATTCGATACGCGCTCTTTTCCAATGAGTAAACTTTAAACTAAAATTTCTTCGTGTTGGGTTGTTCAATTTAAATACTTTTTGTATCATTAGATGCGCAAAGACTTTCTCTATCGATTGGTTCAGAAATCATTTAAATTGAAAAGCTCAACACCAAGAAATTTGAGTTTAAAGTTCGATTGCTAATGGGGCCAAATGTCCCAGTGGCCATTGCTAATGGGCTAATTGCTAAAAGAGGCCAAATGTCCCAAAATCCAAAAATCTTGCTTAGGTATTCTACTGGTTTGTGTGATGTCGATTATTTACGTCTTTGCTCTGCCATCAATCATGAGACGAGCCTATCACGCTTTCCGTCTCACGCATTTCCTTAATGTTGCCTTCTATGCGCTCACAATGCTCCATGGTTTACCCAGGCTTTTGGATGTACATTTTAAATTTAAACAAGCTTCGAAATCTAATTCAACTTATAGTATTTTGACATTTTTTGACAATTTTTTGACAAAGCATCTCAATTTAGTCTCCAAAATTCTGGTATTACGTCATTGGGCCAATCATCGTTTTCGTTATCGATCGAATTATCGGAATGAGACAAGAGTACAAGAAATTGCAAGTTCTCAATGCAGCACTTCTTCCATCGGGTATTTTGTTAGAAAATCTTTGAAATTTTGATCTTGCAAATTGAAATTTTGATCTTCAACGTATTTTAACAAAGAAACTTTTTTAGATATCATCTATTTACAGTTCAAACGACCGGTTTCCTTCAAATTTAAATCTGGTATGTTTCTAAAGAAATTATTCGAAATATACACTAATGGACAATGAAATATCATATTTGAAAAAAGATCGTCACTTTCGCGCGTCTGTAACTCCATTGTCTTTACCGTATTTCTAAATATTAATATTGCCATTGTGTAGCCCTTGGAAAAAGCTTTCAGAAAATGTATAACACTAATAGTTTAAACTCAAAGACAAGGGAGCTACAGACGCGCGAAAGTGACGATCGTTTTTTCAAATATGATATTTCATTGTCCAGTACTGTAAATCAAAAAATATTACACAAAATGTTCTATTATTTGGCCTAAATTTCCTTTCGAAATTTAGGAATTAAATTATTCGCAAAAAAAAAGAAAATCCCTTATATACTTTGCTCAATGAGAGGCGAGGTGTTCTTTGCGTGCTCGCGTAATCGCTTACCGTCTAGCGCATGCCCTATGGGTATAAAAGAGCAATCAATGGTCTTAAAAAGGCTAGAAACATGCGAAATTATAAAAAATCATTGAAAATACAAGTTCTCTAAAGAATTGAAGAAATAACATTGTAATCGAAAATTGATAACAAGAAGAATCCTAGGTCAATGGGTTCGAATTTCATCGCCAGCTTTCAAATGCTCTTTCAACGAGCATCACGCGTTTTCCCTTGCTTCAGCGCCACAAGCTCCAACTCTTGAGCTTTACATAAAGGTTTTATTTGATTGAACAATACAATAGTAACAAAAGGACAGGCTGTTGGCCCATGGACTTGGAAGTTAAGAGCTGAAATAATGAGAGCACAAGCAACCAGTTCACCCTATCCACTCATTCATCTCACTGGACCGTATGGAGATGGAAATCAGGTAATTAGAAATAATAGAATGAATTTAAGACTTTCCATAGGATTGGACAAATTACGAGGTGGCAGTGTTGATTGGTGGCGGTATTGGTGTCACTCCATATTCTTCTACTCTCACCGATCTTGTTCTTGAGACAAGCAGCGGAAAGCACAATCTTGTCAAATGCAAAAAGGTTTACCAAATCTTTTTTTTAACATTTCCAAATCCAATTTAGGTCTATTTCTTGTGGATTTGCCCAACTCACAAAAACTATGAATGGTTTATTGATGTGTTGAAAGGTGTAAAAGTTTATTGTATTTGAAATTATGGTGAATTTTCAAGATGTGGAGGATTTGGATCAAGGTCGAATTTTGGAAACTCATATTTTTGTTACTCAATTTTTTCACAAATTCGATTTGAGAACAACGATGCTGGTAATTGAATGAAAGATTATGAAATAAGAAAACAAACAATTACAGTATATTTGCGAGAAACATTTTCGTGGAACAAATCAAGGCACCTCAATGTTCACTGGTTAGTATTGGAGTTGTGTTTTTGAAGTGGAAAAGAATGCTCATTTTGGGAGTGGGACAAAGGCGACCTTTTTTTTGCGCACCCGGCCATTTGCGCACCTTTTTTTCCGCACCTTGCCCATTAGCGCACCTTTTTTCGCGTTTTAAAAAAGCTCTAAAAAGCTAATATTAACCAATTTCTATTCCAAAAGTTGTTTTTCTAGGTAATTTGAGGGTGTCGAATTCAAATTTTGACATAACAGAGCGTGTGGAACCAATTTGAAAGACAAAACGACAAAAATTACAGAAAATTGTCGATTTTTCTCTTTGCATAACTCCGTCCGTTTGTTTCCACAAGCTCTGATATGTCAAAATTTCGATTCTACGCCCTAAAATTACCTAGAAAAACAACTTTTGGAATAGAAATTGGTTAATATTAGCTTTTTAGAGCTTTTTTAAAACGCGAAAAAAGGTGCGCTAATGGGCAAGGTACGGAAAAAAAGGTGCGCAAATGTCCGGGTGCGCAAAAAAAAGGTCGCCTTTGTCCCACTCCCCTCATTTTGACAATAATAGTTCATTTTGAATAGTTATTAGAGTTATTATATAATAAACAATAGTTATTAGAGGTCATTTTTTGATAACAATAACTCATTTTGAACATTTAACGAGCTAAAACTTTCAGGATTGAGAGCAATCAATCACTTTGGACGACCGAATTTCGAGACTTTCTTCCGTTTCCTTCAAAATAAACACAATGAGGTATCAAAATTTTAAAAAAACGAGGTTCTTTTCCGTTATAAATCCGCAAAATTTAATAATTTAATAATCAAAAATCGATCAATTTAATTAAAATCAAAATAAGATCAATGAGGAATCAATGAAGTAGCAATTTGTTGCAACACCAATTTGTAAAAATCGTCCTTTCCTACTTCCTTTTTTTTCCACTTCCTTTCCCACATCCTTTCCCACTTTCCTACTTGTTGTACTTGTGGTTGACTTGAGCGGTGAGTAAAGCCGGCTTCCTCCATATGTTGAGTGTTGTATCCTCGCCAACAATCGGAGTAAATTTGGGTCAGGAAATAGCAAAAGAATGGATTTTCTGTGGTTCTCCTTGAACCATGAATTCAACGAAGTAGCTCGATATGAAATGAAATGCCGTGCCGCAATGCTTCTTGTTTCTTCATTTGACAGATCCCCATAGACGCTCGATCGTCTGCGTGTGAATGGCAGGGTCATCCGGATTCAGAGAGTTGTACTTGTGGTTGGCTTGAGCGGTGGGTAAAGCCGGCTTCCTCCATATGTTGAGTGTTGTATCTTCGCCAAAAATTGGAGTAAATTTGGGTCAGGAAATAGCAAAAGAATGGATTTTCTGAGGTTTTCCTTGTTCATTTTCATAGAAGGATGCAAATTTGGCGGATTTATAACAAAAAAAGAACGAAAAACGAGAACCGTGTTTGGTTGAAAAAAATGATTTCCCTTATAGAATCTAAATCTTAATTAACAATTTTCTAGGTGGACGACATTGGCGTTTTTTCGTGTGGACCAGCCGCTGTCAACAAGCAGATTCGTCAAGCGTGCGCTCAAGCGAATCGAATCCGCGACGCTCCCTCATTTCATCACCGATTCGAGACTTTCTAAGAAAAGCACTCTTATTTGCCATATGAATCACAAATTCCTTGACATTCTATGCTTACAAATCTACATTGCTTTTGCTCAATCCATAAACACAAAAAAAACAAGCGCACAGCTTAAAAAAAATGTATTGTGATTCATTCTTATTAAATTCTTATTAATTATGGGTAGTATTTTTAACTTTTTATCAATATTTTTCAACTCTTTAAAATAAAATCAGTATTCCTGGAGCTTCAAAAAGAATTTCGCTTACAATTTCCTTTTCCTTTTCCTTGTGATTGCTTAATGCTTAATGCTCTTAACTACTCTAAAGGTAGCAATAATAAATTCTATTTATATTCTTGAGAAATCCATATTCTTATTCATATTCTTATCAATATTCTTGAAAAGTTAATTTTCTAGAAAAGAATCGTTTAAGAAAGGTGCTTTCAAAAATCTATAAATGTTTGCCATCCATTTACTAAATAAAGATTTGAAAAAAAAGTGCACTTTAACAAATTAAAATCAGAAAAACAAGAAAACGGGATGATTCGATTATTTGTAGGTGGATAGGGATTTGGGGGGATTATTGGGAACTGCTTTTGAAGGAGTGAAGAGATGTGAGATCACTCTTCTCCCTCCTCTCCTTCTTCGGGTCATCCCCAATAATCCCTCTATTTGTCATTTCATTTCAAAATGAATTTTGTTCGGTTTCTCTTCTCTTATTCATTTTTTCGTTTCCGAACCACTGCTCATTTCTTCGTTATTCAATTAACAACTTTTCGTTTAACACGTTGACGACAATGGTGTTTTTGCACAAACAATCGCATGGGACAACGTTGTTTTTTTTCGACAAAAAATGTCACCTGACATCAGGTGACAATGTCCCAGGCGAACGAATATGTGTCAGACAGCATCAGGTGACAATGTCGTCAACGTGTTAAGTACTACTTGCGACAGCAAGTAGAGTAGAACTGAAATCTTTTAATTTGTTGATCGAGTGGCCCAAGCTTGCTTTGATGTTGATTTGGGTTATGTGCACAGGACAGTAAAAATCATTTACTAGCATCCATACTCAAGATATTGAGTGTCTTTGGAACCAGCTTAAAAGTCAAATCAGAATGAGGTATGGGCTAACGTTCTGTAGAAGTTTTACGAAGTTCTGTAGAAGTGGCAGAATAATGATGAGAATTTGATGTGTCTTTTGGGGAAGATTTTGCTAAGCGCTATCCACTTTATTAATATGTTAGCTTATTTTCATTTGTTGTCCTTGTTGTTCTTAAAAGTTAGCACATGTGAAAAACAGGTACTGAAACTATTTTTATTGGATTCAGCGTGCCTGATTATCCATAGATTTAGATTTTTCATGGCTCTGATTGCGAAAGAATTCAGAATTTTTTTTAAAAAGTAAACTCGATTAGGAACTAATTCAAGTTATGGAAAATTTTGCTAACTGACAATAGAAATTACATTTTGTGAGGGCATCGACCTTTCGCATCAATCAAAGTGACAAGAATTTGTGATCACACCTTGCACAGAGGCTCAGGAATAGAAGGAATAGAAGGAGCTAGGGGATGCGCAGTGTAACATATCACTAACGGGAATAGGTCCATGCGCGGGATGTTTTCACTTCCCACTCTCACTCCCTCACTTCCCGCTTTACTTCTCCTCTTGTCTATCTCTTGAGCTCTTGAATATCCCTTGAATATCCTCAGCAATCACTTTAGACTCATCTCCCTTTCAACTTCTCGTAAAATCCTTGTCTAGTTTTTCCTCTAGTTCCTTTCTCCTAGTTCAACTGTTCTCTGCCTAAAGTTTCTGCTTTTTTTTCAAATTACATAATCGACTAAACGGAATTCACCGGAAACACGTTGAAGGAAGTGATGTCTAATTTTTGGGATAGATGAGGATGGGAAAAGGGGTTGCTGAAGCGCAATTAGAGGAGAAGATCTTCGTCTCTTTGGCTCTCCTTCAGGAATCTCCATCGAGGCGGTTTTGCATTTCATTCTCAACATTTCCACCCCCTCTTCCCATTCACCTTTTTTTTTCGAGATCTCCACACTATCACTAAACTCTCATTCCTTTTTTTTGCGAAATTTCATTCAAACCTTCTTTTCATTTTGCTTATTGAAATAATCGGATTTTAAGGTTTATCTTTTTTATGGTGATTTACAAAATGTAAAATTTAAAAGGATTTAACGATTCATAGAGTTTACTGGGTTACACATATTGCAAAGTTGATCAGATCAATTCTTCAATTGCAAAGTATTGCAAAGTTGATCAGGTCAATTCTTTAAAGTATAATTGTGTCAGCTTATTTTCAAAAAACTCTACAAAACCAAGAATCCTATAAATTTCATCTTTTTTTTTTCAGAATTTATCCTCAAATTGTTGACTTCTATGCCTCGTTTCGTGGGCGAGTTTTTATAAAACAAAAATGGTGTCAAAGGTCGACGCATCTGTTTCTCATTTCATCGCCTCTGCTATTTCAAAATAAAAAAAAACGTCAAATGCCTCATCCTCGAGTTTACATATTTTCACAGCTTCATCTATTGGGTTAGCATCTATTGAGTTGGATAAGTAATGAGTCAATTTCAAACAGAAATATTTATTCAATAAAGTCATCTAAATCAAACAAAATCGTTTTCATCTTTTTCAATAAACTGTGCCCATTTTCCTGGTAGAAGGCGAATTCCTTTCGCATAAAAAATCTTTAATTTGAAGTCAAACTAGTTCTGTATCGATTTTTGGTATCTTTTTCATCTTCAAAGTGCTCTCCAACTAGGGTGTTTTCCATTGAACGAAATAAATGGTAATCTGATGAAGCTAGATTTGGGGAATATGCTGGGTGGGAGGAGAAGTTCCCAGTCCAGGTTCTTGCTTCTAGAGCGAATCAGTTTAGCAATGTGTAGGCGAGCATTGTCATACTTTAATATGACCTTTTTCAGATTTGATCTTTTTTATTTCAAAAGCTTTATCCAGATTCTGCAATTCTGGCTAGTATATACAGTACTGGATAATGAAATATCATATTTGAAAAACGATCGTCACTTTCGCACGTCTGTAACTCCCTTGTCTTTGAGTTTAAACTATTTGTGTTATACATTTTCTGAAAGCTCTTTTCAAGGGCTACACAATGGTAATATTAATATTTAGAAATACGGTAAAGACAAGGGAGTTACAGACGCGCGAAAGTGACGATCTTTTTTCAAATATGATATTTCATTGTCCAGTAGTGTAAATTGTTTGTTTCTAGATTTAGTGCTTGCATTGCTTGCATTGCTTGCATTGCTTGCATTGCTTGCATTGCTTGCATTGCTTGCATTGCTTGCATTGCTTGCATTGCTTGCATTGCTTGCATTGCTTGCATTGCTTGCATTGCTTGCATTGCTTGCATTGCTTGCATTGCTTGCATTGCTTGCATTGCTTGCATTGCTTGCATCTCTGATTGTAAAACAAAACTCTATAAATCAGCATCGATTTTCATTGTTAACTTTACCACTTTCCAACTGTTGTCAATCTCGTCTAGTTAGTACTAATCTCTTTTGGTGTTTCCTTATTCATCAAAGTGCTTGATTGCGCAAGTAAAGTGTGTAGAAGCGTCATGTGCCAGCTGTCTCAATGGGTGCTAATCTCATCGACAAATAGTTTAAGCTCACTTTTCTATATGTTCTTGTTTGGTGACCTTCTGAAAGCTCTTTTCAAGGGCTACACAATGGTAATATTAATATTTAGAAATACGGTAAAGACAATGGAGTTACAGACGCGCGAAAGTGACGATCTTTTTTCAAATATGATATTTCATTGTCCAGTAGTGTAGCATAATATGCTGAATATTAGCATTTGGAAAATTTGCAATAACCGAAAAAAGAATTCGTTTATAAAGAAATCAGAAAGCATGCTCAATTAATGAAAGTCTTTTGAAATAAGGGAATTCTGTTCGCTCTTTTAGTGGTAAACAACTTTTACAACTTTTAGGGCCAACTAAAACTTGATCGCAAAATTTCCCTTCTTTTACTTATTCGCTAACTTAATATATTCAGAAACTGCTCTTTCATATGTATACTTATTTTCCTGCTGTTTTTTTTTAAATAAGTAAGTTCTCCAAGCGTCACACTCGCAAATTTTGATGGATTGTAGACGTGGAATGGTTGAAGTTAATTGAGTAGTGTTTTTTTTTCTGAAAAAAAAAGGGATAGAATTGTGAAATTCACTGATCTCTTTGGAGGGCACAAATGGGCAAACACTTACGCAGATGGGATCCCATTTAGTCGGAAAAGAAAGGAGCTCGGATCGAGATCTCCTCGAGTCATCTGAACCCTTCTACCATACGTAACATCGACAAATTTCATTTTCCGTTTTTTTTTTTGCTTTTCATTTTAAATCCCTATCAAGAAAATAGTTTTAAATTCTTGAAAACTCTTCTTTGTTTTAAAGCCTTTCATTTCATTTAATTTCATTTCATTTCATTTAATTTCATTTAATTTCATTTAATTTCATTTAATTTCATTTAATTTCTTTTAATTTCATTTAATTTCTTTTAATTTCATTTAATTTAATTTAATTTCTTTTAATTTCATTTAATTTCATTTAATTTCATTTAATTTCTTTTAATTTCATTTAATTTCTTTTAATTTCTTTTAATTTCATTTAATTTCTTTTAATTTCTTTTAATTTCTTTTAATTTCTTTTAATTTCTTTTAATTTCATTTAATTTCATTTAATTTCTTTTAATTCCATTTCCTTTCATTTAATTTCTTTTGAATTCACGAAACTTTTTCTCTTTTTCTCGGAAATCTCTTTTTTTTTACCTGAATTCCACTCTGATTTTTTTCGTCAAAAACTTTTTGAAATATAGTCAAGTTTATCAAAAAATCTGGGAAGAATTGGTGGCTTGGTTTTTGAGAAATCACCGTGCAAAATTTTTCTACGAACTTTCCTTCCAACCTACTGATTGACTACTGAAATTCAAGGTCTCAAAAGACATCTAGAAATCAGATATTTTAAACTCGTTTTAATGGTATTTTACAGAAAAATAATTGGTATTTCAAATGAAATAAATCATAGATTAATTGGTGTTGGGTTAAATATGAAAAGAAACAAAAAGAAATGAAAAGATCAACCTAATATTTGAATATCTGCTTAAATCTAAATAGTTTTTTGAAAAGTCAATATTCGTTGAAATAATTGAAAAAAAAATAAGCAACTAAACTTTATTCTTTGTTTATATTTATTCTTTACTCTTTATTATTTACTCTTTACTCTTTACTCTTTACTCTTTACTCTTTATTCTTTATTCTTTATTCTTTATTCTTTATTATTTATTCTTTATTCTTTATTCTTTATTCTTCTTAAAAATCTCTGAAAAGAACTTTTCAGCGTTCTCTTTTCACAAATCTCTTAGTTTCAAAGGTTTTTTAAGGAAACAAAAGTTAATTCAACAAAATGAATGAATAGGATTAGCCATCTTTGACGCAAAATAGCATTTAAAAACCAAAAAACCCAAATTTTCAAATACTTTAAACAAAATGTTTATGCAATGACGATTAAAATCTGATTTACGACTCTTCTAAATGTGTAATTCGGCTTTACGACAAAAATCCCGGGTTTAAGATTTAGATCGGGATTTTTTTTTTAAACTTTATTCTTAACATTTATCTTTCTCGATTCCTATTCTCTCAAATATTCTCGAACTAATCGGATCGGATTATCCATTTCGTTGACGCACTTGAGCCGACAAAAAAATCCATACAATCTCGCAAAATAACAGCAAAAAAAACTTGCCTTTAAATGTAAATCCACCCTATTTTTGGCATAAAAAAAAAAGAAAAAATATGCCACTAAAATTCTCTTTCAAATTCTATTTCTAAAGATGATTTTTCATTTTTCAAATTCTCATTACAGCTTTAAAAAGTTCAGATATTTTCAGATAAACTTTAAACACTGTTTCTGAGAAGATTATTTCGCATGGGTCAAAAAGGATCCACAAATGGTGGTGGGATAAAGGTGAGTGCTGAAAAAGGGATTTTAAATGTTTAAGAAAACTTTTAGTAATCAGATTTGCCTATGTATTTTGCCCATGAAAACTTAGATCTCAAGCTCATTGTCGGTGCTGCGCGAGAGATTGCCGGAGATTTCGACACTGGACCTTGAAGACACTCTCTCGATTCATGAAACGAACACAAAACCGATTCTCAATCCATTTTATCGGTTTGTAAATGGATCCATTTTAAATATATTTTTGTAAAGATTAACTGAATTATATTGTACTTTGAGTAAAACATTGGAAACATAGCGTTTCTGAAATACTCGTTATTTCCGATATATCCATTTAGAAAATGATTAATGAAATAAGATTTTCTTTACCGCAAGGAAATAAAGATAAAAACGATTACCGTATTTTCTCTAATAGTAGTGCACCCTAAGCTTTTCCTAAATTGCTCGAAATCTCGAGAACCGCTTATCAGAACCTATCGATGTGGGGTCGGAAAATGTAGCTGACGATGAGATCTTTTGGGGGATTTGAGTGTTGAGCTTCTGCAAAAGCTTGGAAACCGTAAAATAGTCACCAACTCGGCTCGCCGGGGTGCACTACTATTAGAGAAAATACGGCATTCTCCTAAAGAAAGTTATCAGAGATTACGCCCCCCGCCACTCTTCCCATTAACAATCTAACTTTAAGCTCAAATTTCTTCGTGTTGGGTTGTTCAATTTAAATACTTTTCGTATCATTAGATGCGCAAAGTCTTTCTCGATCGATTGGTTCAAAAATTATTTAAATTGAAAAGCCCAACACCAAGAGATTTGGGCTTAAAGTTCGATTGCTAATGGGAAAAGGAGCGGAGCGCGTATGTCCCACAATTTCCAGAGAGCTGGTTGTCGAGTGTTTTGCAAAGGCACATCCTGACATAGCTGCTCGGATCATTCAACGAGCATCTCAACATCGAAAAGATGTCAAATGTTTCTTTCAAAATGCCGGAAATGAAGTTTTGATTTGTTTTTGATAAAAAAATAACAATTTTCTAGGTTCGAATCCAGTTTCGCGAGGTTTTGTCCAATTATCTCCGCGAGATCATTCAGAATGTCGATGATGCTGATATAGTAAGTGATCGATTCAAAATAAATGAAAACTTTGCTGATATAGTTAAAAATTGTATTGTATCTAATGTCAAGAAATTTAATGAACAATTTTTTAGATAAGAAAACTTTCACTAAACTATGGGAAGGCACACGTCAGTCTTCGTTTAATTGGCTTCAAGGTAAGCTGGCTTGGGAGATTCTAATTTTGAATTCTAATTACCGTATTTCTTCGAATAGAAGACCGGGTAAAGAGTATCATCGCGTACTCCTGCGTAGCAGTCCTTTTTAAAATTTCTTTTCTGCATAAAAGCTTTCAGTGAAGTGCTATAGGGCTGGAAAATGACTCAAAAATACGACATGAGCTAACAGATTTTTGAGCCATTTTCCAGCTCTATAGCACTTGATTGAAAGCTTTTATGCAAAAAAAAATTTTAAAAAGGCACGGGGCACCGGCGGGGGTTCTTTCGAAGAAATACGGTAATTCTTTTAAAAACTTTCTTCTTTTCAACTTTGATTCTTATAATTTAGTTTTTTGATAATTAAAGTAAAAAAAATAATAAACAATTTCTAGCCAGATTTCTTTGCGGTATTGGCCGACTCGATTACGTCAGAGTGCGTCTTTATGGGCGCTGATGCAACAAATCAAACGTCAACAAACACTTTTAAAGTAACACAAATTAAAAGAAATTAAAGAATTTTATGAATTAAAGGCTTGGACTCAATTAGTTGCTGTGATGTTTTCATCGGTGAGAGATGGGTATTATTCCGAGTTGAGAAAGCAACGACGACAGACACCTGAGGAGATGTTTAGATCAAATTGTAGGAGTTTTTAAAGTAAAATAAACTTCTTTCTTTCTTTCTTCTTTCCCCTTGTGTTTCCTTCTTTTTCATGGCAAGTCAAGGGACTAGATGGCTCATTGGTTAGAGACTTTGTTGATGGGAAAGCAGAAGGTCGAGGGTTCGATCCCATCGACCACTTTTTCTACTTTTTCCTGCCAATTCCTTCACTTCTTTATTATCATATTGGAAATTTATTCAATAGTTTTTATATTAAACAAGTTTTAGATAAGCAATCAGTGTCAATGGATTCTAGTGGATCATCAGGACATACTGATGATTCTGGAGTAGGCTCTCATGAAGGGTTGGTCGTTTATTTCTCAGAATAGAAATAGTAGTGCTAAGTACAATACTAAAATACTGATAATTTGATCCATAAGTACCATTTAGCTCGAAATTTCAGCTCTTGCATTTAGCTCTTGCAACTTGCGCTCTCATTCCCCATCCCCATTATGCTCTCCAATGTCAGCGAACCCGGTGCCGAGAAAACAAAGCGCTCCTGTGCTCGGCAGACAAACAAGTATCCTTTTTTTTATAAGTAATTTATAAGAAATGTAATTTATTACAAGAATGTTTACAAGAAATCATTCTTTTTTTTTTGGTCTAGCATTGCCGATCAGTGTCTCCCTTTCAACTCCTCGTGGAACCCCAAAATCAAATCCAAAATCCTCAGCTCAAACGAAAGCCGATTTAGCCCGAAAGGCTTACTCAGGCGCCAGAAGTCAAACGGCAATCACTCCAGGTTTAAGAAATTTTTGCTACTTTTGTAAAATCTCTAATTTATGAGCTTTAGCCTCTTCAACAGAGTTTCTCGACAAATCCACTGGTTTCTACCGTACCACGCATCACTCTCACGATTTACCCATAGTCAGTTGTTTGAAAATTTTTTTGAAACATTATCTTTAGCCACCCCGTCCACCGGTGAGTGGCCGCTTTCAGAAAAATTCCTCACTTGACATGGAAGCGAAAAGAAAACGCTTTGAGGAATTGTCGAGAAAAGGCGCCGCTCATGCAGCTCTGTAAATTTCACCTCCATTTCAAACAAAATACATTTCCAGATCTCGTCATAAAAGCTCGTCAGCAAGCTCAATCTTTGACCCAAACAGTGTGATCGATCGCTTTATGAATGACCAATTGTAAATATCAAAACAAACAAAAAAATTGTTGAACTTGTCAGCTCTTTTTTTTATAGCCTTTAAATGTTTAGAAGTAAACTACAAGTGAATAAATTGCATTCAACTCAATCATTATTTATTTCATTTTACAGATATTAACAATAACACCAGATTGCTTAAACACGGAAGAAACCGTTTCCACCACCATTTTGGAAAGGTCGAAGGTTGTCGAAGCCACCCTGTTGTTGGCCTTGTCCTTGTCCTTGTCCTTGACCTTGTCCTTGGCCTTGTCCTTGTCCTTGGCCTTGTCCTTGGCCTTGTCCTTGACCTTGTCCTTGGTTACTAAAGCCGCCAGGTCCAGCCTGAAAGTTATGTATGCATTTTAACTTTTGAATCATTTTAAAGCAACAACTTACTTGGAATCCGCCTTGATTTCCGCCAAAGAAGCCGCCTTGTTGATTGTTTGAGAATCCACCTTGGTTTCCGCCTTGATTTCCACCCGGGAATCCACCTTGATTGCCGGGGAAACCACCCTGGAATCCTCCGAAACCTCCTTGGCCTCCTTGGCCTCCTCGACCACCCCGTCCCGAGAATCCACCCCTGAAAATTAATCGATAATGTCTAAACCTTGATAAGTCAATAATACACATTAAAAGCTTTAAAGGCTTTATGAACTTGACTCAGAACTGACTTCATTCCATGCCCGCGTCCTCCTCTTCCACCCATTGGAAGCAAAGCGAAGATCACGCGGATCATTTGCGGCTCGGTTGTGAGAAGATTTTGAATGAAAGCCTGCAAAACCTGAATCAATGAATCAATCACTAAAATCACCTCATATTTTGTGCCGATATCCGTCCAGGTCTGGTCAGTGTTGTTGAAAATTTCCTCAAGTTGTTGGAGAGTTTGTGGAAGGTTGCTCACAATTCGGGTGACATTCACCCTGAGATCAGCCTCGAATTTGGTCAAATTGGCCACAAATTCTCCATATTGAGTCTAAAAATTGGTTTAACTAAGGTAAAAACAGTGAATGGTAAAGAATTTTGAACTGAATTAAACCGTCGACTTTCTGCTGCATGACAACTTGCCACTGAGCTATCGGTGTCTTGTTTGCCAAGGAAGAAATAGGAAAGACAAGAAAGTAGAAAGTAATGAAGAAGAAAGGATGAAAGAAAGAAAGAAAGAGAGAGCTTTGTTTAAGAAAGAATTTCCCGAAAAAGAATAGCTTTTCCCTTACCGCTACTCCACATTGTTGAGCCCATGTAGTCAAATTGGTCTCAATGTTGGCGAGAGTCATGTTGGGATTGAATTGGATTTGGAAGTAACTCTAAAAAAACATCTGCCTATTGAAAGCTTGAAATATTTTAAGTAAATTTCGTTTTTGAAACTTACTTGAACACAATTTTCATTGTTGACTTCATTGAGGAATGGAAAGGGATTCGCATAGGCAACTTGTGATTTAAAACCGCCAAAGCCTTGTTGACCGAAGCCCTGTTGGCCAAAGTTCTGTTGACCGAATCCACCTCCACCCTGACGATGGCCTAAAATATATATTCGAAAATTATATAGTTCAGTAGAATGTGGTAGTTAGCGTACAAAAATTTCAATTATGTTTGCTCGCCAAACTCTGCGAGTTTTTACTCGCTATAAACATAATATCATTTTTCTCATAAGCTTTTCCAATATAATGTAACTAACACTTTGAGGCTGGACAATTTATTCAATTGAATGTGGTAGTTAGCTTACAAAACTTTCAAAACTTACCCCATCCGAGTGTCGATCCAAGCAAACACACTGCAATCACGTATTTCATCGCTGAAAATGTATCTATAAGAAAGTCATTAGCATTAAAAGAAGTAAATAAATAAATAAATAAAGTCATTAATATTAAAATAAGTAAAATTAAAGAATGATTCAACTTCTTTTAATCTTTATCGACGAAATATTTCTCAATCTATCCTCAGCACGTTAAATTCACTCTCAAAACATAAGTTAAAACATTTTTAAATACTTTAAATACAATACTTGTACTCTAGAAAAAGTTAAGAAATAAAAAAAATTATACGTATACAAAAATGAAATTGAAATTGTAATGCTGAAGAGGTGTGACGGGCCTTTTATCCATGCGAGACCATCGGTGGAGATCTCTCGGTCGTGGCACTGTTTATTCAAATGCTTCACTTTGGGGACTTTTTTTTTTACATCTCTTTCTCAATAAGTGAGTCATAAACCTTTTCCAATGAAGTGATCAGTGGCTCCTCTTTTCATACTTTGTTACCTGAAAAAACCTTTTTGATAAAAGCGTGTTCTCGAGTTTTCTTCCAAAGTCCGCCCACGAGTATTTCGATTTCGCCGTAAACCGAGAGATTTGCATATATTTATTGATTCATCGTAAATTTCATTGTTCATTTGTTGTGAGCTATGATTTTAAGCAGAAAAAAAGAGGGTTGACGGGTTTTTTTTGAACGAAATTGAAAGCTTTCTGTTGTAGATTTGTTTTTGGATGAATTTAACTGTTCTAAATAGCCTAGCTAAAGTTGAAGTAAGCTAATAAATGTAAATCTCCATTTTATCACAAAGTTCACTTTTACTATCTGATATTTCAATCTGTAAAAGTCTACATACATTTGATAATCTTAATTGATAATTGATAATTGATAAATCTTAATTGATATTAATCGCGGCCGGGTGACGATAAAACTTTTTTTATATTTTACGGCAACCACCTGTTTTTTTATTTTAATATCGCTGATTTTATTATAAAAAGAATACAAATCACCCGGCTAGAGTGATTTGATGGGTTTACAAATTTTTGGAGACACTGCAAGGCTTGGAGGCTTGGAGAAAAACAAGATCGTCACTCATCAGACATCAGACACTTTCCAGCGCAAAACAATTTGTATCAGACGAAAGGCCAGCAGACATGAAAGGTGTTCAAATATATTATTTTTAAGCTAAGCTATTCATTGAGCAATTTTTTTACAAATAAGGGAAAATATGGAAGATCTACATGACCACGAATTCTCAGGTGTTTTCCCCTTGAGTTGAATCATCATATTTGAGCAGCTGGAGATCCCCGGATCGCCCTTTCAACGAAATTCTTCAAATCAATGCTTCGTTTCGTTTGCTCAATCAAAAATGAAAAATATCTGATATATGTTTTCCCCAAGAAGCTTTGATGAATTTAGAGATTTTGGGGGAAAGATGTGAGAAGAATAAACAAACAAAATTCATTAGAGACCAAAAATATGCACTCGGAGGATCGGATTTCTTTGGTGCTTCGACACAAAAAAAAACCTTTTCCACATATAGACCAATCGTTTTTTGCGTATTTTTTTTGGCTAAGTAAAGAATTTCTTTTCGAATTTAAGAAAATTTCAAAATTTCTCATTAATCCTTGTGTTCTTTTTTTGTTTTGACAACCATTGGTTTCAAATTTCTCTCAAGTTTTAATTTCCTTTCCTGTGTTCTTTTGTTTTGACAACATGAGATTTCGTTTTGTGGCCAAAAAAGCGATTTGTTTTGTGATCACAAATTTCTTCGCATTTCTAAAGTGTAATCGTTGTTTAGTTTTGCAAAAGAAAATCCGAATTGAAAGTGGTTGTAGTGAGGGGAAAATTTTGATATCCGTTTTCGTGTTATCCCTTCCTTAAAAAGCAGACCAAGATATGTTATTGAAACAACAAGCAAATGAATTCTGGTAAGCTCAATTTTGGCAACTTTTCTCATCTCTATCATTGTTATCATTCATCTCAAAGAAGAGGAAAAATTTGAATTTTCTTCAGATATGTCAAAAAAAAGTTTTTGCGAAAATGATGTCTGCCTCCTTTTTTTTTGGCATATTTTCCCTTGGCCATTTCATCGAATTGGACAACACGATTGTTTCGCTTCTGCGATTTGATTTAGAGCCTTCCCTTCGAAAACTTCTTTTTCCCTTCTTCTCATCCTCATCTTCTCCTCAATTCAGGAGTCGTATCAAGAATTGCCTAGAATTGCCTAGAATAAATCCTTTTTCCCTCAATTTTCAACTTTTCATCAAACAATCGATGTTTTTAAAATAAATATTTGTACTTTGTTTGCATTTTACTCTACTTTCTTTGCATTTTACTCTACTTGATTTACTCTTTCTCTACACTAGTTGTAAAAGATTATTTTTTTTTAACTTTAGTGCTAAACTAATATTCTATTTTTACGAATATGAGAGGCTTTTCTTTTCTTTACTTTCTTGTCTAAAATCGAATCGGAAAACAAGAAAAGAGCCATCAGTTGTGGGGAAAACAAATGAGTGGCCTAAACGTCTGATCCCTCATTTTTTTTCAACGAAAAGTTTCTTCCGCTTTTTTCCCTTTAACCTCAACATTTTCACAAAGAAACCGCAAGAAATTCTTTCTCTAATCATCATAAATTCCTTGGTGAGTTGTCAGAAAAAGGGGAGGGTTTTTGTTTTTCGAAAATGGGAAAGAAAAGAGTGAAGCCAAATTTGGGATGTTTCTCATTAGGGAGTGAAGGAGGGAGCGGTAAATGGCCGTTTGTGAGCAACCCTTTAGTCGGCTTCTATTCTAGTAGACTCCACTTTTCCTGAATTCCCATCATCAAATATTTCCTCTATTCTTACAACTTTCTCCTATTCAAAAGCTATCAATGTATGCTCAGCTCTGGGATCGTCACCTTCTTTCACCACCGCGATCTCCACGTTTTCAACGAGTTCACAAACGAAGTTATGGTACGTTTTGTTATGTTTTTTTTTATGTTGACTATGTCATTTATAGCATTACTACTCAATAAATATTGTAAACACGATTACCGTATTTTCTCTAATAGTAGTGCACCCTGAGCGTCGCCTAAATTCCTCGAAATCTCGAGAACCGCTTATCAGAACCGATCGATGTGGGATCGGAAAATGTAGCTGACGATGAGATCTTTTGGGGGATTTGAGTGTTGAGCTTCTGTAAAAATTTGGAAGCCGTAAAATCGTCACCAACTCGGCTCGCTCGGGGTGCACTACTAATAGAGAAAATACGGTATTCTTCTAAAGAGAGTTACCAGTGATTCACGAAACCGATTCTCAATCCATTTTATCGGTTTGTAAATGGATTCATTTTAAGTATATTTTCGTAAAAGACTAACTGAATTATATTGTACTTTGAGTACTTTGAGTACAACATTGGAAACATAGCCTTTCTGAAACACTCATTATTATTTTCACTCATTATATATCCATTTAGAAAATTGTTAATGAAATAAGATTTTCTTTACCGCAAGGAAATAAAGATAAAAACGATTACCGTATTTTCTCTAATAGTAGTGCACTCTGAGCGTTGCCTAAATTGATCGAAATCTCGAGAACCGCTTATCAGAACCTATCGATGTGGGGTCGGAAAATGTAGCTGACGATGAGATCTAGTGGGGGATTTGAGTGTTGAGCTTCTGTGAAAAATTTGGAAGCCGTAAAATCGTCACCAACTCGGCTCGCTTGGGTGCACTACTATTAGAGAAAATACGGTAACAATAAAAAAAACTTACTTTTAAGATATGATTATTGTCTGTCTGTCTAGATTTTGTCTAGAAAAGTCAACTCCTTATTAGCTTTAATTATGAATCTTTTGCAGCCAAAAATACTCACGATCATCTATTCTCATCTCATTCAAAAGCCCTCAATGAGCCAATGGGAAAAATTTATGAACACTTTTCTTTAAGAAATCTCTTTGTGCTGTTTTCTAACTCAATAAAGGCTTCTACAAACAATATTCCGATTCTTTTTTATATTAAATATTCTTTTGTTCAACTATTATCACTTTTGGCTATTTTATGTTTAACTTGATTTAGTAATTTTGAGCTCCGGTCCCTTCAAATTCCAGTTTTAGTTAAACTACTAGAACTCTTTGATTCAAACTTTAGTCAAACACTTTTACGAAAAAAAAGCTTATCTATTGAAGTAACAGTGAGATTGTCGAATCTTAAGTGTGTCCATTGAAGGTCGTTTCAATCGCATCACTTGAAAAGGAGAGCGCTACCCTTGATGCTCGTGAGGGCAAGAATTATGTGACGTGTTTGGGGTGACTTTTTGGGGGAAGAGCGGTGAAGAGGAAGAGTCGATGTCTTCAAGATCTTCTCCCGATACGGCACACTTTTCTGGGTGAGGGACCTCTCCTCATCCCATCGTCTCACTTTCCCTGAGAATGGTGCCCTTTCAAAAGCTGGCTTTCTACACAAATCCACATCTCTAATGGTGACCGCTACCAATTTTCCCATGCTTCCATTTCTATCCTTTTCTTATTCATGGCTTTAAATTCTTTGTTATTGTTGTTGTTGTTGTTGTTGTTCTTCTTCTTCTTCTTCTTCTTCTTCTTCTTCTTCTTCTTCTTGTAATGTTTATAAGCTTATTGTCTATATTCTAATGAGATTTTCTCAATCTGTAGTCTTCTAGTCTACATAATTTGCATAATTTGCATAAATTTTTTTATTTAGTTGATAACCTCAAACTTTGCAGCCAAAAAAAACCCATTTCACTTATCAAGCATGATGCTTTTTGAGGATAAGTGTTTAAAAAGGAAAAGCTTGTATAAAAAAGAATCTCCAAGTGAATGGGTGAAAAAAGGGCGCTGAAACACGAGTGCGAGATGGATGAGCAATCGCTGTTCTATCCCAGGTCCCAGGTGACCATTCCCCCTTGTGTGTGAGTGGATGTTGGCTCTCTTTCTCCCCTCTATTCGCAAGCTCTTCATCCTACCGTCGAATCCTCAGCTTCTCCTTTTGCGCTCCCACTCTCTACACGCTAATTCGCTCAAGGGAATTCTTTTCGTTGTTTCTCCACCCTTTTTGCTTCCCTTCTCGGATTCGATGGCAGCTCATCTCCATGTACTCCACCACCTATCACACATCTCTCTTCATTCCATTATCCCACTCTCGAGTGCTAAATTGACAAGCGTCTGCTTTGGCCATTAATTCCTTTCTAGTTTTTTTTCTAGCTTTGAAGCGTTGATTCCTTTTTTTTGTTTTAATAATCTCTTGACAAAGATGGGATTGGTTTTATTGAAAAACAAACAAAGTATCTTTAGTCATTTGTCATCAGTCTTTAGTCAATTCAATATATCTCATGTCTGAATTTGTAAATGTGGCCCTGGATCCTGTTCAGGTGTAAAGTATCGATAACCCTGAAAAAGCACTAGTTTTTGCTTTAAAGCTGGCTCTTATTGATTCATTTCATCAAAAAGAATACAATTTGAAATATCCTTTATTCGAATATATCAAATCGAATTCAAAGATTCTATTCACTTTACAATTTCCTTGACAAAAGAATGAGAAGAACGATTTAGATGTTCGCGGACGGGCGAGGCCAAGTGGAACGATGACGGTGCCAGCAGGGTATCAAAGGGTCGATTCGGATCCCACAATCTCCGATCATCCAAATCACAATTGCAATGAAGGTTGCTTTTAATTCAATATATATCATGTCTGAATTTGTAAATGTGGCCCTGGATGTGGCCCTGGATCCTATTCAGGTGTAAAGTATTGATAACCCTGAAAAAGCACTAGTTTTTGCTGGCTCTTATTGATTCATTGACTCTCAACCTTAAGCTATTTATATTTCTCTTTTTCTTTTGAAGGGGGAAGTTTACTCCTCGTTGAAGAGTCGAGAGCTTTTCTCCCTGCGGGCTTTCCCCTCAAGAATATTGTGTTCTCTTTTCTCAAAGATTTCACTCTCTTTTCCTCTCGACAAACGATATTCAAAGGTTTTTGTGTTTTCGCGGGGAATTTCGGGGGAGAGCTTGTCTCCCATTGGGGGGAATCCCCACGGGAGCACCGCTTAGAGCCGCGCTCGAGGAAGAGCCTCTGTTCTCGTCTTTTTGTACTCTTTTCTTCTGACAAAATGCCCTCGGCGTTTAAAAGCTTGAGCCACACCCTTTTACTCTTCATCCCCTAACACCGACAAATCCCGAGTACTACGAATTGCAAGGATCGTAGTTGAAATTGAAGAAAGTACAATAGCAATTGAATGCGCTTGTTGCATAAAATCTGTATTCATTTATGAAAGAATCAAAATCTTTCTCCATCTTGCTGGATAGAAATCACAAGCATACGCTTTACACAGAAAATTGACAGGTGTTTCCTATCAAGATGGCCCGCCAGCCTACATGGATGTGGAGAGTGGAGACGATGAGTTGGGAGAGTTGGAACGAGAAGAACTTGCCGATCGCCTTGGGGACATCCCATCGACGTTTATGCGACGAGCAAGACGGGTATGCTAATAGATTGGTGAAGAGAATAAAACTATTAGACGCTCCAGAAAGTATTTTCATTTTTTTTCATACTACCATTGAAAAATAACAAATATTCACTAATTAATCGATGATTTTCTTTAAATAAAAAGTGTTTCTTGTTCAATTTCCATCTTTTTAAATCATTTTCGGTTTACTTTCAAGAAAATTCGATAGTGAAAACACGTGTTTTTTCGTAAAAATCGATAAAAATCTCTATGAAGAAATTGGGTGAATGGAATTCTCTGAAAATATTAGGTACACTACTGGACAATGAAATATGATATTTGAAAAAAGATCGTCACTTTCGCGCGTCTGTAACTCCCTTGTCTTTACCGTATTTCTAAATATTAATATTACCATTGTGTAGCCCTTGAAAAGAGCTTTCAGAAAATGTATAACACAAATAGTTTAAACTCAAAGACAAGGGAGTTACAGACGTGCGAAAGTGACGATCGTTTTTCAAATATGATATTTCATTATCCAGTACTGTACATGCATAAGAAATGCGCATTTCAAAACTGATATCGATGAGTGTTATAAACTATTTGAAAGTTGTAAATCTCCTCTACAACCTACTCTATTAAAATAGGCTAAAACGTGTTTCAATTGATCGAACCATTGAAGAAAGTCTTCAATTTTGGGAAGCTAACTCTATTTTGATCACACTAAACTTGTCCCTAAAGTGGCTCGATTCCTTTTTTTGGTCACTCGCATTTCGCCCTCGAAATTTCTTTAATGGTTCGATCAATTGAAACACGTTTTAGCCTATTTTAATAGAGGAGATTTACAACTTTCAAATAGTATTTAACATTCATCGATATCAGATTTCTATCGTTGGAAATTTATGAAAATGTTGAAATCCGCATTTCTTATTTCTTATGCATGTACCTAAGAGCTATGTAAAGCTTGAATCTTTTGCTACAATAGCTCTTAAAATTATCCGTTTCCCTTAGATTTATCAAATTTTTCAGTATATCAATTTTTGTTTTCTTAATCGACAACGAAAATAGTTCATTGCTTAGAAAAAAAAATGTATCGCGACTTAATCGGCGGGGGCTGAAAAAAGAAATGAGAAGAAAATGAGAGACGAAATCCGATATTTTGACCCTTTCTTCCACACATTTCTATCGCTTTCGTCAAAATTTTACTCCCCAAAAAAAGGAAAAGAAATGAGACTGAGTGAAAATTGCGTGAAAAAGCTCTTCTCTACAAGTCCTCTCCCCCTCTCCCCCCTTTCTGCAACCATTTCTAATCGAAATTTCAGAATCAACAGAGTGACTTCTATTCGGTGAGTTTACCTATTCGGGCCCTAAATATTCCCTGTTTTTATTGCAGCATGTTTTCACTTTTTTTTTTTTTAGTTCTCTTTCCTTTCCAAAAACGGAGGTGTGATGTGTGAAAGTTTAAAGAGCATACCGTAAATACTGTAATAGTACCCCACCGCCCTCGTACAGTCGCGTAGTCGCAAAAGTTTTTTCGTATTTTATTTTTTTCAAAACGCCCGTACTTTCAAAAAATGTGCCTTTGGTATCAAAAAATAGCCCTGAATTTCAGCTATTTTTTGATACCTAAGCGCGCATTGTAGCATAAACCAGTGTCGAGAAAAACGCGTCCAAAGTTAGACTACGCAACACTCCGCACCGTCATTATCTTTCGCATCAAAAATGCGTCTTTGGTATCAAAAAATAGCCCTGAATTTCAGCTATTTTTTGATACTTAAGCGCGCATTGTAGCATAAACCAGTGTCGAGAAAAACGCGAGCAAAGCAAAGCTAGACTACGCAACACTTCGCACCGTCATTATGGGGGCGGGGTACTATTACAGTATTTACGGTAAACTCGTTTTCGAAGAGAGCTTTTAATCTCACACCCCTGTTTTGCATATTCTTGGTTCTTTTTGCTATGAAAAAAAAAGATGAGGTTTTTAATGGAAATACGCAAAATGCATGTTTAATGGAGTGTCCTATCTGGCGGTCATTTCGATTCAGAGTGCCGTTTTCGACTCGATGGCCTCACGGCACAATTCGGACAATTGGGAGACGACTCATCTGCTCTCGTGCTCGCAACACACACATACCGTATGCTTTTCTCTCGTTCCTCTCACCTATTTCTCAATGTAGTGCATAAACTGTGTTCAATTTGAATCAGATTTGAATGCTTTAGCACACTGTCGCTTCTCGTATTATCTTCAAGAAAAAAATCTTTCAATATTTCATAAAATTGCTTTGTTAAGAGGTTTCTAGATTCGACAATTATCAGGGAAAATCTTTGCAAAGCCACGATTTTAGAGCGCTCACGATGAAGGCGATGAAGAGGATTCAAAAGATGAAGAAGAAGACGAAGAAGAGGAAAGGGGTGGTATCAAAAAGGTAACTAAAACTGGATAAAAATTGACTGAATCTTAAGTGTATCGAAATGGTTTTAGTATGCGAAGTTGATTCTGCCACATGTGGGCTTGGTGGTGTTAACATGCATCTACACAACTCTTGGTGCATTGCTCTTTTGGAACTGCGAACAACCGTATGAGATGTCGACAAAAAGGGAACAGGTAAAGGAAATGAATGACAAAAACTTTGGAACTGGGGAATTGAAACAGGTGAGCAAAAGGTCAAGACCTTTTGCTCACCGGGCTGATACTCTCCACTGAGCTATTGATGCCTTCTTTGATCGAGAAGAAATAGAAAAGACAAGGCAGAAGAAAGAAAGGAAGTATGAGAGGCTTTTGAAAGTTTTGACGGGCTTTTAAACGATATTTTCAGCTCAACGAGATCTATGCACGACAGGACGAGTTCGTTGAGTCACTCGTTCGAATGGCGGCGCTGAATCGAACATGTAAGTCAAAGAATTCGATACTAAGTAAATATTCGAATAAATAGATATTAGATATCGATTATTTTTCATACTTTAGCCCGTGCCGATTGGGAGTTGGCCGCTCGTGAGCACATGCACACCCTCTCCGATCAGCTTTTCACCGCGTTTGAGAAATATTTCCTCACCAGTCATGAAGTTTGTTTAAAAAAAAAAGCTTGAAAAGAGTTATAACAGTTAAAAGGAAGAATTTAAATAAATTGTTTTTCGAATAGGTTCGCCACAACGCTACCTCAGAGATTTGGACCTTCTCGACGTCGCTATTTTTCGCTGTCACCGTTGTCACAACAATAGGTTAGCTGCAAACTGCAAACTTGAAATTTAAGTTTAAAAACATTTCCAATACGGTCTAAACTTGATGCTTAAGGTTACGGGAATCCTGTGCCAATCACGATGATGGGAAGAATTGGGTGTATCGTTTTTTCCCTACTCGGAATCCCGCTCACTCTTGTCACAATTGCAGATCTTGGTGAGACGATTTTTTGCTCATAAAGTTGGAGTTGCTCGTTTTCTAAAATTCTTTTACAAAAACTACCGTAATGTTATTTTCTTTTTGATTACAAAATCTATGACTAGGCTAGCTTTATTTAACTGAGTTTAAAAAGGAAAAAGTGAGTTTAACAAAATGAAGCTGAATCTTCTATAGCTTTATTTAAATTTAAGGAAAATTTCTTTCCGAAAATCTCATCTGGCTCTACACAAATTATCAAAAGTTGAAAACGTATCTCTGCAGACGGCACGATCATCGAAAAGATAGAAAGTGAGTTGAAGAAATGAAGCTGAATCAATGGAAAATGAGATTTCAGTGATCACGTTTGTCAGCATTGTCAGAGTCGAGGTCTTGGACCAAATGTTCATTTCTTGGAAGGACCAAGGTCATTTTTTTAAGGGCAATTCGTTTTTACAAACATTTTCTAATAAAAAAGAATTTCTAAAATTGATCCTTTCAATAATTACAATCTGCATAAAACCTATTTAGAATACCAGCCGTGCTCGTCTTAGTAATCCTTTTACTCTACACGGCTCTCGGCGGTGTGCTAATGCGCGCGCTCGAGAATTGGACTTTCTTCACCGCATTTTATTGGTCTTTCATCACGATGACTACGGTAATCAAATTATTAAACTTATCAATGCAAATGATTTCGATTTTAGGTTGGTTTCGGTGATCTGATGCCAAAGCGAGACGAGTACATGTATATTATCCTCTTGTACATCATATTAGGTGATTTATCCAGCAAAAATCGAATGTGATTCTATTGACAATGTCTCTTTTCTCTGACAATGCTCTTTTCAGGTCTTGCCATTACCACAATGTGTATCGATCTAGTCGGCGTTCAGTACATTCGAAAGATTCACTATTTCGGTCGAAAGATTCAAGACGCTCGATCAGCACTCGCAGTCGTTGGTGGCAAGGTAAAGCTTTAGCCTGACAAAAGAAGAGAAGTTCCAACATTTTTTTCTGTACTTTGTGACTTCAATTTCAATTCCAAATCTATAATCCAAAATCCAAAATCCAAGATCCAAGATCCAAGATCTAAGATCCAAGTTCCAAAATCCAAAATCCAAAATCCAAAATCCAAAACCACTTTAAGGTGGTGCTCGTCTCGGAGCTCTACGCAAATCTCATGCAGAAACGTGCTCGACAAAACGCTCGTGAGGCGTATATTATCGAGAATATGTACATCTCGAAGCACATCATCCCATTTATTCCCACTGATATTCGGTGGATTCGGTGAGATCTTTGGAAAAAGTGGTTGTGTTATAAAAGATATAAAGTTATCAAATCGCGAAAGTGTTTCTTTTTTTTCAAAACCACAAAATGTTAGCTATATCGACACGATGGGTGAAACTAACGAAACGAGAGAGCACGATGATCCCCCACTCATTGGTACAAATGTGTGAATAGAAAACGATTTCGCTCCATAGGGTCACTTTTAGAAAAAAACGCACTTAGCATAGCTTATTTTTGAAAAATCTATTTTCCCTATCAAAAAGTGGCTTTGTGTGAGTGAAACAAGAGCACTGCATGCGTTTTCGCGTGGCTCACACCAACTTTCGACTTTCGTCTTTTGCACACAGGAAACTAAAGAATTCGAATTTTGTGACAAGCGTCTTTACTCTTAAAAAACGATCAAAAAACGTTTTGATCGTCTTCGTTTGGGAATGTGAATGAAAGAAATGAATTTTGAATAGAAAAAAATATCTAAATGTAACTTTTAGATACATCGATCAGCCACCGGGCAGTCGGTCGCCGTCGACCGGATCGATCTCCGAGTTGCACTCATGTCGGTTCTGTCATTCCCGCTATCAGTGAGTCAACCAATCAGCATACTGTAATTCAGTCCAACTTTAATACAATACTTTGCTATAAAGTGCCCAGTCTGCCCCTTCACTGCCATAATCCAGTTGAAAAGTATTCAGGCAGTGAAGTATTATTTCGGCATACTGTAATTCGACTACAAATAACTAAGAATCAGTCAGGTGGAACGATAATGATCGCTAGTCTAACGGCACAGTAACTCTTCTTGGGTATGTTATCATCATTTCTCGCACAAACGCATGCTCTCTAGCATATCCCTTTTCTTTAGAGAACCAAGAATGAAAAATCACCTATGCTGCTACCAAAATGCTTTTATCAAAAGAAACCTTTAGCCTTCCTCTCATGAACCACTAAAACGAGATAAAAACAACTCGATTTCAGCTCAACGACGCAGTAGTCAGGTTCCGACTCGACTTTTCGAAAGTGGAGCCTTTTGGAGAGCTGCTGCCCTTTAAAATATTTAACTTTTCACTCATTACGGGTTTTCACTATATTCTTTCCTTTTCTTATTTATTTTCCCTCATTCATTTCACTCTGATATTTAAGTTAATTTTGGCAAGTAATTTTTCTTTTCATATCGCCAGCAATAAAAGTGTTTTGAAAATTCGTTGTGCCAACACCTAAATAGGGAACCGGTTTTGTTGGGAGACAGTTCCCAGAAATCGGGCGAACGCCTGACCCACATACGAAGAAAGAGAGAAAGACCGGCCACTTCGCCCGGACCACCCACAGAGTCAGTTGATAGATTGATTGTAACAAATCCTAAAGCGAGCAAAGCAGATATTAGTCCAGTTTTATTAACAAAATGCAGCTCAACAACCTAAACGAAAAACAACAATATGTATATGACATTATCCATGAGTTACATTACAAGCCGACCACTCGGAAAGTGTTGTTCGAGCTATCGGCTTGGCCAAGAGAGTTTGCGAATTTGAAGATGTCACCTAAAAATTTAAAGTTGAACATATTTGATGTCAAACGAACCTGAACTTTCACATAATCTCCTGCTGAAAGAATCTCTCCATTGTCGAGCATTTTATCAAACTACAATGTGAAAATCAGATTAGAAGTCATAAGCGCACTCACAATTGCCTTGGTCCCTCCATCAATTCTTCCTGATACCTTTTCTTTGCTCCGTTTACTCTCCTAAAACATACAAACATGATACGGTCCATTTAAGGTTATTTCTTGTCTAAGCAATTCTGTAAAAACTCAATCATGCTAGGCTCATCATTCTGCTTTTTTTATAAAGCGAGTAAAACACACCCCTTCAACAAGTACAAGTTGAGTAGAGCCCTCCAGTGATGCATGCAATTTTGCGGCCTCATTCCGAAACACTGCTGCTAGTTCCTCGTGTCTTCTTCTTTTAACCTAAGATAAGCGGGCGCCTTATAAGCATAATTATCAACTCACGTCGTCAGGCACGTCATCGACCAGTTTATGATATGCTTTGGTCTTCTAAAAAGCAGTTAATCCAAAATAAAGTCAAACTAAAACCTCTCGCATGCTGTATGGGAATACATAGCAAAAATCGTACTTCACTTGCTTAATCAAGTCGATTGTCGCCTAAAGACTTTGTTTCAACACTAACTACCAAATGAACCTGATGAGCCTTTTCATCTTCTCCACAAAATCCAGATATAAAATCGCTGGTTAAGGATACATCTGAAATGCCTCTAATATTTTAAAAAAATAAGTAAATACTTGGAATCCTAGCATAAACCTCCTCGACCAGAGATAAATAGAGTTCCCGGGTGTAACTAAAACAGCCACAGTAGCTTTTAAAAAGAATTTACAAACGAACCCACGACCCATTCTTTCCAGGACTCCATTGTCTCCACTTTGTGCCGGTAGATGAATTTGCTTACAAATGTTTGTTCGTTCGGCAATGAGGTCCAATACCTAAAAAAAACTGTTATTCGCATATGGATCTTCTCGCATAAAATTAATTTATCGGACCTAGTCGCGTTCCTTGCAAAAACTTACTGGTCTAGGAAAGTCTTTCGGATGTGGCGAGGTGAATCGTATCCTCATCTCCGGATCAATTCTAATATGGTTAAATAGCTATTTGAAAATACGCAAAAAGTTTACCTCGACGCAAGATCTAACAATGTAGCAAATGTTCTTCCACCCTGTTTAGGTTTGTAAACAGTCCGAAAGTCAGGAATACTTTGGATGCCATCAAAATTGAGCTAAAATCGATATAAGATCATTCATCTATCAAAACCCAAAACCGAAAATGTAGATTCGGACATATCACGGTAGCTATTAACATTTTGTCCAAGCAATACGACTTGACGAACACCCTAAAAGTGAGCAAAACATTCATACCTAATTTACAAATTTGGCAACCTCGCCAGAAAGCCTTCTTATTTCCTCCAAAATGGAATCAATTGGTCGACTTCGTTCTCTACCTCTCGTATATGGAACAATGCAATACGTACACATATTATCGCATCCGCGCATAATAGAGCTAAAGCAATGTTTATGAGTAGATATGTCAAAGAAAACTTACACAAATGCCGTTTTGGTAAGAGAATCTTGTCGAACTGGAGCCACTTCGGCGTATGTTTCCTCCAACGATAGTTGAACATTAATAGCATGTTGACCTAATAATGTTTAGATCAGCTTACAACTTCAAAAAAACCTGATCGCGATACAGCTAAGAGCCTTGGCAAATCTCTATATGAGTCAGGTCCTGCTACAAGATCACACAATCCTTGTTGATCAAAAAGTTTGTGCCTTACCCGCTCAGCCATACAGCCTTAATTCATTAAAGTAATCAGCATAATTTTGAAAAACAAACCAAGTACGCCAACAGTTTGTTTCCGTTTCGCTACATGTTTTATTCTTTTCAATTCACGCCAGACCTTTTCTTCGGCCCCTTCTCGTATTGAACATGTCATCAAAAGCACAACGTCAGCCTTTATGAGTAAAAGTTTAACTTGACCAACTACTTCTCTTACCTTTTGCAATTCCTCGGTTTCATTGTAATTACTTTGTTTTAAGAAAGAGCGCACTACTTCCATATCATTCACATTCATTTGGCATCCATACGTCACTAACTTCACCATACGTCCTTGTCCGTCATAGTCTTCGGGTGAAAGGTAGGTAGTTGTTTGTTCGAGTGTCGGAGAAATTGTTGTCGGTCTTCGCGATGAATTCGCAATAAAATGGCTCAAACCGGGACCGTCTATATTCGCAAATTTCAAATATCTTAGCCAAGATCTTACCTTTAATTTCAGCTTTAGATCGTAGGGCCAAGCAAACGCTGGCTTTAAGATGCAATCGCCTCGGCAGTTCACGAGATTTGGAAGCGATTTTCTTCAAGAAGTGCGCCATCTGAAACAGCAAGCTTTCATAGGATTTGTTCTGATAGGACTTAGGTTTATGGACTGTTCACTTTTACCATCAGAAAAAGATTGTCGTTGTCATTTCAACTGGCCAAAATCTTTTTTTTAAAATCGCGACTTTTTACGTCTCTTATTCTGGCAAGACTTTTTAAGTTTCAGACCTGGTAACTTTGCTCTTTTGTGAATAATCCACGTTTAAGAAAAAAAAAATATTATAAGTCAATGTCTCTGAAAAACATTTTGTTCTATCAAACTGTGCATTTTAGAAAATTTACCGTTTATTCAGACAAGGCTTTCGAATTACAATTAAATTAGATCAAAGAAATTCATAGGATAAAAACCCGATTATCGTAAACACAACACAAAACTGGGCAAGCTTTGATCAAAATCATACTTTAGCGAGTAAAATATATTACTAAAAATCAAAATCCTACGCATCGAATAAAACTTAATAAATATATACATAGTTTCAAAATTAAGTCCGTTTTGTACCGTTCGAATGTCGATACTACATCATCGGACTTAAAATTGAACTATAAATTAACTGAAATTTTAAAATTTTAAAGTTGAATCACAGAACATGTGCCCTAAAACTATTAGGTAACCATTTCATCCATATTCACACTCAAAAAAACTCAAAATGAAGATGAAAACGTGTAAAGAAGCTTGAATAGAGGAAATATTGGGCTCTCAAAACAAAGGACTAATCGGTCAAGTCAAATTTCAAAGAGCTTGACACAGTTTAACACCCATCACATCTCGGAGACCTAAATAAAAATCTGCATTGCTCTTATATCTTTGTCAGTATTCTAAATTGCTTTGCTCAAACATTTAAAAGTGCTGCACATTTCAACGCATAAACAAAATAAATACTTACTAATCCAAAAAAATGCAGTAATTACTGGGCAAAAGCCCTACGCGACCATTCAATGTGCCAATCAACCAGCCTTCTTCCTTCGATTCGGTTACTAAAAATAAAAATAAAAATAAGTAAATGAAAAAAAATCTTAGCTTCATTTATATAAAATACAATAAGCAATACCATTCGTGATGATTTGTCCGGCCTGAAAACTGAGCTCGGAATCATGGTCGGGAGTACAAGCATAGAGAGTTTTCACGCGACGACTAAATAAAACAATTTTCAAAAAGTAGTCCAATCGGTTTAATTTGGAAATGCAACTTAAATGAGGAGCGATTAATTCCACAATTTCCCAAACTTTTCTTTACGAAGTAGGTAAGCAATAAATTCAAAAGCACGTGCTATTTTTATTACCAGTGTGCTTCTGCTTTAGTAGTGTTCAAAAACAAAATTTTCATGCAGTAACCGTTGTTCTATTAACAAACCGGCTCACTTTGTTTATTAGAGCCTTTACACAAAGATTAATGAGTTTTGTTTTGTTGTTGTACCGTTAGTTTTATTAAGCAAAAGCCTTGACAGCTACAAATTTAAGGAGGCTAACGCCAAAATAAAAAAATGTCACATGTGCAGCTGAGTCATTGACAGGTCCATCACCAAAACCCTCAAAACATGCCTCCAACCCAATTATTGGGTACTGAAACCTACTTATAATGCTGAAAGGGCAACGACACGGTAAATAGACTAGCTTGTCGACGCCGTGTCGCAAATCTGTAACCGGAAACCTCCTTGTTACCCAAGGAAATGAATAAAAGTAAAACTCACGCTTCGGGATTGTAGGGTGTTGCATAAGTCGTGACCTTGCCTAAAGAAAAAAGTAAACGTATGCTTATGCCATAGCGCTAACTAACCGCGTTGATGATTTTGCTCGCCTTCTCCACTTCCTCCTGATTGAGCCGAATCAAGTGAGTCGCAGCTGTCACCTCCACGTCCATCGGTCAAATGCTAAATAAAGAATTTGTTTAAAACTAAATAACTAATTATTTCTCTAATGACTTACTATTAGTGCCGAATCCTAAGTTTAAAATTTACCTGCACAACCTTGGCAAAGGCTTTCTTAAATGTCATCTTTCTAGCCCCATTGAAAGAAAGCTTGCTTTTATTACTTTCAGCGCGCTTTCGAGATAAGACCTAGAGGAAAAAATAGTTCAAATGAGAAACATCACTTTTCAACAGATATATAACATCAGGCCTCAATATTGGCAATTCAAATACCTCTTGCTCGTCACCTCCAACTTGGTGTTGATTTCGAACGATTGACGACTTGCGCGAACGATCAACATCTAAATTTGAATAAATTGAAAATATACTATCAAAGATTACATTGGCTTTTGGGGCCCAAATAGTTAGCAGGCGCGTCGTATATGTGGCTGGCTGGCTGCACCGCTTCATTTCCCGAATTTTGTCCTTCCATAGTTGAGGCCGTTTCTTTTCTAAATTTTTAGTTTGAAAGTGAAATTTTCTTGAAAACAACTTCTCGATTGGTAATCTGGTGGCATGGTGATCCGGCTTAGCTGGTAAGCCGATTGAGGCCGGGGGATGAGTATCGAAAATCTAAAATGCGTTCAGAATTTCATTAACTAAAAGCATGCTTTTTCGAGAAGAATAATTCTCAAATTTGTCTTCTAAAATTCCTTACTAACAAGCAATAACCATTTGTATCAAATACCTGGCCGCTCAAGCTAATGTTTGGTTTTGAGTTGCTCGTGAAACAAACAGATAGTGCATGATACAACGACATAGTTTTGTACTAATAGAACTTCTACACTTCGACAAAAAAAATATGTAATAGGCACAACCGGTTTACGAAAGGGGAAACAAATTGTTGAAATTGTTGCAAAGAGAACCAGCAGCCGGTTATGCTCAAAATTTCGTTGCATCTGCTCGCATAAACCCTCATAAATTCACCTGCTTTCCATTTGCAATCAACACCTCGACGACAACGTTGCAAAACTTGATATCCATAATTGCCGCCATCGTTTCTTCTTTTGGTCGCAAAAGAGTAGGTCCAAAACAAACGCCCAAATTTCCGACGGTCATCAAATTCGATTCTTTGCGATCGGCAACTCTTTAAATAAGTATTTTGAACCGTATCTTTAGTAGCTTAAGTAATTTGAAATATGAAACCAACTTTCTAAGATGACGAATAACAATTTCCAGCATTCGTCGATGACTTTCCGGCAATTGATGAACGTAAAAATGTATGTGATCGATCTAAACCAGGAAATTAGTGTTTCAGCGAACTAGTAAACTAGCACTTATTACTTACTCGCATTTTGTGATCATCCATTTTGGCAGCATTGATGAAAATGTTGTGCAAGTCAAAAGTCATCAAGGGTTCAGGCAAGTTTCTTAAAATACATCTTTAATGGTAACACTTAGTTGCATACCTCAAAAACGTTTTTAGAGCTGAACTCAAAGTTTTCACTTCCCATTCGTTGTCATCCCAATTGACACTCTCTCCACCGCTAAATTTTGATATACTTGATATATTCCATTCAAAATCTTTTCTCAATATGCCAAAACTCAAATGAAAAATCTACTTCTTGACTTGTTCCAAACCATTTTGAATCAGCTTTTGTACTTTTGAAGTTACGCCACAATTGCGATACAGTCCTTGTTCACCAATTCCTAAAAATAAATTCTTTTTTAAACGAAAAACATCAAACCTTTACGCTCAATCGTAGCAATGCATCTTTCAACAAAGTCAAATCCTCGCTTGTCTAGTTGAGCTAAAATTTGTGATTAAAATTTGTTATATATTATAATTAAAGCGTATATTAAAGATCTTAGGGGTCTACATTTATATACTTTTACACACCGTGACAGTCTTCCAGTACAAATCCGGGTAAAAACCCCGACGCTCGATGAAAATTTTGCAGTGCCATAACCATTCCTGGATACAATCCAGCCTTCGGCGCATTTTTAGATCGCCGAGGTAACGGGGAAACGCTAGGCAGATAAGCAGAAGAATTGGACATAGCGGCAGAAGGGGGCCCTTGCCCCGTAATAAGTTGCGAAGGCTTCCTCACATCGACCCAAGAAGAAGAGCGGAGACAATGCGCAATTGGTTTACGAGAAGAATGGGGCTTTGGTGAGATGGACATTCTTTCTAGAATGAGGAGATATTTCTCAGAAAAGGATTGGATAGAAGAAAACTTTGAGCAAAGATGAACGAGTGAGGAGGAGAAACCGAAAATTTCAAAAGGTAGTAAACGACATTGTCAGTGAAACTAGGTAAATTAAATTTGCACATGGATGGAATTAGCCTTTTCCGTCGGGCATTGGGCTTTGTTTCTGAACAAAATCTATGAAAGGTTTATGTGCAGTATTTGGAAAGCTTTCAGGGTGAATTCGCCGCTCAAAAACGTGAATGCCCGATGAACTATTAGAATATTTACCATCTGGCAATCTACAAAGTGAACAACCAAAGGTCTATAAGGAGAAATTTCCAAATTATCTTCATATTTTCGAATTTTGGTCTGACAAAAAAAAATTCAATTTTTCTTTCTTAACTATGAATTCTCAAGAACTGAAAGCCTTCGGAAACCAGGCAACTAAACCAATGAATGGGTCTCTTGAAAAACCGCTTATAAAACATTTATTCCAAAGCTGTCCTTTGCAAAGGAAAGCACCCAAGTTAGAAATCTTGTTCAATTTTTTTTCAACCAGGACATAAGAATCTAGATACAATTACAAAAATCGGCTAAAATGAAGCAATTTTAGATTTGAGGTAACTTTTTAATGGCAGATTATTGATAAAAATATTGACTGAATACCCAATAAGACGAGTAAATGGCGTCACTTTGTGAGGCTAGGTACGTGTGCGGGCGTGGGATCCCATCTTAGGAAAGGAAAGAAGGAGCAACGATGGGTTGTGAAGGCAGAGTGGATTGGGGCCCGCCGCCGCCTCAAAGCACGTAAAAGGGTCGCTCGCAACCCCCCGCGAATCCCTGTCCCTGTCTTTGCGCGAGCCACACAACTTGGCAAATCAGCGAGGTTTTTTTCATAAAGTGCCTCTATTGTGTTGGAGACAACGCTTCCCCGTTGTAGTGTTGCCCCTCCTTATATATTTATAGTAAACCCACATGGAATTATGCTGCAAGATGGGCCAGCTCCAGGAGAATAGATCTAAATTAGAGATAGATTTGCATCTCGCTAAACTAAATACCGGTTGCTTTCCATCAAGTGCATCAAGCCACTGTTTTCGATCTTCTTCAGAAAGTGCTTGAAGTGTGTAGGTTTGAGGCAGACCACGCTCCTCCCCAACCACGTCAAAACAAAAACTAAAAGTGGGTGTACCAATTCGTAAATTGATGCTCGTACCGTCGATCTATGCTATCTGATGAACGGCGTACACACTCTTTCAATTTGAAACGGATCGATTGATCGATCGCGCGAGGCATGTCCTAAAAAACAAAGTTTAAAGCTTATTAAAAACAATTAATACAGATTTCTCAGGAATCATCGTAAAGATTCGAGTTTCTTTGCTGTAAACGCAGTAGTATTTGGTCCACGAACCCATCAATACATCCCTTCCAATCTTCTCTAAATCATTAATAATGTTTTATAGTGAAACTGAAACGGTGAAAATTACTTGGTAACTTGCTCTTCTCCTGCATATAAACATATCCTTGTTTAATTGTAGAATTCACTGATCGAAGAGAATCACTTGTCGAGGCAGTGCCCTAAAGAAAAAGTTACTGAATAAAAAACAAAGGTTACCGCTTTTGTGTGTGTTTGCAAAATTTTATCCTTTAGCACCTCTGCCTCATCTTGCGTACATTTGAAATTTTCGCGCGTCTAAAGTTGTAACTAATAATTTTCCATAACTTTCAGGGCTCGTTACCTTTTGGACTTTTTCCGTGACACTATTCAAAAATGGCTTGAAATCTTCGTACATCACTTGCCCTGTAATCAAATTATTGAGTGAATAAGAATTATAGCCACCTTCATTGTAAAACCCAAGCCATGAATACAGAAACGAGGCGATGATGTCAACAAATTCGAACTTCATTTTCTCCTGCACAGATTGTATTTCGGCAACATACTAAACAGAGAAATAAGTTACGAAACTTTAGTTCAAAACCTGAAGTGAAGCCCGATAAAAATCTCGTTGTTGAATATCTAGTTGAGCATCAGCTTCTTTGAAATCGTTCTTCCTTACCTAAACTTTTAAAATTTAAAACCTTTTAAACAAACGCACCGTGCTGAGATGTAAATGTTTCTCGAGATTTGAGTGAAATTTGCTTGACGCTTCTTTGTATTTCTTTTTCTCTTCATTGATCGTCTTTCCAATAGCGTCCGTCCGAAATCTTCTAAAAAAAATTAAGTAAACAACATAAGCCACATAAGGCTTACACAAGCTACTTTAGCAGTTTTCTTTAGTGCTCATTAAACTTCGTCCTAGTTACATATTTAAAAATAATTAACCTGAGAGGTTCCAAGTAACTTCCGTCTGCTGCCGAAATGATCTTGTTTCGTTCATCCTCAATTCGCACCACGAGATTAGCAAATTCGTTCAAACAACTGGCTATAAAAAAGCAATTGATTTGCAATAAGCTAAAAAGCTTACCAACAACCCTTTCGTCATCGGTTTGATTTAGACCGACGGTCTCAATTTTGAAGTCGACCAGAGATTTGGCAAATGCTCGTTGTGCTTGAGAAAGCTCTAAAAAAAAAATACGAAATTATCCAATAAACACAAACTTTTTGTACAACTGATCAACTCGCGAGCCTGGTTTTCAATGTTTTTGATATTTTTGTACGCTTCGTCAAGGGCCAACTAAATATTTGATGTTACGCAAAAGAAAATTTTCTACCTCATGCTCTCGAAGATTTTGACGAAACCAGGGCGAGTCGGAGATGCAGTCCGAGAACTCCAAAGCCTTCAGAACCATGTTATCTAAAAATTTGAAATATTAAGCGAATAACAAAAAGAGCAAACCAAAAAGAACTTTGTGTCGTTTAGAGAACGTTTGAGCCCGGCATAAAACCTTCCTGAAATTGACGAATAGAAAACCGACCATTCGAAACAGCTTTGAATAAAAACAAAAGAAACAAGCAAAAAAATTTCAAATCTTTAAAATACCTAAATGTATTGCTCAATAACAACCCAACAAAACCTTTATTTACTCTATAATAAGCGTTCTTTGTTAATACCAAATGAATTCAACAGCGGTGTTTCAGAAACTTGTGACAATTCAAAATTTTGGGAAAAATATTACACTAAATGCTAATTGCCAGACTTTTTTCCTGCTCGCTGTAACACGGGTGACATTTTAACACATCTGAGTGCGTCTATCGATCAAAAAAGCATTAAATCAAGGGTTAAACCTACTAGAAACAAAATGGAACCATATTTGTAACTAAAACTTTTTTGGCAAGACTAACAATTGCGTCCAAGGCTCCAAAATTTCTCAGAGAGACTATATGCAGAATTGGTTCAAATGAATTATATTGGGTAGAGGGGAAGGCATGGCAATCAACTTTTGTTAGCATCGCAAACATCGAAGGAAATTATTGCAAGCAAGCAATTCCTATAACAGGATAACAAGATTATAGGTAATAGAATCGGGTATTAGAAAACATTGTATCCAAAAGGCGCAAATGAACGCGCATAGTTAGGTGCGCGATGGCTAGGTGCCGCTCGAAAGCGCAATTGGTGAGGATTAAAAGTAGATGCTAGCGAGCGCGTCAAAGCTGAAAGCAACAGGATGTGCGAATGATTTCTCTTGAAGAAAAACGCTTTTAAATCCGCGACTGTCTAGAGAATAAGGCAATTGAAAGCTGGTCTTTTAGAAAGTACAATTTTAAATGAACCTTCAATTTCGTGGCTTAAATGAGAAATTGTACAAAAATAATTAGCAAGAGCAAGAGCAAGAGCAAGCAAGACTCTATATTTAATGAATAACCCGGTTTGCTTTTTTAGAACAAAAAAAAATAGGGTACTCTTTTGAAGAAAGAATTGTATATAAAGCTCAAAAATTTCAGAGAAAAGTCAAAGACTTAGAGATTACAAGGAAGATTGTTTTTGAATTTCAAATTGATTATAGATTTTGCAAGCTATTCCCGCATTTTGGCAAAAGGTTTTTTCCTTTTTTGAGAGATAAACTCACTCTCGGCTCGATTTTAGGCTTTGGGGTCATCAAGCACGCATTAAAACTGTTTACGCGGCTCCTTACGTACAAAAGAGTAGGCGAAGAGAAGAAAAGAAAAACAGCTGTTATTTGCGGAAAGATAGCATTGTGAGATCGACCGGGTAAACAACTAGCTTTCGCTCTTTTGAGAATAATCAATCGAACAAGAACAATCTTTTCTAATGCTGGCTGGATGAGTGAAAAAGTGTGCAAATTTTTGTGCAAGCAATGCGTATCTATTTTTGAAGTTTTTATTTACCCTGACTTAGATTTTTGATTGTTAAATTTTAAATTTATCAAATAACCACTTTTGAAAATCACTTGACTTGACTAAATCCCTTCTTTTCGTATCTTTATAAGCCGACTAAAATTTGCCAAGCGATTTCTCGTCAAATTGAAAGTTTCCTTTTTTTTGCAACGTACCTAATTCAAAATCGACTTCTAATTATTAGAAAAACAAAGTCGATAAAAACGTTTAAAGTTTTCAAAAATAGACAAAAACGACGTGTCGCAAACAAGCAATTAGGTGTGAGAATTTGAGTGCCAACAGAAAACGGCTTTTCAAGGATTTACCCGAGACTAAAAAGTAATCCTATTAAAACGCATTTTACCCCCAAAAAATTTCCTTTACAACTTGATTTACAACTTTACATTTACAACATTTGCAACTTCGTTTCTGAGTAATACAATGAAAAGCCAAAAATAGCTAATTTTTGAGAATAATGGAAAAATAGAAAGAAAGCCAAGAAAATTATTATTTTTGAGAAATAAGAAAAAAGGAAAGGAAAAAAAAGGGGGTAAATCCTCGGAATCAAACGTCAACCCGCTTTGAGGGATGAGGTTGATCCAAAAAAAGGGGGGTGCTCGTCGGCTACCCCGAGATGCCGGGGTGGCCCCCCCCCCCCCTACATATCAGGCTCCCCTCACCCGCCTTGCCCCCCATCCTGAAGAGGGAATCGATGCCTGCCTCTCTCCACTCTCCCACTCCTCCTAACGATGAGGTTTGCCGTTTTAGGATCGTCTCTTCTTGTTGTTTTTCTGCCTCCCTTCTTTTTTCTTCTTTTTTTGGCCAATGCACTCCAGGAATGGCTAGCCCTTTTTTCCCTTGTAGTTTTTCTACTAATCCAATGTTAATACCAACTACTACTTTATCGAATTTGTGGATTAAGAATATGGTAGCATATTTTGCATTCATTCAAAAAGATTAGTACTTTTTTTAAAGCCACAAAGGTAATCTATTTACTCAATCGGAAAAAGCAACAATTCGAAAGTGAGAAATTGGCTAATTTTAGGAGAAAATTGAATAGAACCAGGGAATGGAGGAAAATTGTTAACGAAATTTCGAATGGTTATAAAAGATTGAGTGGAAGAATATAGAAAAAAAGACGAGAAGTCCCATAAATTCCATCTCTGAGAAGTGAGCAAAAAGAATTGAATTTGATTTTTTTTTGTCGTGTAGCGGATTTAATTTCACTCCCAAGAACACATTGGAACACACGGCTTAGTGAGTTCATTGTCGGAATTTCCGGCGGAGGTGAGGAAATCGGGGAATGCATAATGAGTTCATTATTTTTGGATAAAATTAAAATTTTGTAGAAGAAAGTTTTGTAGAAGACAGCTTTGCTTTCGCTTCAGTTTTTTTTTCATTAGTATCTGATCGATCCAGATATTCTTGTGAATCTAAATCTAGTACTGGACCCAAAAATTTACTAGCACACCAGCCACGACCAGGGCAGACCAGGAATTGTCAAGCCTAACACCCCCAAGCTTTGCTTTCGCTTCAGTTTTTTTTTCAGCTACAGAACCCACTTTTACTAATTTATTTGAAAAAATTAAAAAACAAATAAAATTGAAAGCAAGAGGAGAAGAATTTTTTTTTTTTGTAGATAAGAAATGAATAAGAGTCGTCGGAACACTAATAAAATGAAGGAAAAGAGGGTGGTGAGGTGGTAAAGAAGACGTTTTGATCGTTTGAGAAAAGAGTGAATCAATCGAAACGTCATTTGATCGAAACAAAAATAGAATTCTCTTCAAAAAGTTTGCGAAAAACTGAGAAAACTTCATTAAAAAATACAAAAAAAACCGCGTTTTAGGCAGTTTAATTAGGTAAAAAGAATAGAAAAGCGAAAAACTTTTCCTCGCTTTTACAATGTATTTTTGTTACCGAGGACTACAAATTTCAGACGATACAGGTTCGAGAAAAATCCAGTAAAAAAATCCTCCAATTTTTGTTTTTACTGGAAAAAGCTTTCTTCACAAACGAACATAACGAATTGTATGAATCTTTTTTATATATAAAGAAAAACCCCAAATGGGATCAGGATACAAAGTGATCGTAGCGACATTCGGTGAGCCTTTTATAATCCGAAAACTCATTAAAGAATTTCAATATGGCTTTAAAATTAAAGTTTTTTTAAGGGTTAAGGTTTTCTTACCTACAGCGTTCAAATTGGGACGTTTTAAACAGAAAATTCATTAACGAATTTCAATATGGCTTTGAAATTAAAACTTTTTTTCAGGCTAAAGGTCTTCTTACCTACATCGTCGTAATTGGAAAGGTCAAATAGCCAAAAAAAATTGAGAAAAAAACTTTAAATGAAGGTATCAGATTTGGAAAAGAATTCGAAGAAAATGAAAGTTTTCTACTATGTGCTGTCATTTCCGGCATGAAATTAAAGTTTTTACTCGGGGATGTGGTTTGACCTCAAGAATCATTTTGGATTAAATTTTAAAGCAAAGAACAAACAAAGGAACGGAAAAAAAGATTTTAGAGGAAAGCTTACTTGTGTTTAAGGAATGATTTAACTTTGATTTTCACTTGCAGCAAGAAACAGTTAGAATTGTAGGGCCATGAGAAGTGGAAGAATGAAAATCCTTGAGGAGATGGGGAAAAAGATGAAAAGAGCTCTTAAAATCAAATTGAGTCACAAGAAAGTAGAGGTGGCAGATTTTTCGCCAAAATCAAGTAAAGCATCAGTGAGGGGGAAATTTCCAGGAGAGGAAGAGTCGCTGATTTGACGACGTCAGCAAGAAGGAAGAGAAGAAGAAGGAGAAGAAGAAGAAGAAGAAGAAGATGGTGATGATGACGATGAAGAAGAAGAGGAAGAAGAAGAAGAAGAAGAAAGTAGAGTAGAAGTAGAAGATCTAGGAGTAGGCAACAGGAGGAAGGGGATCGGTGCGCAATCAGAGGCTCGCCTTTCTCTCCGATAAGTGAAAGGGAAAAGAGGGGACAGGAGGGGGTTCGGATAAAAGGAAATGTTGCTATTATGCTCGAGGGGAAGCCTCCTGCTCGACCTCGGATCTCCCATTCTCCTCTTTTCATCGAAAGTGAGATGTGCAAGGGAATCAAACTCAGTCCTCGAATGAATACCCCTTTTCTTTTTCTCCTCTAAGATAGCCCCCTTTCGATCTCTGCTGGCACTCGCACTCACTCACGCCTTAATCCCGAGAGTATCTTTGTTGCCACTTTCTCTTTTCCTACTTTTTTTTTGCTCTTCTACTAAATATTCCAAATATAAATCCGAACGAAGAACAACGGGTCCTCTGACAAAAATTTTTCTAATCCCTTGTTGCGAAAATTCCCGGATTAAAAGGAAATAATTAAAAAAACTAAACATTAAACAGGTTAATTTAATTTTAGTGAACATTTCTATTGAGTTTCTATTGTTTTTCGTTGTGCTTGGGATTATCTTAAGCGTCAAAACGAAGACTCTCATCTTGGATTTCACTTCCTACATATTTACAATCAAATTAAATCATTAGTCATGAGGTTAAGTGATCTGTGAGTAATGGGTTATTTTAAGCAAAGACTAAAAACAATATTAGAATAGTTATGTTTAAAGTTCTCTTGAAATTTTTCTTTCTCCAACTCCCAAAAGATCCAAGTGCTAGATTGCTCTTGGAAGTGAAATGCTTTTTTCGGAAGGATTTTTCGACTTTAGTTCTCGAATCCTCTAGGCGCTAGAGATTGTTTTTGATGTGGTTGCTGTTTGCACGATGGCCAAAAATCGATTGTGTCGTCCATTTGGTGGTAAAAGAGAAGAGAAAAGAGGAGTGTGGTGGTTGGAGGGAAGGGTGAAGGGGAGAAGACGAATGCGAGTCTCCGACCACGGAGCACGCCATCCGGACTGACTGCTTTTGGAAAAGAGAAGAAGAACAAGAAAAAGAAAAAGGAAAAGAGGGCCTTCTCTCTTTTTTCTTTTAGAAGGAGTGCCATCGACTTGAGAGCGAGAGTGACACTTCCCGCCCCTCTCCCATCCAGGGACTTTCAATGTATTTTCGAAAAAAAGAAATCCCAGACCGGCTCTTTCAAACAAATCCACCTGTTTTGCTTTTAACATGTAAAAGAAAGTTTCTTATCAAATTGTCAGACAAAAATCGACGAAAATCTATGCGGAAACAACGATTTTTTTTTCTTGCCATGACCATGTGAGAAGCAACAATGAAATCATTGCAAGAATCACGAAAATTAGCTGAAATGTTTTATATTAAGGTTTATAAAGGTAAATCTTTCTGCTAACTTTTAAAAACCAACCATAAATGCAAAAGAGAAGCCATTTTCGAGTTTCGTCTCGAAAATGTAGACCAATAAAGCAATAACACATAAAATGCATAAAATAAGGAACACGAAATTTAGCAGGAGTTCCTAAAGCGTTAGATCTTTAATATTTGTCTGATTGACTCACCACATAGCGAATGTTCAATAATTGACGTAAAACCGTCTGAATTGACCAGCCAATCAATGCCGCTGCGGTCAAGTGAATGGTGAGAAAAGTGCTATAGTGAAATGGTTAGTTGAAAGTTTTTGAGAGGTTTTACCGTGGATGAGAAGCCGTTTGTGATGTGAAAAATGAAGAAATCAAGATGAAGAAGCATAGAATCTGAAAACTTTTCAATTAAACAGAATAGAAACAATGAAATTGACCAAAACAAGCAACTTGATCATCCAAAGGGGAACGATGAAGGTCGTGCTTGTTATTGTTGTTGATCTTGTTGATTGCACGTTCGCCGATGAGCTCGTTGGCACCATTTTGCTTTCTAAAGCGACTTTCTAAAGTCTAGGCTTAAAGTCACATAGTAAACCAGAATAAATTATACTATATCGCCTGAATAGCTTTCAGCTTATTCAATTGTATTCTAATCCCTGAATATTTTTATTCATGTAAACTGTAGTAAATCAAAAGATTTTAATACAGTCGACTCTCGATTTAACGATTCTAAAAGATGCCCAAAATCTCTTGTGTAGCTGCCCTGAACTGCCAACGATTGCGTTTGGTTGGGCAGCTACGCAGAAGCCAAGGGAATGTTTTAGAATTTCAAAATCGTTGTTTCGAGAGTCGACTGTATTTGTATTTTCACAGATTCTCGGAGATTAGAATACGGTTATGCCTCTCCAGTACGACAGGGCCTGGTCAGAACAGCTGATCTTACCTTATGACAGACTAGAAAGTCTCTACAAGCTAAATATCTTCAAACTTTAATAAATTAAAGTATAACTTTTCACTGTTCTATGGGGCATAACCAGTATCATATACTTGAGCTTGAGTCAAGCAAACAAAAAATTAGATAAAACAGCAATAAGAAAGCAACAAAAACAAAGCAATAAGAAACAAAAGGCATTTCTGTCGATCAACAAGTCTTCATATTGTAGATTTCGACTTCCCCTTGAAAAGAATTTCAAAAATCGAATCAATTTTCGGCATTCATGATGAACGAGAGCCTGTCAAAACAAAACCACCCTTTTTTCTCTATCGCATCCATTCCTGGATCTGCTCATTCATTGATTTGCTCATTGAAATGCGTCATTTCACAAAAAAACATAAACATAATCATTTTTTTTTCTTGAAAAATTTATTAATCAAGTAAATTTTGATATCGTTGAATTGATTATAAGAATTTGAATTCAACTTTTCAAAAGAATTTTTCTTTAAACACTTCGCACAATGATCACGTTTCCGTACCAGGCCCACGAGAGTGTCAACAAGCAAACGAACGCTTGGATCACAAAGGAAACCTGGAAATTTTGATTTATGAATTTTAACTTATCATAGCCTATAAAACTTTTCTTGTCATAGATATAGATCTTTAGAAATACTAGTAAAACAATGGGTTTAACTAGCTATTTGAATAGAACAAGTGCAAAAGATAAATTGACTAACACTTTCAACAATATTCTAACTTGGAAGTTCTTATCAAACTTAGCCTATATTAGATTTAAAAATCTTTGACTCACCGCCGCTCCGATCATCAGTTTGAAACGTTGCGATCCCGAGGAGTCATTGGTTTCGACGAGATAAATGATGAGAAGAATCGCCGATAAACCAGACAAAGCGGTCAGTATCAAATTGATGATGATTTCCTAAAGATTAGATTATAATACAGTTTATTATAATATGTAAAGTAAAGTAAGGAATGGCCAAGAAAGATTTCCGAAGAAGGGATTGAACCCTCGACCTTTTTGCTTTCCTGCCTAAGCAAAAAGGTCTTTCCGGGCAGATACTCTAACCACTGAGCTATCCGGTATCTATTTGCCAGAGAAGAAAGAAGAAAGAGGAAATACAAGAAGGAAGAAAGAGAAGGAAAGTTATCACTCGAACCGACCACATTCCTGTAGGAGAGAAACTGCTGTAAAACGGATCCAATCGACCAGCCGAGCAGAGCTCCACACGTCAAACCGATCAAAATGAAGGTGCTAAAATTTAGAAGATATTTAATTTAATAAGCAAAAAAACAGAAAACTCACCGTGCGTAATAGGTGCGCACCGAGTTGTCGAGGAGATAGATGATGAAAAGAATCACCGAACACAAGATCTAAAATAAAATCGCGTAACTTTGTAAGTCAAGGTTCAATTTTATACAATAAACTCTTGAATTACGAAATCTAGAATCTTAAAGGACTATAAAAACTTGGGAGTGGTTGAAAAATAGACTACTATGAGACTAACTACTAACTACTACTAAAGCTAGACTAACTACAATATTTAACGTAATACCTATAATAAAGAACAGCTTAAAAAAGGATACATCACTATCGATATTACCTTACTTTAATCACTCACCACTGTTATCAATTTAACAAGCCACATCGGTATGCTTGAAGTCGTGGTAGTGCGCGTTCCAGAAGAAGTGGTGGTCCGAGTGACAATCGCCATCTTTGAATTTTCAATCGCTATAACAGATTACTAAATAATTTAACTTTAAAACTCTAGCTGCCTACACAGAGGAAAAAAAACGGGTAAGCGGTAAAGTAAACAAAAACTCAATTCAATAAAAACTCCCAAAATGAGTCATAAGGTTATTGAAATGTGTAAGATATTCTAAAATGATTGAAATAAATTTCAGAAGTCAACAAAATCTAAGTATTAAGGAAAAGTTTTGAAAAACGAAACTAGTAAACAAAATTCTTTTGGCTGGGACTGGCTTGGGGTTATTTTCAGCAAATGAGAGGGTTTATAAAAGAAAGAGAAAAAGGAAAAAAGAAGCTCACATGTGGCCACTTTCACGAGTGTAAAACAGAGGACTCAATGAGGAAAAAATGAAATAAAGAAGGGGTAGGCTTATCTCCGCAACTTCTTTGCGCAACAGGGTCGTTTGCGCAACTCGCCATAACTTTCTTCTAAGTGAGCCAATCTTTATGATTTTGATTCCATTTTGTTGCACTTATTGAGATCTACAAAATGAAATCAAAATCATAAAGATTGGTCCACTTGGAAGAAAGTTATGGCGAGTTGCGCAAATAAAATGACGGAAATTAGCCTACGCCAAGTATTTTGTAAATTTGAAGCAAGTGCTATTTTTTATTTTTATTTTTTCGCGCACAACTCGATCTCAATAAGTGCAACAAAATGGAATCAAAATCATAAAGATTGGCTCACTTAGAAGAAAGTTATGGCGAGTTGCGCAAAGAAAAATTGCGGAAATTAGCCTACCCCAAGAAATGAGCACATTTCTCTCTTTTATATTGAACATTTTTGAAAACAGACAAAAAACACAGGATACAATAAGGATTTTAGGATTTTCTTGTACTTAATTGAGTGAAAATGAAAGAGGATTTCAAAATAAGACCAATTTTGCTTGGATTTTCCCTTAAATCTTCACAATTTTTTTTTCTTTTGCGGATTTTTTAGTGATTGTTAATGCATGCTCCGTTTCAATGAGTTTTTCCGAGGAGATTTTCAGAAATACTGATAGAAAATGGATCTAAAAACAGAAAATCATTGTTTTTAATGATGAAAAAGCTTTAAACTTGTGAAAAATTGGCTTTCAAGTTTCAGAGAAAAAAGAGTAAACGATCAGAAGAACTATAGCTTTTCTAACTGTGCCAGCTTTTTAGCAAATAAGCTTTGAAAAACAAAAGGTGAAAAAACGACCAGTTTAAGCTGTTTCACTTGCAGCTGTGATTTGTTTACCTATGAAATAAGAATAGAAAAACTGCCAGGAATTTACTTCCAGTTTTGGTTTATTTACGCAGCAAAAAAAATTCATAGAAAAAGATTCAGAAATAAATGTGCTTATAGAAAAAATTTTGTTGTTGTGTTGTTGGGGATGGGAGCGAGTGATTCATGGTGAAAAAGAGAAAAATGAGAAAAATAAGAGGCGACAAGGTCAAAATTTTGTGAAAGAGGGGTGATTCGATGTGGAGGGATGGTGGGGGTGGTCAACCGCTCTGCAAAAGGCCTTTCTCGGCCTCTTTCTCTCCCCAATACTGCCCCCAATGCCACTAATGCGAAATTGACATTCACTGAATTGATGAGGAGACCAACTCTGTCCCCCTTTTTACTAGAGACAAAATGAAAGAGATCTATAGAAAGATACTTAAAGATTCACTGTGATATCGACACTTTTCACTTGTTTTAAACAAAAAACATACTTTAAATTTAAAAGTTTAAACGTATATAAACTGCTTTTATTCAACTGCTAGCCTTAATTTCAAAGAGAGACTTTGCTAGATTCATATATTGAGCCAAAACTGTCTCATTCTCTCTCAATTCAGCTTCAAAATCAATATTTTCAATATATTTTTCCATTTCCGATTCCAGATTTTTATGTTCATTTCATTTTTTTCACATCATTTATTTCAATTTCGTTCGATTATAATTCACAGAAAAGGCACAAATCAAAGCTATCACAACCGTTGACCGTTGAACGGGTGTTAAGTGAAAGGAACACAACTAATCACTAAAAGAGTCTAAGAAAATGAGTCATAAAGATCACAAGGTTGTAATCGCAATCTCAGTGCTCTAATAGGAGTGCTTGGCGACAAAGAGGGATTCGGCAGCAGCTCCAGCGGCATCCTCACCTTCATATTTGCCCATAGCAGCCATACCTAGAAAGATCAACTTCAACTTAATTTACCAAAGTAATCTTTTTCAAAAATAATATAATTTTTCAGTTTCAAAGCTTACCGTTAGCTTGAGCCCTGTGAAGGAGTGTCTTTTGTGCCTTCTCGATGTTCTCATCTTTGCCTCCCCATGCTTTCAACACGCTCGCCTATATTTAAATTTTTAAGTTCATTTAAATCCCTTTGCATAAGCTTATCTATCGATATTTAGTTCAAACTAGTAAAAAGCATCTAGCTGTGACTTAGATTTTGTAAGTTTCAGCTTTATCTTACACTAACTTTATCGATAAACAAGTTCATCCAGAAAACTTACTTGCAAGGCTCGTCCATATGAGAAAGTAAGCTTCCAGGGACGCAAAAGGTTCACCTGAAGAGGGAAATTGATTGTTTTCAAATTATATTTACTTTGTTGATAGCATGAAGATTAGCGGTAGCATCAAGCTCCGATTGGCCTCCAGAAAGGAAAGTGATTCCAGGGACAGCAGATGGAACACCCCTAAATTTATTTTCAAAATCCTCATGAACATTCTCAGCGTCTAATATCTTTAAAGTCTTTTCTCATAAATGATTCAACTCAAACCTTCGAAGAGCCTCAACGGTGGCAAGAGCGATTTCCTCGTGCGAGGCTCGTTTTGTGGCTGATTGACCAGGAGTTACCATGTTTGGCTGAATATCTTTATTTATTCCTTTAATCATTTTTATTTTACCTTCAACAAGGTTCCCTCCAAGTAGACATGATGATCGGAGAGTGCTTTATAGGTGTAGGCAAGCACTTGCTCTGTCACCTGAATTTAATTTTTGTTTAATTTAGACTAAAATATTTTCTCTTCAAGATCTCACTTATGTTTCTTCTCATTGATTTATCAATTTTAAAAGCTTAAGCTCAAATATGTACGTTTCTGGTTAAAATTTAAAAACAAAATCCCTTTACCAACCCTTCGAGCTCTATCCAAATCGTGGTCTCCATCTTGAAGCACTTCAGGCTCGACGATTGGCACGAGTCCGGCTTGTTGGCAAATAGAAGCATATCTAGAAATAAATTTTGCCAATTCTAGCTCTTTATAAAATAAATCTTTCACTGACCTGGCCAAAACATTCGCATTCTCGAGCATTCCCAAGTGTGATGGAGTGTGCGAGCCGATATTGAGCACACAACGCCATTTCGCGAATCCACAACCTCCCTAAAATTCTTGATAATTCGATTTCTTTGAAACAAAAACCTTCTTGAAAGCAGCTGCCTTCTCAGCCAATTTATCCAATCCCTGCGTGGTTCCCTCGCCGAGACTTCCCGCCAATGGCACAACTCCCAAATCGAGCTTGATTCCGGGAACGATTCCTTGCTTTTTCAACAAGTCCACAAAACGTTCGCCTTTATCGGTGTTCTGGAAATTTGAACTTTTTTTACTTTCTTTTCTTTTCAAAGTTGAAATGTTTACGCGCAATGCTATCGCTCGGGTCGATATCGGCAGTTCAAGGACGGAAAGGGAAAAAAAGAGAAAAGAGAAAAGGAAAGAGCACTTAAAGATCAGATATCACCCCATTCAATCAAGAAAGAGTGGAATGATTTTGTCAATGATGAGAGTTCAAAAAAGGGGTCGACAGATGATCAATGATCACGTAACTCATAAGGGTAAAGACAGTTTCAAACGTTGTATACAGGATGCGTCAAAAGTTCTGCCACCTCCCTAAAGTTGACCAAAGCTCAAAAACCGAATTTTGTTTCAGCTCAAGAATATCATAGAAAATAGTAGAACGAATGTTAAAATAATATTTTTTGATGCTAGCCCCTAATATTACATAGAAATTTATTTGCTGTTCAGTTTATTTAAAAAATGAGGATCATAGATAGTCCTAAAAATCTTTATACTTGAAATTCCGGCAAATCGTCCGCAACCTATTTATAAATTTGTTACTACTAAAAGATAGAATTCTTCTAGGAACATTTTATTTGACGCTTTTTATAGATTTTTATTCATTATTCATAAAACGAGCTAAAAAAATCCAAAGTTGATTGGGATTTGCCGTAAAATCTATAAACCCAGTAAGTGAGGTGGCAGAACTTTTGGTGCACCCTGTAGATTACTCTATCTAGGCTGTCAAGTACTTTGGATGTTCATTAATACTTAAAATCTTTACAAATATCATACCTGATTGTATGTTTCCTCATAGAGAATCACACCCGAGACGTGTTGCCCAAGATTTGGAGTGGTGAAGAGAAGTTGACGGTACTTTTGACGATTTGCTTCGTTGTTCTCCAAGTTGATCGCCGAGAGTCTTTTGCCAATTGTGCCTAGAAAGTAGCTCAAGTTTCATTTTCATTATGCAATTTCTGTTTACCGTCATTTTTCAACGTTTTCTTATCAAAATTATCAAAAAATCCGTACCGGTTGATTCATCAGCGGCAAGGATTCCCTTTCCGTCGGCGACGATGGCTTGCGCGATCTGGCGAAGCTCTTTCTTCTGCTCACAGGTCAACGGGTCCTTGTACGATCCACCAACTTCAGCCATTATTCCTGAAATGGTTAACTATCAAAACATTTCTAGAAACAACGAAAATTCAAAAAAGCGAATCAATTGTGATGTGGTGTGATGGGGGGACAGGAAGAATGGGGAAAAGGGGAAATGGGCGGAGTTTGTGCCCCTCTGCCCTGTTGTTTTCGATGGTCGATTCGAGGCCGCGATAAGGAGTTGTTTATTTCAGAAAAATCTCTTCCATCCCAAATAAAAATGTTTTTTTTTCTCAAATAATGGTCTTTTTTCCCAAGCTTCTCGAACAACGCCATATTGAAGGATAAAGTTTATTCCAAAATTGACAAGACCCAAAATGCATCACAATGAGATCGCTTGAGCATTGGCGAGATTCGTTGAAAAGAAAGATTTTTGGGATAAAGACAATGACTAGAAAGAAAAAAGATAGTATAAATTAAAAATTTAGACAAAAAAAAGGAAATTTATGAAAGGAGAGCGTTGATTCGAGCAGTGCTGCGTTCCCTAAATTCACAAGTTTTCAGGAATTTGAAACTTTGAAAGACTTTAAGGCTTTTTCAGAAAATTTTTGCCCGCCACACGAAAATGCACTAAACTATCGTAACTCTCTAATTTTCCTTTTTTTGACAATTAGCCGATTTCTTTGTTTTTTTTCGATTTTTCACCACTATTTTTATGTTGTTTTTTCATCCACTCAATATCTGGAACCAAAGTTTATTTTATTTTAGACATTTTTTGAATAAATAGCTTTGTTTGAAGGATTTTTACAGGGCGATGGACGACTAATGCATGTATTAATCCTGTAATCCTCCTAACAAAGCTATTTATTCAAAAAAAATGTCTAAAATAAAATAAACTTTGGTTTCAGATATTGAGTTGATGAAAAAACAAAAATAATGGTAAAACGAAAAAAAAACAGAAATCGGCTAATTGCCAAAAAAGAAAAATTGGAGGGTTACGGTAGTTTAGTGCATTTTAGTGTGGTGGGCAAAAATTTTCTCTGAAAAAGCCTTAAATTCTTTGAAAGATTCCCATCTTTTTACAGATTAGACTAACCTTCTTGCACTTCTAGTTGGTGGCCGGGATGATGATTGGGTTGATGGGACGTCCGTTTTGTATGAGTAATACGGTGAGAAGGCCTGGCTATGATCGAGCTGAATTTCATCCCTTGATTACAAGAATATATATTTTATGATATATAAGAATATATAAATCGGTTTTTTTGCCACTTTTCAATCATTGTTTCAAAGCCGATTTTTCATCATTTTTCAATAATTTTCTTCTAAGCACTGATTAATGCTAAAAATAAGTGTTATATCTCAAAAAAATCACCCATCATCTCTACTTTAATTTGATACCTAAGCGCGCAGAAACAAACGTACTAGTGTCGAAATATGAGCGTTTGTTTGAGAGTAAACTTAGACGACGCGACACTCCTATAGGGGTTCTTTTATTAGAACATTTACGGTAAATCAATTCCTGATTCAACTTACTCTATATGCAAGTGGTGGAGTCTGTCGTGCCGCTCGCATGTTATTCCCCGTGTACGCAATGGCTCGTAGTTGCCATTCGCCTATCTGAAATGTTGGTGATAAGCTGCGTTACTTCTTCTCTTTCAGCACCTCTTCGTTCCACTCCACGTATTGTTCGATCAATTCCAGGCACTCCTGTGGGATGTATTCGTCTAAAATCTTACCAATCAACGATATTTCTTTTCACTTTTCAACCAATGATCGTCATTTGTAGTTGAAGTTCTTTGCTCAGTTGTCGAACAGTCTCCAAGAGTCCCTCCATTTCACGTTGATGTTCCGCTTCGACATCCGAGATTTCAGCTTCCACCTAAACGTCTTGTCAATGGAAAAACTCATTACATTCATTATTCCCAGTCTTTACAAGAAAGAAACCTCTTTCAATTCGTGAAAAACTCTTTTAAGTTTATTCGTCTTCACATGCGCTTCTTCTTGCAGAGTGGAAGTCCTGAATTTCTCATTTTTTTAAAAAAGTTCTCTTATTCTCTCACTTTTCTTCAATTGTTTCTCGATGTTGCTCTTTCTCTCTTAAACGATCTTGAAGAGTTGTCTCAACTTTTTTTGACTCTTCCAACTCTCGATTACTTTCTTCAAGAAGTCTTGCCTAAAGATCGAACAAATAAAAAAAGCTCTTTTAAGACTAAAATACTTGATGTTCAGCCTTTTCAAGCACATTTTCTCCACCAATGATCAATTTGCTTTCCATTTGCGCCAACTTGGAACGTAGAGCTTCATGATCAGCACGTGCCTGTAAACTAATTTGTCTATATTTTGAAATCTTTGCTCACCTTCTTTAGTTCATTTTCTCTAGCCAGCAAATCTTCAGCCAATTTTCTTCTCTCCGATTCATCAAGAGCTAAAATTCTCATTTTTGTGAATGATTTCTAATCTTCCGAAATTCCCAACTTACTTGGATCGATTTGTGCTCGTCTTCTCTCAAGACTTTCTTCCATATCCTTCATTTTTTGTTCCCATTCCCCAGTTCCGCGTGCTTTTCGCAGCTCTTCCATCGAGCTCGAGAGTCCTTCAGCCGCCTCTTCTCCATCGCCTTCCTCTTCTGCAATATATTCATTTCACATTTTTCCCCATTTTATTACCAGCTAGCATCTGTCTGAGCATTTCAATCTCTTCCTGGAATTTCCTCAGCATTGCGTCTTTCGGATCTTCATTAATTCTAGAATACGAAATTTTCTGGAAATCTGTGTAATTTTTACCTGGCCACATTTTGAATGTTTTTTGCTCGATTAGCATAACGTAAAGTTGACAAAGTCTCATCGTAGTTATAACTAGCCGGTCCAATGTTGGCAATCTGAATAAATTTAAGGAAATGGATTTAGCGATGAGCAGATAACCATTAGCGTCTTTGAATTTCCACCAAGAGAGTCTTGAAGTAAACGAGTTAATTTTGAGTTTCTGTACGGAATATGAGTCGATTTGCCATCAACGAGAGCCGAAATTACATTACCAAGTGTACTGAAAAGGGTTTTTTTTAGTTGAAAACGTTTCTTCTTTACCTCAACGAGAGATTGATTTTCGCGGCTTCTTTTAAGCGATCACCAGTAGTGCCGGTTTTCGATTGACGCTCACTTCCAGCCAAATCAACGAGTTGCAATTTACCCTGTAAAAGTTACATGTTTTTGTCATTATTGCCACTTATTTTCAATTAGCCACCAACTTGAGTAACATGTCCATTCTCTGAGCTTTCGATAGTCACAGTGAACATCGCATGTGAGCGAGAGCTTTCACTATTCATTTTGGTGGCACCGGTTTTGCCTAAATTGTTTGATTATGTATGTAAGAACGGTAAAGCTATTACGATTTTTGCTTCCAATCTCCATAATTCGCAGCATCTGACTCGCATTCGAGACGGTCACTGTCGAGAGTTTATTGACATAAACCCCAACATCGGGGCGCTCCTGGATTGAGGATTTTGAAAGCAATTTCTCATGTTTTGAGAACCTTTATTTCAAGTTGCGTTCCATTACCATCTTTTGCCAACAGATCTCGAATTTCTTCGTTGTAGATTTCGAGAAAAGAAACTCGAACCAAAAAACTAAACGTTTTCTTTTTCAAAAATGTATTTGCTGTTTTAGCTTACGTAATATCATGTTCACATTTTGAAATATGATCAAAGATATGTGCAAATGAGTTTGGAATTATTCCGGGTTTTTCATCGTCGCCGCTCATTGTGAACGTTTTCCCCGTACCCGTTTGTCCATATGCAAAGATTGTGCCTGAAATATTATTTAGACTGCGATTGTTTTTTTTCTTTTACCGTTGTAACCCTTTAAAACATTTTCGACAATTGGTCTTGCGGCTACATTATAGACAAGAATCTGGTTTGTGTCCGGTGGAAAAACGGCATCGAAAACGAATGAACGAGGTGGCTCCTGAAAATTTTGTTACTTTCAAAATGTATGTGCAATTTTAATTGTCAAAAGCTAATGGAAAATTTGGTAGGAACATAAAACCGTTCTCAACCTGTGGAACTGATGATTCTCTGATTTCTGAATTTTAAGGAATTCAACTCAATGAGTACGTATTAGCAAAACCTGTGTTTGATCGGGATGTAATAGTTGAATGGTGTTAGCTCGATTATCTGCATTGACGACATTTGAGTGTCCATGTGATAATTCATCACTTGATAGAGGTCGACACCTAACAATCACGCGGACTTTTTCCGCCTCACCATTCATAACTAAACTCCGTTTATCGACTTCATAGCTTAGTGTGGGTAAGTGTTATCCCTCCAATGTTGCAAGTGCAATCTCTGTGCTTGTGAAACTAGTTTTAACAAAAGATCTCGCAATTTCGTTTAAAATACTATATTGTCGAAGGCTCGACTTAGAACCCGAAAGATCTCTTTTCAAAAAATAATTTATCAAACATTGAACGAAAAATATACACCTGGAAAATGTTTTACAACCATTAAATAATTAAGCAGAATATGATGTACATTTACATCAGCGAAGGTAGTGTGGATAGCAGTTTTGACAGATGACTTAAGTAGGCAATTAGCAATATACAACGTATCTCATTGAGTGACAATGAAAAAAAATCGTGAATTTGTGAAGAGATACGTTGCAAAATCTTCTAGATTTCACTGAAAAAGATTTAGTTTAACTGGGCATGGGCTGGACATCTCGAGAATCGTGGTTAAGTCAATAAATACGCTAATCTTGGACAAAATACTCGCATATCAAATAGACTGGAATGAAATAATCAACATCAAAAATGCAAAATAGCAAACTAAATAGGAAACGTGTGACAGGTTTGAATAAAGCCGGAAAGGTTTATGTTTGAGACAGAAGCGCTTTCGAAACGAACTCTACCAATCGTCGAGCATACTGAAAACCATTTTTTAAGACTGCCTTTTAAAAAATAAAAACCTGGTCGGGTTTTACAGTGCTGATGTTTTCAGCATCGCTTCCATATTTGACAGTTTTAGCAGCCGTAGCAGTTCTCTTCTTGACACCATAATATGTTAGAATGTCGACAAGGCCAATGAAGTAGATGAGTCTTTCGTTACTTGCTAAAGCGAAATAAAAAATACTCAATTAAGAAATTACCAGCGGACGATGCGATTGCATAATATTCATCATCCAGATCGGGACCACCTTCTTGTGAAGGAAAAGCACCAGTAGAAGGAATCGGTGAATCCGGTGGAGTGGGGGCTAACTCATCACCACTAAAACTGCTTAATCATCAAACTCTAATAGTCCTTAAAACCTTTCTTCGCTGTGTTCTACTGGACGAACAGCATTTTCAGCCACTGCGCGTTCTACGTCATGAATACCTGAAACAATATTTACAAAAGAGACAATTTTATTGGTACCTAATAAAAGTGAATAATCCATCAAATGTTGCTTAGCCAACCAGGCCGTATCTGCTTCCAGCATAGAAAGAAGCTGATGGCGTACTTCCTAGAATATCAAATTTAAAAGGATAGCTTTCGCGTGAAAACCTCAGGAACACGCAATTTTACATTTGATTCCAAGAAGTCGTTATCTTTCAATGTGGGTAGTTCCTTTGCCTTCTCTTTTTCTGAAGCTGCCCGCGAAATCGTAGAGCCCTAATTAAGACAGGATTATTATAGGTTAACTAAAAAACCAACTTTTAAGTCGTATTTTCGATGTACATTGTATTTGCGGCCGAACACATTTCGCATCACAATAAGATACGTTTCATTGCCATCAACAGTCAGTCGATACAACCCAAGATACTGTGGTAGCAAAGTCTTTCCTGAAAATAAAAAAATAAAAAATAGAAACTTCAAACAGACCATGTTTTTCCACAACATACTCGTGATATTCTTTCATCACCGAATGCAGTTCTGCAACTGCTTCTGAATCCATTGACTAAAAACAAGTAATGAGACTGAAACTTTAAAATAAAACCTTGATAACGAATTTCTTATCGTAAGAAACAAAGAAGCGGGAGCTGCCACCGGCCCGGTCAACTTGATCAGGATCAGGATCCTAGCAAAAAAATTAATGAAATACATTCTTGAACTCTTTACCGGTTCAATTGAGGTAAGCGAGCGAAGATAATCATATTGATCCACACAAAATTGCTCTCGAAGATGACGGAAAACATTTGGGCAATATTCTTTCACCTGGAAAGCTCAATGAACACTGTCTCCGTGTTAAAATTACCTTGAAGTGTGAGGGCATATTGTCTTTATTGAAGGCATGATTATCAACCTTGATCTTTGCGTAAGCCTAAACCCAACATGAAAATTAGAAAAATTTTTAGCGAACCTTGAAATCATCCGGCATAAGCAATGTTGGTGGAGGCACGTGCATCAGCTCACCGATCGAATGATTAATCCCCCACATAAAAACCGACAACATGGGCTCCTAAACATAGGAAAATCATTTCTACATAGAAAAAGCACTCACCTTCGCACGAAATAGCTTCCATTTCGGCACCAAAATCTTTCCCTTCTTGATTTTCGTTTGCGGTGCCTTCTTTTTAGAGGACATCTGAAAAAACTTATGAAAAAAGGATGCAAAATCAAAGTCAACAGCATCAGAAAAGAAAAAAATGGATAAAATCTAGGAGCGCAAGGTTACTAGAGTAGGGAAGAGCGAGTTCACCCTTCCCGGCTATGGGTCTCTTTTGTGTATTGACAGCTGGGGTAGTGGAAGAAGCGCGGGCCAGTCGGCCACAAAGAGAGGGCGCAGAAATGGCGACGCTTAGGGTCCCTTCTCTTCCCCATCCCATCTCTAGCCACGATGCTAAATCTTAGACCATCCATTAAAATTCGGCAACCAAAACTTGTTCGGAGGGGGAGAGATTTTCGCGAAATTAAAGCTTCAAAGGCATTGAAAATAGATAGACAATAAATATGTATGTAAATCGAAGTGAAAGTTTTAAAGTGAATAAAAGTTGTTCATTACTCTTAAAAAAACATTTTAATGGTCACAAAAATGGGGTTTACTCTCGACCTCTTGAAACCACGAGGTAAGCTTTTGCTTTTGAGCGTGAGTACACTGATAAGACGAGAGACATCACATCAGCTGATCGGGTAATTATATAGATTTACGACAAAACTTGGTCATACATGTATGAAATTTCGCTCTGCTAACGCACACTGGTCTGTCAGAAAAACCTATAAGTTTTCCCAAAAGTTAACTGCGAGTAGGTAGGTAAGTGAATGGGCCGGGATATTAGTATTTCGACTGATTAGTGTGGCTCAATCGATATCTCTTGTTGATAAATTGTTTTGCAATGAATCATACTACTCCAAATATCCGAATCAATGTGAAAGGGAGTGTTTATAATGGTAGCTCGGAAGAGAGATGTAGGTAGAGGGGAGGGGGGTGGTTTAAAGAGGCTACAACCCGTGCCTATGTACGGCGGGCAAAAACGCAAGCCTTTAATTTGGGCGGAGATTCATTCTCCCGCTTTATTTTATGCAAAATGTTAGTCGCTGATTTTCTTCTCCGTATTATGTAGGACATTCAGACAAACATCAGACCTTGTTAACCCTTTTTTGCACAACGCGAAAAAATAGCTAAAACGTTAGCATGCCCTCGAGAACTCACAGGTTATATGCTCGCGTTGCGCGGTTCAAATTTGATGCCAAGGATTAATTTTATACATTTCTCTATTTAATCGTGGTTTCTTAGATTCCATTAGATTCAATAATTTTTTGACATTATGTCATAGAAAAAATTTTGAAACATTTAAAATGTTGTTTATGACTTATCTAGAATCCTGTAACTGACCCACTTGTTACTGGGGATGCGCATTTAATTTTTAATTTGTTTGTTAAAGTTCATTTATCTAATTTTAAAACCAGTTACTTTTAGTGTCGCATGTTAAGAAGATCGGCGGCAGGATCAATTGCAGTAAATGACGAGGATCCCTCCTGTTCTAACATGGCTCAACCAGAGGTTTGTGACCATTTTTTTATTGGTTGTGTTTGTTTTTTAGCACCGTGATAAATTTACAGGAAGGCATTCCACTTGAAAATGAGGTGATTTCTCGGTTACTCTACCAAGTCCGTGACAATCGTGATCAACGAGAACGACTATTTCAAAGGAGAATAAAAGACGTAATTTAAAATTTGCATTTGCATATTTTCTATTGTTTAGGGGAGTGAACCTACTTGTGAGCTTGCTGAACCTGTGAATCAAACTGTTCAACAGATTGAATTAAGGTGAATCTAGAAATGTAAATTTTGTGCTCAATTATTTCTTCAGCTTTTGTGGTACCGTTTTTGAGGATTTGTTGAAATCAGAGGAGTCAGAAATCCAAAAGCGTCTTGTAAAAAAGAAGAGAAGAGGTCAGTTTTTAAATCAATTAGAATCGATCAAGAAAACGATTGATTTAGATGAGATTGTCGTTCCGAAACTGGAGAAACTAACAATCAATGTTGATGCGCCTTCAGTAAGAGTGTGCACTTAATTTGAGTTTACAAGGTTTATTTTAGAGTAGCAGCGCTCCACTTTCCGAGTGTCTTTTGGCTGTTGGAACAATTCTCCCTGGAACGGTATCAAACATTGAACGCGCAGCAAGAAGAGAAGCACACGTAATGGCACGTGTGGCCGAACTTAAACGTCAAGGCTTATGGTCGTCAAATCTACTGCCACTTTGCGTTGAACCCCAAAGAAAAACCGTAATTCCATTATCATTTAATTTTTTACCATTGCTTTAGACACATTGGGACAACTTGTTGAAAGAAGTCGTGTATCTCGCTCATGAATTCAAGACCGAGCGCAAATACAAGAAAAAAATAGCATCAAAGGTAAATGCGTTGTCAAGCATAGTGTTAGGGAACATTTCATAATTATAGTTTGTTCGTGGTGCAATGAAACGATGGCAAGAGTTGGATAAAAAGGAAGAACTTGCATTGGAGAAGGATAAAAAGCATGCTATGAAATCATGTGCAGCCGTGGCAAAGATTGTCAAAGATTTCTGGGCGAAAGTCAATAAAGTAGTTGATGCCAAAGCAAAGGTTTTTACTTAAAATTTAATTTGTTAAGTATATTTTAGAATGTGATCGAATCTCGCAAACGAAGGGCACTGAACAACCAATTGACGATGTTGATAGATAAAGCTGATAAATTATCTTCAATTGTTGGGGATGGTTTGCAACAGAGTGCGACGCCTTCGGTTAACTCTGATGTTGTTGCAGGTTCATTTTAACTTTTATAAAATTTTTCTAACATGCACACTTTAGATCAAGAATATTCTGAATCAGATACTTCTTCTGACAATGAGGATACATTTGTCAATGCCGAAAGAAATTGCACAGAAGAAGATGTTGCTCAAGAATTGGATGCGCTGCAAAAAGATAGTGTCGTTGAATTTGATGATTTTTTAAGCTCGGTTTGTGTTTTGAGTGTTTCCTTTAACGTCATATTTAGTTACCACCGGAGTATCTCAAAATGTTGATGGAAAATCAGAAAAATGAACAAAATTTGGAAAAGACCGTTGAGCCAGGTCCTATAAAGGAAGTCAAACAAGAAGTGACATCAAAAGTGAGTTAAAAACATCAACTAAAATATCTATTTTAAGCCTAAGCTTGTTGTTTGAAATCATACCTTTATTTTAGAAAGATAATTCTATCAGCAGTAAAAGGGCAGAGCTTGAAAATCTTGCTGACGAAGCCATGCTGTTTCAGCCGAAGGGATTTTCATTGAAGACAACTCAGGTATCTGGAAATTTTTAGGCTATCATTCGATAATCGTAGATAAAAACACCGGTTCCTCCGTTGATGCGAGGGACGCTTCGTGAATATCAAATTGTTGGTCTCGATTGGCTGGTCACTCTCTACGAAAAGAATTTGAACGGAATATTGGCGGACGAAATGGGACTTGGAAAAACAATTCAGGTTATTTACCGCAAAAATTGGTTATTTTTGGTTTGCGTTTTTATATCGTTGAGAATTATTTTTAGACGATCGCCCTTTTGGCTCATTTGGCTTGTGCCAAATACAATTGGGGTCCTCATCTGATTATTGTGCCAACTTCGGTCATCCTCAACTGGGAAATGGAGTTCAAACGATGGTGTCCCGCGCTTAAAATCTTCACTTATTACGGGTCAGCAAAAGAGCGGAAACTTAAGCGAAAGGTAACAGCAGCCATTAAACGGAGTCAAATGTTTATACTTAGGGATGGAGTAAAGAAAATGCCTTCCACGTTTGTATAACGTCGTACAAAACCGTCACAACGGATATCAGGATTTTCAAGATGAAAGTATAAACTTTATCAAAACTCTTGCTATTTCTGATTCAGAAATGGCAATACATGGTTCTCGACGAAGCGCAAAATATCAAAAATTTCAAAAGCCAGCGATGGCAAGCGTTGTTAAATGTGCGCTCAGCAAATCGTCTCTTGTTAACAGGTAAATCATGAGGGGCTTGTGGATACATAGCAACTATTTTCTTTAGGAACTCCCTTGCAAAATTCTTTAATGGAATTATGGTCATTGATGCACTTCTTGATGCCCGAACTTTTTGCTAGTCACGATGATTTTAAAGAATGGTTTGTCGTTTTTAAAGAATTTTGTTAGCTTGACAGTTATTACTTGGGTTTTTTAGGTTCAGCAACCCGTTGACTGATATGATGGAAGGAAACGTGGAATATAATGCACCGCTGGTTCGAAGATTGCATCAGGTAATTAAGTCGGAAGTTTTAATTTTTGCTCAAAATTTTTTTTGAATTCCCTTTAATGTTCATTTAGATCTTACGTCCATTTATCCTGAGACGCTTAAAGGGAGAAGTCGAAAAGCAACTCCCGAAGAAAACCGAAAAAGTCATCAAATGTTCGTTGAGTAAAAGGCAGCGGTATCTTTACGACGATTTTATGAGTCAGCGAAGGTTTGCTACATTTGACTTATCATAATAATATTGAATTTAGCACCCGAGAAAGTTTGAAATCTGGTAACATGATGTCAGTGCTAAATATCATCATGCAACTACGAAAATGTTGCAATCATCCCAATCTTTTTGAGCCACGTCCTGTTGTTTCTCCATTCAGTTTTTTTGGAGGAAGGTAAAATATTCTAATTTTTGCCAGTTACTTTCCTTTTTCCATTTAGCATGACCCTGCCTGGTTGTATCATGGAGTTGTTGGATCAACGTATTCCATTATCTCTTGATTTGCGCGATCGTATGCTTGGATGGAATACAAAGGTTCTTTTACTAAATTCAAGCAATAGAATCTTTGTTAATTTAGGGGATTTCTCATAACTTTTACACCAAGGAAAGCAGGAACAAGAATAGCAAACCGCCTCTTGCACTCGAGTTCTTTTACTCTCGTGAAGTTCGCACTCATCCACCAAAAGTATTTTTTTTAGTTATGAAACTTAAAAATATTTTTTAGACTATCCCAAAATGCTCTTGGCACCCAATTAGCATTCCGAAGATTCCTGGTTTTCGATTTGTTCGCGCTATTCCCGATAAAGTATTTTGCTTTTGCCACTTTAAGGAAACGAGTATTATTTAGCTTCCAACTGCTGTCATGCCTCCACAAGGGTCTTTGCAAATCACGGCGGCCAATCAGAATTTAGGACTGAAAAAACGTAAACGGGTAACTTCTCGACATTTCATTATTTAAATTTTCTTTGAGAGTGATCTTTTTAATTGTGCATAGTTTTTAGTTCGCTGGGATTGAGGATGGAGATGAAGAGAATCAAAAAGAGCCGAAGGAAGAAGGACAGTCAATCTCAACGGAACCAAATCCTAGTGCCGAGGAAGGCGTGCCTGCAAAAAGATGCAAAAGAGTAGTTAATTTTGAATCGTGGTTTACACTCGTTCATATTTTGAGCTTTGTTATTAAAAAAATTAGCTGAGAAAATCCTCAAGGGTTATCAAGTTATGTATGAAACCTTTTCAGAGGAGAGGTCAGAAACGACATGCCACTAAGCTTTTACGGCAAAAAGAAAAAGGGGACTCATTCGACTTAGCTTTCCGTGAGCTTATTCCAGTGAGTTTTAAAGTAATTAGATGTATTCATATCCTTGGTAGTAGTTAAGAAATTATTTAAGAGAGGGGCTGTGAAACGAATTTTTGAAGAACGCGAACATCAAAGGCAACTATTGCAAGCAAATAATCTAACGGATCCGCTTCTTTATAACGAATTGCGTTGTCTTCTTCGAAATGAAATAATGTAAGTTCTTGGATAATTTTCTAGTTGTCCTAATTTTATCCACAAACTTTTATATTTTAGGCCAGTCGCTTCGAGATACGTTTGTGATTTGATAGCCGGAAAAACTTTAACTAAAATAATGGACGAAAGAATAGGGCAGGATTTACAAAGGTAAATAAGTAACTCGTATACCAATACTGTATTTTTCTAGAGTTCATTTCACCGTTCCAAACGCTCTTTGTTACGAAAGTCGCACACTCCCAAGTCCTGGTTGCTCCTCCTTTTATTATCACAATGAATTGCTGCAGAGGTAGATGATCTGTTTCTTTTGTTTAACTACATCATTCAATATTTAGGGAAGCTTGTCGCTTCGTTATGAATGATGTGAAAGAGAGAGACCACGCCTTGATAGCCAACCAACGAATGCTACTACCTGAGTTAAGGCTCATTGAATACGACTGCGGTATGTTTAAACCATTAAAAACATTATACTTTTTGCAGGCAAGCTGCAAGTATTGAGTCAGCTCCTTCGACAACTTTATCTCTACAAACATCGTGTGCTCATCTTTACTCAAATGGCCCGTGAGTTACCCTTGTTGTTGTGTTATTGTCAACTATTGCATGTTGATTTTGAATTCTTTTAGGTATGCTTGATGTCTTGCAAGCGTTTCTTTCCTTTCATGGATATCAATATTTCCGTCTTGATGGCTCAACCGGGGTTGAACAACGGCATGCTATGATGGAAAGATTCAACACCGATGAACGAATATTTTGCTTTATTCTGTCGACAAGATCAGGTTTCTTTTTAAAGTGCATAGAATTGCTCGAAAAGCAAAAAATCTATTAGATTATTAAATATGGCTTTAGGAGGTGTTGGGATCAATTTAACCGGCGCTGACACTGTCATATTCTATGATTCTGACTGGAACCCAACCATGGATGCACAGGCTCAAGATCGATGCCATCGAGTAATTGCTTCAGGCTTTTTTTCGATAATTTTAATCTTAGATTGGCCAAACCCGACATGTTGCAGTCTATAGATTGATATCAGAGCGGACGATTGAGGAAAACATCCTCAAGAAAGCGATGCAGAAGCGGCGCCTGGGTTTGTGGCTTTGTGTCAAGCAAATGTTTCGATGTTTAGGAGAAATTGCGATTGACGAGGCTGGATTTACCCCGGAGTTTTTCAAGAAACCGGACAATCTTCGTGATCTTTTTGAGGATGAAACAATCAAAGAAGCTATTCCTGAAGAAATTGTGATTCCTCGCGATCAACAAGAGCTCAACAAGGTAAAGTGCTTATATGCTGAATCTCAATTTATAATGTGATAGGCAATGGCAAAATGTGAAGACGAGCAAGATGTGTTAGCAATTCGAGAATTGCAAGCGGAGGTTAAAGCCGAGAAAGTAAGAATTTTAACAGAGCTTTTTAGTTACAAGAGAGTTACAGGCTGAATTTGAATTGATAGCGAGCGGTGCTGATTTGAGCCAGCTTGACGAAACTACTCGAGATGATGACGACTACAAAGAGCTTTTGGATAAGGTAGCAATCTGTGCTCTATTTTTTTAATTGGTTTTCTGTTCTAAAAGACCTAGTTGTTCTAAAAGTCGTCGATAAAAATTCAATTTAGTTATCACCAATTGAGTGTTATGCAATTCGATTTCTTCAAGAAGACAAACGTTCATTTTACGACACACAACTTGAAGAAGCAGAGGTATTGTTATACATTGCTATGCATCTTGCTAATTTAAATATTCAGAAGGAATTGGAACAAAAGAATGTCGAAACGAAAACCCGGCTGAAGGTACTTGAAATTTGCGCTTTTTAAAGTTTATGTCTGTGTGGCTTTGTATTGTGGTGTGGTATTGTGGCTTAACGATTATTTATAAATTTTGTTTCTAGGCTGTCTGAAGCTAATATTAAACATACAATATAGTCCCATGTCACTAAAACTAGGTCTTGTCCTTCGTCCTTTAAATATAAAGTTAAATAATAAATTTAGGGACTAGTGACAACAATGGAGGCAAGCCACGACGATGAATCAATGACTTTTCAAGCTGATACCCTAATTGATGAGGTAAAGACGGGTGGAACTTTATTAAATAGACGTCGTCAGAAAATTGACCCTTCGTTGGTAAAAGACCAACGGGAAAAAAAGGAAACACCGAAAAGTAGTATGCAAGGAAAAAGAAGAATAACTATGCCGAACTATAAAAAAATTACCGAAAAAACGAATGAACGGTCTAAATCAAGCAAAAATTTGGTTATTAAAGATCAACGGCCAAATACGCTTGAAACAGAACCCAAGCGAAGCCCGATTTTGGCAAGAAAAACGAACGGAAGAGGTTCTAACGTCAGATCGTTAAACTCTGTCGACGAAATTACTAATCAGAAACCAGTCTCCGCAGAAAGTTTAAACAGAGAAGAAATCGGCCAACCATCGTTATCGAATCGATCCCAGAGAATTTTTGGGGTCAGAGCTCAAAGCTCTAATGAAAGAGCTCCTATTTTGAACTCTCGTGCAACACCTATTAATCAAAGAGTGATGTTTTCAAGTGCCCCACGAGTAATGTTGCCGAATAGTCCAACCGTTTTGCCGAGTACACCAAGTGGAAGACTCGCTAGACAATACCCGCTAGCTCAAGCACCAAGATTGATAAAAGTCTCGGCTTCTCCGTCAAACTCTTCTCCAAGCACTCAAAATAAGCTACTTCTCCCTGTTAAATTATTGTCTAGCCCACGTGTAAGTGTGCCGAAAGACAATGAAGCAAATGTTGCTAATCCAGTTTCTTTCGGTGAATATTCAAGACCAAGATTAAATCTCAGAAGAGATTTGTCCAAGATGGATTAATATCAAAATAAAGGGTCCAAATGATGGCTAAACCATAGTTTGTAGCTGTAAAGTATTAAGTTAATGTTTGAAGATTTAAGAGTCTATTTTGAGTAGTATAGTTGCTGTTTGATCGATCTCAGATGCTTTAGTTATTTTAGACTTTCTAATTTTTCCGGTGCCTAAATTTTTTGGTGAAACTACGTTTAACATTGTGAATTTGTTTATGTTGTTTTGGGTTTGTCAATAAAAGTACGAGTTTGGTTTTATGATGTATTGCATCCAAATACCATTGTAAATGCGGCTGGGGAGAGAGGTTGAGTTTTCGTGTAAAGGTGGCGCTTTGGCTAGGGTTTCGAAAGCAGATTCAATATAAAATAGCATTCGTATCGTTTTCGCTTTAAAAAATGATTTTGGATTTTGACTGGAGCATTGTAGGCTGCCTTGCGGTGGCGTGTGGGTTAAAAGAATTTGAAACCACCAACTCGCCTCCCCCGCCGCTCGCAAAGGTATTCTGGCATGCTTCGTCACTTTCCAAAATCGTACTTTATTGTCCAAAATTCTTCCTAAAAACTTGCATAGGCAAAATATGCGTAACTATATATTTTTATAGAAACATTTTTTAAATATTCAATTCAATGCTCATTACATTCAATGATCAAATCGAATACATTTTAAGATCAAACAAACATTAGTAGGGTTGTAAGCAAAATTTATTTCACATGCTAATTTTTTTTTGTGTTTAGCTCCTGTTCAACGGACGAGACTTTTGCGATGAGTTGCCGGTAAGCACTTGAACTTTATTAGCAAATGATTTGATTTGAGGTTTAATGGTTATCAAGAAACAAAGTGAATATAAACTTTTTTCACCTTTAGTTGATTATGATAATCAATAATAAGTAACCGGGTTGAAATCAACTAATTTGTTTGTCGAAAGGTGAGCAATTGCTTTCTGTATAGATTTGGCTTCCTCCGAGCCCACCCAATTCTGATGTTGATGAACTTTACGCAAATCCTGGTTTTGATCTCATGTATGAAATCGATTGGATGCACAAAGAAGAACTTCCGCTTGAGGTATCACCTTTCTGCTTCGTATTATAAATTTCAAATTTTTAGATTCTCGATTTCTATCGACCGCTCGAAAAATATCAAAGGCTTGCCAATGAACGAGACCGTGACTGTAAGCATTAAAAAAGGACTTTTATCAATATTATTTTAGCCACTCCAACTGCTCTCTCTGAATCGTCACTACTCGATGTGCTTCCTGAATCACCGATTCCAATCGATGAAGTCTTTGGTAACTCGCCCATTCCATTCATGGTGGGGACTTTTTATATGAATGATTAACTCTTAAGAGCAAAAGCTCTACTTACAAATTTACGAAAAACAATTTGTTATTTAGGACCAAGAAAGCTCGGTTGATGGTGTTCCGATTGAAAGTGCGAATCAAATTAACCATCATGCCATGAACAATACCGAAGCAGCAGTGAATACGATTTTGGAAGGTTAGTAGTAAAAAAGTAGCCCCATCTAAGATTTCTAAAATGCTTGATGTAGTTGATAAAATATGAATTTTAGATGCCCTCGAAGTCATCAAACACTCTTCAATGCAACCAATGGCTGCCCAGCGAATGCGAAACACTTCTCGTCAGGTAGCAAGTCGACATCCAGATCTGCGACGACATCTAACTCCACCACCGCTACAACGGTAATAAATTCTTTGCATTGATAATATTTTAATATTACTTGGTAACTCGAATTTTGGCCTTCAACCATGATAATATTATTTTTCAGAGAACAAGGCGACTATGATGGCCCACCATGGACTGATTATGAGGACAAAGCACTTCTTCAGGTTTTACAGCTTTAATTCGAGAGATTTGACACTAAGACTCTAGGGAATTGGTACTCAAGAACGATTGACGCATTTGCCATCCACCTCTCAAACGATCAACTGGGACTTTGTCGCCGGAATCGTGAAAATGAGTAGCAATACTTATAGGTATTGTAGACAATGTTTCCCAAATAAACGTATACTGTATAGGTCACCTAAGCAATGCTTTTTGCGATATCTCTATCTTTCACCCATGGAGGAAATGCGAACATTGTCTACCATATATCCTCGTCTTCAGAACAAAAATCTTGGCTTCAATGGAGAATCAGGTAGTTTTACAACTTCACCATCACTGAATTTTTCCATTCAGATCAAGACGAGATGCGAAATGATCCAATGTTGGAAAAATTACACACCGAACGAGGAGCTTTCATTTATCAAGGCATGTCACAGAAAATGCGAGAAGCTAACAAAGCTGTCATTACGATCGCCCATCTATCGCGAGGTATGCCTATTTTAAAGAAACTATCCTATCCAGTTTTAACAAAAAATTTAGAGCGGAGACTTTTGATGCCATCGGGAAGCATTGTTCCGAATGACCAAGCAGATCGGTTAAGAGATTATGATGTCAACTATGAGGAAACGAGCAGTCCTTTAGTTCTGTTAGCAATTAAGGTATTTGCACTTATTCACTAGCTGTCATAAATTTCGTTTCGTAATAATAAATTTCGCTATAGGAACATCGCCGAGGAACAATGGCTAATGAAAGACGTGATCATTACTCGATAGCCAATAGCTTGCAGCAAAACGCAGAAGAGGATCGGGTAATTTTTGAACTAATGGTTATACAAAGAGGAAAAAATAAACACTCTAAATTATCCTTCAGGAGGCTTGGGGTCGAGAAATGCGCGTAATCCGACGACCAGCGGCCATAATATGCCCACAAGATAAGATTAACGTGGCTGAACGAAGAATTGTAATAGGTAAGCTGATCTGCTTATGACAATGACTAGAATTGTTGTTTTAGATGTGCCACCATTGCCAAAGCCAGTTCCTACCCTCTTTGAAACCAACAGACCGCCGACTGAACACAATGTAAGACTTTCAAAATCATCGAAATCTTTCACTCTTTTAGGTTGCCAACCAACAATTGGCTCGACGGGTTGCGCTAGCACCACATCAACAATTGCAACAAGGAAATTATACTGTTTTGGTGAATAGCAATGTGAGTAGATTTTGTATAGTAAAAATTGTATAATCTTGCAGGATAATGCGATTAACACGAACCGTCTCTCGACTTATGCTCCAAACACCAACTCTGGTCAACAAATTTATAGGACGATTGCGCCAGCTGCACAAGCTACAGCTCGCCGAACTCCTCCGCAACGGGTTGGTTTTATAACATTGACTCTAGTTTATGATATGCTGCTTATTATGATTACGTATTAAGATGCCTGTTGGTTTCGCACAACAAGGAAATGGTGCTATCTCTCCTTATCCTGGATCAGACGTTCAACAGATGAGAACCATGCCACAAACTGTACGCACTCCGCAACAGCCTGGGCAACGGGTGATCCAACGGGTAGCACCACAGGTATTAAAGTTCAAAATTATATCTATATGATACGTGTTCAGAGCTCGCGGATGTATGTGGGCAGCGGGGCTCCTGTGGAAAGACACGCAATTGTCGTGCAGAGCACACCGCCGATGCGAGTGGTTAATCGAAATACTCAACCAGCACGTCGCCCTTCCCAATCATCCCACCAACTGCAGCAACCACATCAACAACAGCAGCAAATGCCGCAACAACAGCAGCAGGTTAAAAATTTTCTGGGTTAACCGGTTCTTATTGTTTATTAGATCGCGATGCTTATTCAACAGCGAGGAGCTCAAGGTGCCGGAAACCAAATAAGGAACATGTCGTAATTACTAACTTTTAGACTTTAATTTATTTCTTTTAGAAGATTTCCAAACCAAGCTCCCGGTGGTCCTCGAGTGACGAATGTTGTTACTATGGGGCATCCGGTAGTGTAATTTGGACTTTTGAAATAAATTCAACGTTTAGATGACTCCGCAAACTTCGCAACTGCAGATGGGACAGGCATCTCAGCCTATGCAAAGGTAAAAACGTGTCGCGTATACCTATTTTATGATTTTGTTAAAGAAATGATCCAGTGATGCAAAGACAGATACAACCACAATTGATGCATCAACAAAATATACAGATTAGTAAGTTGATTTTTGTGTTTCGCCCCGAAAGCCTTATTTCATTGCGTCTTTCTGCGTTTCACCCACAAAATACTATTTTGTGCTTATTCTCGTAGGTAGGTATCGCTTATCGGTGAGCGGAATTTAAAGCCCCGCTAGGGGTCGAAGTCAAATTTAATGAATATAGAGGGGAACTTAGTGAACTTTGAGGCAAACGCAGAGTTCTCTGCAGTTGACGGAACAAGAATGTTTGCCCCGGGGCCATATTCTAGATGATCCGGAATAAAGGGTTTAAAGTTTCCCCGGTGATCGATTAATAGAGGCCACGCCGGATGTGAAGTCTGAAAATGCCCTTAGCTTGCATAAACTTAGCCAACTTGACATCTAAAATAACCAAATGCATTGATATAATTGAACCGAGAAAACGTTTGCTATCTTGGCTTGAACTAGGCTGATTTATTAGCCCCCTCAACTAGGCGTAAAGTTTTAGCAACGCGGCGTTGGGAAACGGAAACTGTCCCATTTGCCAGATCTAGGGTGAATCCTAGGAAGTCAAGCCTCATGGTAGGGGCTAAGTACACACTCCGCGTTATTATTTAGTACGAGGAAGAAAAGTGTTAGGGTGCGAAAGGTCTAGGATTAACCTCAACTTTTCTTTGTTTTGCACCACCATGAGAGGAGAAACCCATTTTAGCGAGTCTTTCTCAACAACTGTCGTGGCACCCCGCTCTAGGAGGACTCGAACCTCTTCTGTGACGAAATTCAAATGGGACAGGGCTGAAGGCCTGTTTGCATCCCACTCTTTTGGCAGCAAAGGTGTTTGAAATGAAATAAAATACACGTCCCTGATAAAATGAAGCAAAAAAAAATTTGAGGCGTCAATGGCGGACCAGAATTTAGACGACTTAGCGAAACGCACATGAACAAATTCACTATTGTTTGGCACCGGTGCCTCCTTGTCTGCAATTGAACTTGGTATGACCATATTGGAAACAGTTGTAGCATTGGATTTGCCTTGGAGCCGGTTGAAATCTGCTAGAAGAAGCGTTCCAAGATTCTTGAATTCAAGAGCCTGGGCCAGTATTTCTTTTCTCGGCATTCGGCAGCTTCTGCGATGGAAAACGCTTTGAGGTTTGAGTCGCCGGCAATAAATAAAGCATTTTGGTCGACGAGCAGCTTCTCGGCTTGTCCCTTCTTCTGTCCCCTCCTTCAACAGTTCAACAGGTCGAGCACTTGTTGGTTGAGTTCGACTTGGATCGCGAAAGCGTTTGGTTGGTGGTGTCAGCTTCGCCGTCGATTGCTCGAGTAGATGAGCTTCGAAAGCTTTCAATGATTTCGCGTTCTCTCGTTCATCAACCATCACTAAATTAAGAAATCCAACAGAATATGGAACGAAATAAAAGAAAACTATATAGAAACCGTGCTTACTCTGCTAGGCAATTAGACCAGAATGAAAATTTTCTCAAATTCTTTCTTTTATACCGCGAAAAGGGCCGCGTTTTAGAACGTTTAGAAATAGAATTTATGGGAGTGGGACAAATGCGACCTTTTTTTGCGCACCTTTTTTTGCGCACCTTGCCCATTAGCGCACCTTTTTTCGCGTTTTAAAAAAGCTCTAAAAAACTAATATTAACCAATTTCTATTCCAAATGTTGTTTTTCTAGGTAATTCAAAGGTTTTCTAGGTTTTTCTAGATGTCGAATTCAAATTTTGACATAACAGAGCGTGTGGAACCAATTTGAAAGACAAAACGGCTAGATCAAATTACAGAAAATTGTCGATTTTTCTCTTTGTATAACTCCGTCCGTTTGTTTCCACAAGCTCTGATATGTCAAAATTTCGATTCTACGCCCTAAAATTACCTAGAAAAACAACTTTTGGAATAGAAATTGGTTAATATTAGCTTTTTAGAGCTTTTTTAAAACGCGAAAAAAGGTGCGCTAATGGGCAAGGTGCGGAAAAAAAGGTGCGCAAATGTCCGGGTGCGCAAAAAAAGGTCGCATTTGTCCCACTCCCGAATTTATACAAAAACATTTTTTAAACTTTAAACCTTTGTTTGATATAGGTCGACAGATGGCGCCAAATGTGCGCGGATCCTTGCCGACGGTTTTGAATCCGATTTCACAGCGACAAAGCCCACTCACGGTTGCTTCGCACGATTCTCCTCAGCATTTTACAGGTAAGCCCATCATATTTACAGTTTCATAATTTTTGTATAGGAATTCCATCCACGCAGCCACAACCCCCTCAACCTCATTCCCAACATCTCATCTTGAACCAACCAAACATGCCACAGGTCACTTTTTAAAAAGGCGTTAATTCATTGCGGTTCACACAATTTATTCGTGTTCTACCACTGTGCATTACCAACATTTTAACTTTAGGTTCAATATCGATCGTTGCCTGGACTACTGCCTCCACAAGTTCCTCCTTCCGTTGAACCTTTGCAGCCGCCAGTTACTCAACCCGATAGAACTAACTAAATAACCTTAATCTTTATAAACTCAATAGACTTTGTATATAGTCGCTTTTGTTGATGCCAAAAGTGCTGATTGTATTTTCTTGACATTTGATAATAAATCCCTCCCCAATAATGGGTATCTTGTTGATGATCTTAACGGGCTTTTTTGTTTGCTTGAGAGTATTCTTTGTTAATGTTATGATTTACTAACTTAATTTATTTACATTTATCATTTTTGAGCTTTACCGTCTGGGAGCAGCACAACTGGCTGCTACATATTTTCAATTTAGCAAAGTTGTTGACGATTGTGGGTTATCTTTCCATTATTTTACTTTTTCGTGGGAATTCTGTGATAAATTTTTCAATTTTAAATCCATTGCAACTTAATCATCTTGAAGGCATAGAAAGTAAAAGAGCGAAAGAATTTAGTTGGCAAAACAAACCCACTTCATTCAACCTCTGCACTTTCACTTTCCTTACACTGATCTCTAAAAAAAATCGAGGAAAATCCATATTAAACTTGTACAATTTTTTAGAAAATTATGACTGTATTGAGTGAAGCAGAATGTCGAATTTTCCATCAACCAAGCATACAAGATGCTTTCATTCATGATTTGGACACACCTGAAGCAGCGGATTTTCTAGAAACTGCTGGGTATTTTGACGAAGAACAAGTTGAAATGATTCGAAATCGGGTACACAAATAACTCAATACTACCATTCATAAAAACAAAACTCCAATTATAGTTAAGTTTCAGGCTTCTCGTCTTGAAAAATATCGTGAATTTCTCCGTGCGTACAAAAGGAAATGTTCTAGCTTTGCACCAATTTTTCAATATTTTGACTTCTCAGGCCAGGAACATTTAAAGAACATGCTTCAAGAAGGGTAATTTAAATCCGTCATTTCCGTCAACACCCAAATATTTAGATTACCTGGTTCGAGGTTTTTAAAGCTTGATCGATTACCTAGCGCCACAAAAACCGTCCCGGATAATATGGACAAATTAGTACGCTCTTTCTAGTCAGCCAAACAAAAAGAGACTATAGTTGAAACGAAAACTGTTGATGGGCAATGTACCGACGTCAAGACATCTCATCAAAAGAGAAATCACCAATCAACTGGCCGAGGCATTACGAGAAAACTCGGTTTCAGGCACATTTTAAAGAGAAAAAGATCAAATATCCAGCTTTCAGATGGTTTCATCGTTGCTGTACATGGATGTGCGGGTGCTGGGAAAACGTCGTTGGTGGCGCAGTGTCTCGAGGATCATCCCGATTTGCTCACCCAACACTACGATTCGGTCATTTGGATTCCGGATTCTGGGGAAACGAAGAAAAAGCTGCACACCTTTCAGGTTCCATGAAACTACTAAAACACATTAAACTTTTAAAAATTCAGATGGATCTTTTAATGTTGTTGAGAGAGGATTTGGATTTCTCGTGTGAGAAGATGGTCTCACCGAAAGCTGTCAAAGAGATGGTAACTCGAAAATGTTTCGACAAATCCACAACAATTCTCAGGTGATCGACGCTTTGTTAGACTGGCCAAATGTGTTGATCGTTGTCGACGAGGTGATCAACGAGGAGTGTTTATTGTGGCTTGATCGATTGAATGTAAAAAGAAATTAATTTTAACTTTTTTAAGGAAATTTAGTGCCGGATCGTGATCACGACGCGCGATGTCGATTTTCTACGATCGGCCGCTACGCTTCCTTTGAGAAAACTGGAAGTTCTTCCCATGAACCAAGGGGAAATCACTGCCTACTTACAATACAAGTTCATTGCAAATACTTTATACCTAATGAAATATTTCAGAGGAATATCAGGAAGCTTTTGTGATAAAGTGTATGAAGCAACCGATGGAATACCGGCACTAATATGCCAACTAATAACGTTAGCGGATGGTCGGGATGAGCGGTGAATGCTTACATCAAGCGAAACAACACCTTTTTTCAGCTTATCGGATATTTGTGAGCTATTGAGAACGAAAGGAATGGATGCACTTCGATGTCGATCACTTTACAAGCACGAATCGATGAGTGACACTTTACGGCAGTCTTTGAGAAAGTGAGGATTTAGAACAATCGATTTATGTAGAATAAATCTTTCTAGCACCCCTGAATCATTGCAAGATGCCTTGATTTGGTCAGCATTCATGCCGGTCAGTATTTGGACTCCAGTGGAGGTAAATGAAAAAGATTTCTTTGAAAATGAGCGAGTTACAGGTGTGGATGCAATTCATCCCGGTTGACGTTGAGCCGCACTCGTCGCTAAAACAAGAAGTACGATAATTGAAATAATTTTTGAGTGAAGAGAGTTTCAGGTAGAAATTGTGCTCTCAAGACTGGCGCGACTTTCGTGGATTTTGGAGAAACGCACCGATCAAGTGCCCGTCTATCGGACATTAGCCACTTTCTCAGCGTTTCTGAAAGGGGAAATTGATCCCGAGCAATGCAAGGTTGGTGAAAAATTGGAAAATTTACGAGGCGAACCTTTAGAGAGCTCGTGAAATCATGGATGAAAAGCTACAAAAGGTTTCTGATGGGGAGACCGAGGCAGACGGGACAAGCTCTCTCGATCAACCCCACCACCTAAGAAACTTTGGCTCGGCATTGAAAATCTAGAATTTAAGTCACCCTGTACCTACTTGCTATTGTTTTATGATCTCCATTAATCTTTCAATCTATTATATACAAATATCACGATCTCTTATGCTCATAATCTCATAAAATGTATATTACAGGTTAACCAACAGCCTTAATAAATTCAATCCACAAAAAAGAACTTTTTTTATTACGCGATCCATTAAAAAGGCAAGTTATTTTATTTGAGATCAAGCTACAATCTAACTAAATTTCTATCTAAAAGCACTGTACATGAGTTTTTCATACTGAAGACTTTGGCAATGAAATGACAAAACGCGTACAAAAGGAGAAAAAACAAACACAAATTGAGGCGAGAATTGTTCAAAGACCCATGATGAGAAAGCTAAAAAACGCGAAAAAAGAGAAGATAAACACAAAATGAAAAGGATAACTTATTTTAAGGCCAAAATTTGTGACTAGATTTCTAACTGCCCTGCAGAAATTTATTTGGGAAAAATCGAAGACCCTCAACCGAGTCGTCTCGACACAAAAGTCCTTTGTTCTCCGCAGCCAATAACCTAAAAAATAACAATGTTATACTATTTTAAAGACTTTAGAAACTAAAAAAATGTACTAATAAAAACAATAAAATCGCATACCTTTCTTTTGCTAAAACCATTGTTATTCCCTGAGAAGAGGCAAGATCAGTGACGAGAAGCGAGACTTGGGAGTTAACCAGGGCCACCGTTCCATCAATTGTGCTATCAACGGCCGCACTCTTCAATTGCACCACAAGCACACCAGAAGGAAAACGATGTAATCTAAAAAACATTATCATTTTTTATTTATTATAATGTTAAACAAACTAAAGCCGGTCGACTTGTCATTACGTTTTATGAACCAATCAAGTTACTTGATCATTCAAAATGTAACAAATCTATTTGTTCTTGAAAAAAATGCAGTAAACCACTTACTCCAACGGTGTATCAACATTTGAAAGAACGTTGCAAGCATTGAGCAAATCTTCGGGAGAAAGCAATTCAAGACCGCGAGCACGATTCACACGACAAAACACTTCGGGCAGAGTCATCATTCCTCCGCATTCCTAGAGACCAAAACAGTGACAAAAAAAGAAAATGATAACTTTTAACGGTTGCTCTAGAATAAACGCCAATTCCTCGGCGAGCTTCTCGAAATATTTGGCGCCTGTGCCGTAGGTGCTCTTTGTAACCGGATCCGAGACACCAAGTGACAACAAGTAGGATTTGAATTCCACCGTCTGAAAAAAAGCATTTAAAACAGAAGAATGAATGGGATTAACCTCATCATCTGTGATCGATCCTTGACGTGCTCTCAATTTTTCAGCAATGCTTTTTGACAATGACACCATGTCACGAGCCGTCTCCATCAATTTAGACATGTCCTCGAAAGCCTGAGGTTCAAATTAGAAACTTGAAGCAAGGATAAGTTTACCTGGCTGATTGTTTCATGAGTCCGTTGATGACTCTCGACAAGTCGCCTTTCGATACCGCCAATCCCGACTGCTCTATGCCCTACCGGATGTGTAGAAGTTCTCGACTAAAATTAAGAATGAAACAACTATATTACTATATATTAATAAACGTTTAAAATAAAATTTAAGTGAGCTCACCCCTCCTGAAGAGCTTCCTGATGGTGTCCTCTCCCAGGTCCGCCGTTTCAAAGCCTCGTCATACTTTTTGAAAAACTAAAGCAACTGTACTCAAAAATAATTTAGGTGTCAATAAACCGCCTTAGATATCAATTTCATTTCAAAATGAAAATCTTTGTTAAGAGAAAAACTAATTTTTAAATACAAATTTTAAACCAACCTCATCTTCACCGCCACCTCGAAAAACAAAACGCACGCAGTTGTATTGCGAACTGGCCACAGGTCCAACTGCACTTTGCGGAGCTGGTGAAAGCTGCAAATGAAAAGATTTATGATAAAAAGCAAATTCAACTCACCCGAGTCACGATTTTTCCTCCTTTCCCAAACATCGATTTATGATGCTTTTCCGCATGTAAAACCAAATGATGATTCAAAACCAATCTTCGATCCTAAACATTATACATTTACACTATAAACAGTGAACAGAGTTTGCGGAAAGAAACAAAAATTTACCGGATCGGTTGAGTCGGCCCATATTATCCGATGAAGCGTCAACGACACGGTGCCCACCTCGAATTCGGTCTAAAAATCACATAAAATTGATGAGGATAGCGAAACTTTAATGGAAAAGCTTAAAGGAAAATCCTGAAACTAAAATAACCTCGATTTTTTTACGAAATCAACACTGAAACTTGATACGATCGTGGTTAATGGCGATAAACGGACCTGTTTCAAATCACCGTCATATAGACCGACGTGGCCGGCTTGACAGAGGATTTCTTCCATGCTTTCGGCTGGTTGATACCATGTTATCCTATCCATTCGATCTAATAGAAAATCTAGAAAATATTTGGTACAATAAAATAGCCCGAGGCGGCTGGCAGCAAAAGCATTAAAAGCACACCGCAATCGTCGCTGAGAAAAGCGGCCAAATAACGGCGTTTGTATCGCCGCGTAGGGGCGCCTGTTTTTCCTGTTTATCTGCCGGGGCAAGTAATTGCGAAAAGCGATAAACAAAAACAAATAAACACATCTGTCCACTCATTCTGGTGAGCGCGTGAGCCGAAAAGCAAGCGCTTATCACTTAAAACCCTGTTTGAGTGTTTTTTCATCAACTTTCTCTCGTTTTTGTTTCAAACCTCAGACTTATTGTTTCTTTCTCCATTAATTCCTTGAACTTATGGGATTTACGGGAATTTTAATTGCAATAGTTATTACATTTGCGCAAATTCTTCAAAAGCGAAGGTCATTTTCAATTTTTTTTTTTTTCATTTCCCTGCATAAAGCTTTTCAGTGAGCCATGCTCCATTCGGTGGATGATGACGAAGAGGCGATTCTGGTGAGCAATGAGGTACTTCCGCACTCCGATTCACCAGACCCAGGTGGGTGCGATTTCAAAAAAGATAATCAAACATGCCAAACAACATGAAACTTCATGTTTCACCATCTCTCTTTTTTGATTGCGAAATTTACATACCATAAAACATGCCGTAGGACACCTCGTTGTCGCTCCTTCGAGTGTACTATTGCAGGTATTACGGCACTTACCGTTTTTTCCCCAATAGTAGTGTTTTTGCACTTCCCGTCATCGTCACTTCCCGTTTTTTCCCATTTTCCCTAATAGTACCCCGCCGAGTTGATGACTATTTTACGGTTTTCAAATTTTCATAGAAGCTCAACACTCTAATCCCCTCACTAGATCTCATCGTTATTTTCTTTTCCGCTACATTTTCCGACCCCACATCGATAGATTCTGATAAGCGCTTTTCGAGATTTCGAGCAATTTAGGAAAAGCTTAGGGTGCACTACTATTAGAGAAAATACGGTATAACATGGTCATTCCTCATTACTTATCTATTCCTTATCTCATTTTTCTTATCTCCAAATTTGAGTTCCGAATTGAAACGATTAAAATCTCGCAGCCAAATTGATTCAGAAAATCGGTTCTTTAAGGAAGATACACGGTTTTGAATTCTCACATCATTATCCCTTTGTCGGGTTTTTTTAATGACCTCATGCATAGACTTACTTTTTCACTCGCTTTCAAAAACAATAATCCAATGCGAGCATTTGTTGCTGACTCAAACAATTCCATTCGTTTTCCGGTCTCTCATTGATCTCCGTATTTTCGACAAAACATCTCCATCATATGTTTACATAGCTTTTAAATTCTTGCTGCATCGGTCTATTGATTTGTCTCGATAGACCTCTCAGATATAGCCCTGACACCTTTTTCGGCTACACATCAGTGCCGAATATTTTTATGGGAAGGTGGGAATTCATTGGGCGCATGCTTTCACTGTGTGAGAGTTCGACCCGCTTACTCACTAATCTCTCTTCCCAAAGAGCGCTTCTGCAAATTTGCATATTCGGGTCGGTGTCTCTCTCCGTGTTCTGAAGAGAAATATCTTTCTGATTTCAGTGAACTCTCGAAGTACGCCCACCTTTCCATTCTCTTTCCTTTCCATCAAATTTATGACACTGAACATTTGCATTTTTATACATCTGCAACAAAGCTAAAAGTTTTCTCTTTTAAGCGTATTTGTACCCATTCTGAACATTCGGTCACTTCTGCTAAATGGAGTCAAGCCTAACTCAAAACTGAATTCAAAAAGATAATCCTACTTATTATAAGCGAAAGAGTATGTGTGTGTGTGTGTCTGTCCGTTCCGCTGTTTTAGAAAAAAAGGCTGAGCCAATCGATCTGAAAATTTGACGTTACAAACCTAACTTTTAACGTAGCTCCCAAAAATCTAATAATATTTGACACATAATGTGACTGTTTTTCCTAAAAAGCGAAATTAAAAAATACATGTTACCGCGTGGTAGTGCGTCCCGGTGTCCTTTCTGCCTGCCAAGTTGATCTGCCAAGTTGAGCGACGTTGGGCTCGGTTAGTCTCGGTTCGATCCCGGCCCGATGCAATCTTTTTTGCTTTCTTTGTTTTTACACTTTTTGAGTAAGAAAGATCGGGGCTAGAGCTGGGGGGGGCAGTCTGGAACTACTCTAGCGCCGAAAGGTGACGGGTTCAATTCCTCTAGAGGTAAAGAAAATAAAATCCGTCTGCACGGAGCCAGCAAAACCTGGCAAAACCTTTTTTCTGGCTGGTAATTATAAGTTCTAATTATAAGTTTCCAACTTTTACATTTTCATTCAATCTTCCAATTTTCTTTGTTTTTATATATTTCAAGCAATTTCACGAATCTCGAAATCATATCTATAATCTCTTAACTGAAAAATAAACGTTCAGTGAGAGAATTTTAAGATAGAACCCATTCATCTCTGTTTTTTCTAACAAAAACTCAAAGATTGGTTCCACATTTCGCACTTTATCGCGAATTCGGAACATTTTGCCACTCAGTAAAACTAGTTTTCCTTTTTTTGCACCCTATTTTTTTGAATTTTTCAAAACGCATATTTACTCTTTCATTTCCTCTCTCTTTTGTCGCTTTGTCTCAAATTGATATCAGTCATTTTCAAAACAAATCTTTCGAAAAATCTTTAAATCTTTTTATTTTTGATTTTTGATTTTTCTTTACGAATTTAATTTAAAACTTTTTTTAAAAAAAATGTTTCCTATTCACATCTCACCTTTTCGGGGAAAACAAAAAAGATAAAGAGAAACAATGAATCATCTTTGAGCAATAAAAACATTTCACAAAAAAAACATTTTGATTCGATTTTGATTTTTGGAGAAAACTGAGATTCTAGGCTCATCAAGCATGGGTCGATCTGATGTTCGACCACAAGAAATTTCTGCAGTAAGCTGAGATCCTTTCAACCTTTAAAACCTTTAAACGAAATTTTGTTAGATTGAGAAAAAGAAGGAATCCGAAGGGCAGTATGATGATGATTTCACAGAAGATGTGCTTGTACAAATTCCAGATGATGAGGATCAGGTAATAACTTTAAAAATCTAAAAATTAACTTAGCTAATGACTTAAAAGATAAAGAACTAATAATTCCTAGAGTTTCTTCTCCTTTCGTAAACTTTGGCTTTTCACGGGTCCCGGCTTTCTGATGAGCATTGCCTATTTGGATCCGGGCAACATCGAAAGCGATCTCCAATCTGGTGCCACTGCTCAATATAAAGTAAATACTAATTGAAATTTGTAAAATATTCAAACAAAAAAAATTCTAGTTGTTATGGGTGCTTTTATCAGCTCACATTATGGGTATGTTATTGCAAAGAATGTCGGCTCGTTTGGGAGTTGTTTCCGGGAAACATATGGCTGAAGTAAGCTTAGATATTAATAAACTCAAATTATCAAATAAAATTTTAGGTGGCTCACAGTTTTTATCCAAAAGTGCCTCGTTTGATCTTATGGACAATGGTCGAGTTGGCGATTATTGGCTCGGATATGCAAGAAGTCATCGGCACAGCGATCGCCTTTTATCTTCTCTCGAGTGGAGCGTATGTTTTTTTTAAAAAATACTCTAGTTTTGGGAACATTAAGCTTGCGCCACGAATCTTGCGCCGCCTATGTTAATTACGAAACTTGCACCGCGAATTTTGCGCTATAAAACAAAAACCGAAGATTGCGCCACGCCTTTAAAACGAAACTTGCGCTGCGAATTTTCCACCACGAAGCTTGCGCTACAGGCCAAAAGGCGAATTTTGCGCCAAAAATGTTAAAACGAGGCTTGCGTGGCGAATTTTGCAAATTTCACTTTGACTAGTGGCGCAAGTTTCGCTTTGTTTAATGGCGCAACTTCCCGTGGCGCAACTTTCGCTTTTGACAGCACGGCGCAAGTTTCGCGGCGCAAGATTCGTGGCGCAAGCTTCATGGTCACCTAGTTTTCAGTAGTGTTATTATTGTAACTTGTTGCTATGTTGTATTATTATTTATCTCTTATTACTTGCCATCTTTATTTTCTAAAAGGATGGCTACTTTGCGCTAAATTTTTTGCACAACTTGCGATAACTTTCTTCTAATTGAGCTAATCTTTTTCTATTTTAATGTCATTTTGTAGATCTCAACAAGTGCAACAAAAGAAATCAAAAAGCATAAAGATTAACCCACTTAGAAGAAAGTTATGTCAAATTGTGCAAAAAAATGCAAACTTCAGGATACCATTGTGGGTGGGAGTGATCATTACAATCCTCGACACAATCACTTTCCTTTTCGTTGATCGATACGGTTTCCGAAAACTCGAGTTCATCTTCGGCGTCCTCATCACAACGATGGCTGTTTCTTTCGGTTTTGAGGTTAATGTTTTCGCGTTTTTCAAATCTAGCATATCGAATAGTTTACTTGTTTATTATGTTACTAAATTTGAAATTTAGTATTTCGTTGTGAAACCGGACACGGTGGAAGTGGTGAAAGGGATGTTCATCCCATGGTGTGAAGGATGCGGACGAGAGCAGTTTTTGCAGGTTTATAAATAAAATTGAGAAATTTCTGAATAACTCTTTAGGGAGTTTCCGTGGTTGGAGCTGTGATTATGCCTCATGTAAGTGGATTACTGTTATAGCATTGTTATAATCTTTATTCTAGAACTTGTATCTTCACTCGGCACTCGTCAAGGTTTCCAAAGATGAATTCTGCAGAGGGAAAAAGAAGCTTTTAGAGTCGAAAAGTTGATCGCTCGAAAGAAAGCAAAGTGAAAGAGGCGAATTTCTACTATTTCATTGAGTCAGCACTCGCGTTGTTTGTTTCATTTTTCATCAACACTTTTGTTGTGGCCGTTTTTGCGCACGGATTATTCAATAAGACGAATGCTGAAGTGGTGGGTGACAAGTTTTTTTTGTACCTTGTAAATCATTAATCCCATGAAATTGCTTTTCTACCAGTTTTCAAATGGCAAACTGATCTTGGTAATCTTTTCTAGCGTGCCACTTGCCTTTCTGGTCACGGAATGTATGATAATCGAACTTTCCCCGACAACAATGAGACAGTTTCGGCTGATATTTACAAGGTAACACTTTAATTTTCAAATTTTAATGTAATTGAAAAGTTTTCAACAAGTTTAAAAGTCATTTTAAGGGTGGCATCTTTCTAGGTTGCGAATTTGGAATTGGCGCATTATATGGTTGGTTGTTGTTGATTTTGATTTTTAGATTGTTGATTTTTTATAACCAAAAAGCTTTCGATATTCTTAAAGATCTTAAAACTTTATACTTTAGTCTGGGCAATCGGAATTCTGGCAGCTGGTCAGAGCTCAACGATGACTGGAACCTATTCAGGACAATTCGTCATGGAGGTAAATGTTATTTCGATGAAATTTCAATTTTCCTTTAATTTTGGGCAAAATTCCTTTTTAAGGGCTTCATTCGAGTTCGCTGGGCTAAATGGAAACGAGTGTTTGTCACTCGTTCCATTGCCATTGCACCCACGTTGGCTATCGCTGTTTGGGCTCGTGACATCGACAATTTGACTGGTAAACGAGTTATAGCCATTTTTTTTTCAAAATTATAGCAACTTTTAGGGATGAACGATTTGTTGAATTGCGTTCAAATGATCCAGCTACCATTTGCTCTCATTCCCATCATCACTTTCACATCCAGCGAGAAAATTATGCACAATTTCAAGAGTTCAAGGTAAAAAAGATTATCATTTCAGATAATGAGTCTTCTAAAACGTGTCAATTCGCTAAAAACATAAGATTCAAGTAGATTGGATAAAACTAGAGGTAGTTTTCGAAAGATTGAGCGTTTAAGAAGAGTTTTTATTTGTGAAATAAACTCTAGTAAAGATGAGCGAGATTTTTCAGAGGTTTTCAAATTTTTGCTTGTACTGCATCAGCTTTGGTGATCAGTATCAATATTTATTTCATTTACGACTACATCACTTCAACACTCGGCAAAGAGGTTTTCTTTTCTTTTTTTTTTCCTTCGTCAATGTTTTAAAAATTTCTTTAGTGTTTAATTTATTTAAAAATCAAATGATTTATCTTTAGTGGTATGTGCTGATGCCACTCTTCGGCGCAACTCTTCTTTACTTCAGTTTCATCTGTTATCTGGTAAGTGTTTGAGTTGGTGAATTGCTCAAGAACTATTTGGTACATGCATAAGAAATACGGATTTCAACATTTTCATAAATGTCCAACGATAGAAACCTGATATCGATGAATGTTAAATACTATTTGAAAGTTGCAAATCTCCTCTACAAAATAGGCTAAAACGTGTTTCAATTGATTGAACCATTGAAGAAGAATTGAAGAAATTTCGAGGTCGAAATGCGAGTGACCAAAAAAAGGAATCGAGTCACTTTACGACAAGTTTAGTGTGGTCAAAATAGAGTTAGCTTCCCAAAATTGAAGATTTTAAAAAAGGATAACTATATATGAATTCATTAAAAAAGTCTAACGGAAATGCATTTACAGAAATTTAGATAGAGCGTAAGTTCAAAACCCTCAAAATTGTCAAAAAACCGGCTTTTTCACAAAAACGAAGAATTATTGTAAAAACCAAATTTCCCCATGAAATGATCCCAACTCTTAATTATTTTGAATGATATTTTAAAGATAATGATTTTAGGGCGGTCATTTTCCACTATATAGTCAAAAGCGAACTCTTGTGAAAGTGGGGTTTTCAAAAAGTACCCTTTTTTGGTCACTCGCATTTCGACCTCGAAATTTCTTCAATTCTTCTTCAATGGTTCGATCAATTGAAACACGTTTTAGCCTATTTTGTAGAGGAGATTTACAACTTTCAAATAGTATTCAACATTCATCGATATCAGGTTTCTATCGTTGGAAATTTATGAAAATGTTGAAATCCGTATTTCTTATGCATGTACCAAATAGAACAGAAGAAGGATTGTATTTTCTTTGTACACTACTGGACAATGAAATATCATATTTGAAAAACGATCGTCACCTTCGCGCGTCTTTAACACCCTTGTCTTTGAGTTTAAACTATTAGTGTTATACATTTTCTGAAAGCCCTTTTTAAGGGCTACATAATGGTAATATTAATATTTAGAAATACGGTAAAGACAAGGGAGTTATAGACGCGCGAAAGTGATGATCTTTTTTCAAATATGATATTTCATTGTCCAGTAGTGTATTTTCTGCCTAACGACTATCCACACTTTAGAAAACAGAAAGCAGTAATGCTGTCTTCTTTCTATTACTAAATTTGTTCAACAAAACTTCTGTAACTAAATATCACGAATTTCATTTGATATTTAATATGCAAATGTAATTTTCTAAAATGTTTTCAATCAGATTTACCCAAATTTCCTTGTATTCATCAAAATTCAGGCTGTTTATTGTTTCATGGCGATTGGGCTCATCTCAGAAGACTGGGTTAGTTTAAGTACAAAAAAAGAGGGATAAAATTGGATTTTATAATAAATTTGTATATAAATCTAAGTCACTTAAAGCCAAATTTCCAGAAAATCTCCGGCTTTTCCTTTAAACGAGACTATGAAACGGAGGCGCCGTGGTTGGCCAACAACGTTCGCCCAATCCGAGCTCATACCGTCACCGATATCTTCTAATATATAATTGTGAAAGCTTATAGTGATTACTTTATTTAAACCTTCATTTCTTATAATATTTAAACGTTTTCTCACAACTTTTATGAAGAGTTAGCCTCTAGAATGCACATCTTTCTAGCAATCTGCTTTCTGAAACGTTCCGACTTTTGAAAGCTAAAGAATCTAGCTATATTTTAAAACCTCAATCAAACAAAGATAGGTTTGATAAAAATTTGAGACAAGATTACGGTAGGCTCTGAATAGTATTTAACAACCTAATATCGATGAATGTTAAATACTATTTGTTTTAGAGAATGCCTAGAGTCTAGAGAAATTCGAAAAAAAAGAGAAATTTGGTCTTGTTTGACTGTATTCTTATAATTTCTTAAAACTTTCACTGTACTTACAACTAAGATTATGTATATTAATGAATTATCGATTCACGAAACGTTTTCATTTTGCTCAAATTTGCGGCTTTATTTACACTCTATTCACTTGGCTCAGAGCAATGAATCGTTGAGAACCAGCGGGTGAAAATTTTGTAGAGAAATTCAAGATTTCCGTAATTCATATTCCCTTTTCATTCTATTTTGTGAATTCAAAATAAATATATTTATTTATAGAAATCTCTCAATTTTCTGCAATGGCAATTTTTCGTTTTGCAATGAGCTAAAAGTGACAGCGGGAAACACGGGCAGTAGCTAGGAAAAACGATTATTTAAATAAATATCCTATACATCTAATGAATCAAAAAAAAGAAGAAGAAGAAATTCATATTGATTACAACATCTACAACAATAAAAGACACGTTGATAGACACCAGGAAGAGTAAAGGATCAAAATTGAATACCGTAAATATTGTAATAGTACCCCACCGCCCTCGTACAGTCGCGTAGTCGCAAAAGTTTTTTAGTATTTCATTTTTTTCAAAGCGCCTGTACTTTCAAAAAATGCGTCTTTGGTATCAAAAAATAGCTGAAATTCAGGGCTATTTTTTGATAATTGTATTGCTATTGTAGCTTAAACCAATGTTGAGAAAAACTCTTTCAAAGCTAGACTACGCAACACTCCGCACCGTCATTATGCGGGTGGGGTACTATTACAGTATTTACGGTAGTTATTTGCATTTGAGGCGAAGGATTGTACTGTGGATTGTACCCTAGTGCTAAATAGAAAACGATTGTCGCCAAAATGGTGCCCAAAGCCGCCAGAGTACTGTAGAAACGATTTTCTATTTAGCACTAACTTTACCGATAAATTTACGGTGGAATACAGCTGTTCGTAGATTGAATATCTTAAATTTCAAAGAATTTTGGCTGTCTCAATGTTGTTTATTAAAAGATATTCAGTCTATATTGTATTATAGAAACAAGGATTAATTCAAAAATTACATATCAACGATGAAAGTTTTATCGCCATTTGTAGCCACCACCTCGGTGACACGCATCGACGGATGGTAATGGAAAACGTCGCCTGAACGGAATGGATCCGCCCAACGGTACAAGTGCTTCTAAAAAGTGGATCTTGCATCAGATTACTGTAATCATAAAGGTGTATTTTAGGATTCTAGAGATTGGGGCGTCTTTTTCTAGATTGGGAAAAAAACCAGCACGGGGACTCGAACCCGCGACTCCCCAACCGCGATCTCGACTGCCAGGAGAGCACTCTACCAATGGGCCACCCCGACACGCGTCACCCTGCCGCCAGAGTGTCTTATCTCTTACTCGAAGGTTTTTTTTTTCACAAACCGTTTCATTTTTGAGTTGAGCTTTGATCCTTTCGATTGACTCTTTCTCATCAAGCGTATTCACCGCCTCGCACAGCTGGGCTTGTTGGATTTTTTCGCCCTCCTCAAAAATTCATTTTTAAGTTTAAAACTAGAAATTTTTTAATGTATTAAGTATTAGTATTATAATGTAAAGATTTTAGAATTTTTAGCGATTAGAATATATTTTTACTTACTTGTGCCACTTCACCAAGTATCAGCACTTTTTTCGAGCCACCTGAGTCAGGTCCTAGAATCGATGTGACTTGTCCTGAAAGGATTTTTAAACTTTAAAACTTTAAAACTTTAAATATAGATTTGTCTTAGCTTTTAGATAGATCTTACTCTATTTGGATAAAGAAAATAAAGAAATTTGAGTGCTTGCTCTCAACTCTCATGTTTACCTATCTCTTTCTACAGTATCTTTATGAAGTTCCCCGCTTTGACACTCAATCTTTAGTGCTCTTTCTAGTAAACAAAAGAGAAAGGTCACCTTCCATAAAATCAGCGCTAGTGATGATGTTATTAGTAATAGCCTGCGGTGTTGGACTGTGAGGTGTCCTTGTCTCACGGCTCTCACTTCGCTGAAAACATTTTTGATAAAACATTGGAAACACTTTAAAGAATAAATGAAAGTTTCTAGTTTTTCAGATCAAAAAACCATTTTTACCTTTTTCAGTGAAGACTCCGATCGATTGATAGGCGTTGAGATGTCTCTCTGACTCGTTGAGATATCTCTCTGACTCGTACTCGCGTTCACCACTTCATCACCATCTTCAATCTCTTCTTTAATCGTTGCTTGCTTTATTTCCTTTTCTATCAACGATTCCTCGACTTTTTCTTCTTCAACCTCAATCTTCACCCGTGTTGGACTCACTTTTTTCGGTGAATCTTTTGCTGGGGACTCTTTATCCGAACAGGATTTCTCCTTTGATTCTTTGAGCTGAAAAAGCTGATTAAAGGATAATAAAATGAATTTAGAAAAAGAAAAACCTACCGTTTTATCGGAAATTCGTTTCTTTTGAATGCTTTTTCTCTTCGGCGGAATGATTTCTTGTGGTGTTTCCTCGTTGTCAGAGGCCGCCTCTTCATCCAAATCTCCCACAATTGGTCGGGTTTCCTTTAGAAAAACAAAAGGATATTTTATGTAAATCTCATTTTAATCATTTTAAATCTCATATTACTAAATTATTTAAAGAAGAAAAAACAAAAGTAACCAACCGAGACTACTTCGGAGATTCGACTTTGATCGGATTCCATTGGTGGCCGACCTCTTTTCCGTGTGGTTTTTGATGTGGATGGACTCTCGATATCTGCTTCTAAAAACATCAAATTTAATCTTAATCTAACCATAATAAGTTCCCTGTTTTTCTTTTTCCAAAATCGAAAATCGAAATTATTGAAATAAATCCTCGAATTTTTGCGGATAAAGAGGATCACGTGGCTCGGAAAAGAGTGCAAAAAAATGGAAAAAATGAGCTTTTTTTTTCTTTGTCTAGAAAGAAAATCAAACACTAAAACATAGTTTTATTTTTCAAACTTAAAAGAAAAACAACGTTTACCTAGTTTTGGTTTAACTAACAGCTTTGATAAGGTTGTTGACAGATTTCAGTACACTACACTACACTGTACTGTATTGTAGAGTTCGGCAAACAAAACCAAAACAGACCAAAACCAAAACCAAAACCAAAACACCAAAACAAACCAAAACTCAATTTGCATATAAATTAACATGTAAATTTAAAATCGTAAAATGCAAATTTTAATGTAAAATGCAAATTTGCCTTTCACTTTTTCTCACTCTCCAAAATCTCGCGGCCGAAAAAAGGACCAAAAAACGACCTCGAAATTTCTATGGGATAGATTTTTGGACGCTGATTTCAAATCTGCAAACAGACTTTCGCTAGCTCCTCCCAATCGCGAGATATTGGCGAATTTTGGTTAGTTTTGGTTTTGGTTTTGGGTTGTTTTGGTTTTGGTTTTGGTTTTGGTTTGTTTTCCGAAGTCTACTGTATTTTACATGATAAAGATTGAAAAAGAAAGCCTAATAAATATAAAAGAAACCATTGATTTCATTTTCATCACTCTCATCATCGGTTTCCACTGCTTTTCGTGCTTTTCGCCCTTTTTTCTTCTCACTTCCACGACTTCCAGTCGAACCGCGTTTTCGGCTTTTCTGCAAAACTCTCATCATCTCAGCAAAACGCAATTTTTATCATTCTCGAAAATCTGGAGACATTAATTTTTAAGAATTTAATCTTCAAAATCTAAAAATCTTTGGGCAAAACGTGACAAGGTCATCGCTTTTATGATTTATTTAGAATGTTGCGCAAAATGTGGTTTAAGATCCCCTCTTTTGCTGTCAACAAGCGCAACCCTTTTTCCCAATACATTTTTTACAACTTTATCAACAATTTTCATCAAATTTTTAAAAGTTTTCACGTGTTTCTTTTACCGTTTTTTTGTAAAATCGAACCTGTTTCTCTTGGCTTGAGTTGAACTCGTCGACGAGCCGCTCGTCCAACACATTCTCCTCGGGTTCCCATGTATTATCGCTGAAAAGATTTTATGGATTACTGTAGCTACAATATTCTACAATATTCTTGTACAATTTAGTGCATATTTTAATGATTATGGTAGATTTTTGAGGGTTTACAATGCACTACAATGCACTACAATGCACTACCATAGCTCTCAAATGGGTTTGTCTTTCCCTTTCTTTCCCTACAGTAATCCCGGAAATCCCCGCTAATCCCAGAATTTCCTCAAATCGAAGAGACACCAAAAATAGCTTCATCAAAGATTTCTGCAAAAAAATAACTTATCAAATGTCAACAATTTTAAAGCAACATAATGTATCTCTCAAAAACTTACGAATCTTTCCATCCTTTCCATTTCACAAAGTACTGCACTTTGCCCTGAAATTTGAAAGTTAATAGCTTATCTTTTTTATCTTTTTGTTATTTGCTTAACTTTGTTCTAAATCTCTGACATATTTTATTCAAAAATGATTCGAAAAAGACAGATGGTGCTTTTTTCGCCCAAAGTGACGGGGTTACTGTATCCAAAGATGAAAGTAAAAGATATTCAAAGAGGAAAGAGGGGGAAAGGGGAAAAGGAAGAAAGGGGAAAAGGAGGAAAGGGGAAAAGGGGGGAAGGGGCAGTAGTCGAGGGGGATTGACCGATCAATAGTCGGCAAGACACACGGGGGTTCTTTTAGCTCTTTGCCCCTCTCTCCACTCGCAAATGGATGTCGGGGCGATTTGTGATGAATGAATGTGGTCTCTCTTAGTTCTCTGCGTCTATCTTGCCTTTAGTTCCTTAGTCTTTAGTTCCCTAGAGCCTCTTCGTCTCTTCTTCTCTTCTTCTATTCAACCCCATATAGTATGCGTTCTCTCCCCCCTCACACCCATCACAATGCGCGCCATTTTGCCTGAATTCGGCAATGGTCTTCTTCTTCTTCTTCTTCTTCCTCTTCTTCCTCTTCTTCCTCTTCTTCTTCCTCGTCTCCTCTCCGTTTTAGAACCGATTCTCTATGACAATTTTTGCGTACCTCGTAAATTTCCTTACATTTCCTTACAAATCGCTTTTTATAGCTTAATCAAAATTCAAATTCAAAATTTCAGAGTGTGAAGAGAAAAGAGTAAAGATTTTGATAAAAAAAAAAGATTGAATGGAAAGAGAAACAATTTTCAAACAATAAACAACAATATTCAAAAGATCAAAAAAGAGCAAAAAAGATCAATAACAAGGTACAAAAGTCGAAAAAGGTTTGTTTGTCAAAACTTTTGCAACAATTTCCCCAAAACGCGATGTGAAGTTATCGATGTTTTAATTAAATGCGTAAATATTCGATGCGGGTGTCATTTTTTTTTGCGATCTCTTTCGCAAAGCTCATTTTGTTTGAGAGATGGGATGAAGGGAAAAGGGTGGGGGTCTGCACACATACACATATCGATTATTTACCCCCTCAGCTCTCTCACATCAACAACCCGCTTTACTATAGCTTTAAATAATAAAATATAAACATCTTTATTTCATAAAGTTTTCTCAAAATACCCAAAATCCCCTTGTAAAACGGTAAAACGATGAAAGATTACTGTTCAAAAGGTCGCAGCATCCCAAAAATAGAACGATGAAAATGATTAAAGAAAATGATTGGATTAAAAGGATTAGTTTATTTTTAGATTCGAAATAAACTTCTCAAGCTCTCAAGTTTTTCATCTTTGCTAAATCCTGAGGATTTCAGCCAGGATTAAGACGATTTTCTTCACTAAATAGTTCATTTCTAAAGTCTCCAAATCCGGCAAAAATCCGGAGGAAAACTTTCAACAAAAGAACAAAAGAAACAGATAAAAACAAGCACAAAAGCTTTTGAATTTAGGGCGAAAAAAGAAAAGTGGTGAAAAAATACAAATTCTAATTTAAAAAAACAAAAAATTCACTAACCTTAACCACCCGTCGCTTGAGCAACTTCTCCACCGTAAATACATCGTCCGCCATTTTTGAGTGTAGATAAAAAAAGAGCTAAGAAATAGGAATTGTTTATAAATATAAGTGGACGTCTAGTCAGACGAAAAGAGGAAAAAAGGGGGGGGGTCTCGTAGTTGAGCACGCAGAGGGAGCCCGCGCCATGCCTCTCTCCATTCTTTGCACACCTCATCCCTCTCCACAACACCCTGTCACTCTCTTTTTTCACTTTTTTTCTCTAAATCTCCTCTTTTTCTTTTTTCTTTCTCTTTTTCACTACATCATTACACCGTATCCCATTGCTGTTTCCACTTTACAACTCTTCACTCTTTCCTCTTGCATTTTATGTTATCAGCTGTTCAAATTTCGTTCATTTCGTTCAATTTAACGAAATGATTCAAGATATCTCAAAATTTACCTTAAAAATCAAAAAAGTTTAAAAGTGATTTGGATTTCTAATTGATTACTGAAGATTTCAGATTTCTAGGGAAATACTAGGGAAATAGAAAAACGTTTTTAGTGGAAGCATTGATTGGACTGGACTAAAGGATTTGAATGGAAAGGACTAAGGGAAAAGAGGCTAAGGGATGAAGGGAGTTGATGAAAGAAGGGTGAAAGAAGAGTGAAAGAAGAATGAAAGAAGAGTGAAAGAGAAGGGGTAAAAGAAAAGCCCGAGGTCGAGTACCGTAATTGCTCTCTCCACTCGAAAAGATCCGCCCATCGGGCGGCACCAATTGGTGGGGGAGAAATGAGAAATGCGAGAGAGTGACTTTTTCGAGGAGGTTTCCGACAAAAAGCGGTCGTCACGCGTCGTCTCGCGTCGCGTCTTCTCCCCCATCGCTCCACCCATTTCATTCTACTGTGGGCCGTACTCCGCCACACTTTGCATCCCGTTTTATCGTCGTTCTAGCTGTGCCATCTTTACCACTCTGCACTATATTTTCTTGTTTTTCTCATCGTTTTTTGATCTTATAAAAGTTTATTTTATTTATACGAACTGCAATTTCATTTTTCTATTTTTCGTAAACTAGAATTTAAAGCTTTAGCTTTGAAGCGTTGGCTTTAAAGCTTAGCTTTGAAGCGTTGGCTTTGAAGCTTTGGCTTTAAAGTTTAGCTTTAAAGTTTAGCTTTCAAGCTCAACTTTAACGCTTTAAACTAAAGTCCAAACAAGTACGGTAGTTTTATGAAGTATGTTTGGCAATGGGTGAAGGAAAAAAGGGGAAAGGGGGAAAAGAAAAGAGCAAAAGAGAAGGCTAGAGTGGGGAAACGATCGATGCTTGGTAATCGGGGGAAATGGGGAAAAAGGAAAGGGTAGAAGAGAGAAAAGGAGAAAGAATTGGGGTAGAAAGAGACCTCGACACAGCACACATATAGGAGAGGCAATGCTCTCCCCCCCGCCCTACAAAACCCTTCCATATCTCTATACGGTGGCTTTTTTCTCAACGTTTTTTTGTTTCCCGTTTACCCGTGTGTCCGTCAATTTCATCCGTTTGTTTGCTGCGCTTTTCGGCGTGCTGACAGCTGCTTATCTATTCTCTTCTTCGTCTACATTTCAGTCTCTTTCCCATCTCTTCCTTTTTTAGTTTTTCCTAGATTATTTCCGTATTTCGATCGGAATTTTTCTTCTCTCCACCCCGAATTTTCCCCGTAGCGATTTTCTCTTTCTCTAAAAACCCTGTTATTTCTTTCTTTTTCCTTTTCCTCTCACAGAAATCGATGCGTCGATCAGCCCCGTTTGCTGATTAACACGCTTTTTTTTCTGTATACTGTAAAGGAAAAAAAGAAAGAAATTTGTTCTCTTGGAATGAAAAGAAAGGAATGAAAAGTTTTGAACTTTTTAGAGCCCGATTTTGAATGAATAAAACATTTCTTTAGACTTTTTCTATTATTCTTTTTCTATTATTCTTTTTCTTTTATTCATTTGATTCCTTTAAACAATCTTTTTTTTGAATGTTGATGATGAAAAGCTTAGAAATGGAAGATGGGAGCGGTGGAGATGGTAGTTCGGAGAGTGAAGCAATGGGTGGTGTCGAGTGTGCACTGTGCTCACAACCGCCAATCGATCCGCTTAGCGTTCTCGTTTGTGGACATCATTGTAAGCTTTCTCATAAATCTAAATCTCTTTTTTTTTTTTCAGTTTGCAAAGAGTGTTTCCAAAGAGAGCCAAGCTCGTCAACGAGATGTCCTGAATGTGGTGTCGAGGTTAGTTCTTAATCAATTCTTAATCAATCAGTTAGTTCTTAATCAATCTATCAATCAATCAATCTATCAATCTATTTAAGTTATTTAAGAATTTCCAAAAATGTTATAGAATTGAGTATCTGTTCTCAGCTTTTGAAACTATTTTCTATGCAACTTTCTAAATCAATCAATCAATCAATCAATCTATCTATCAATAAATCAATCAATCTTCTCATTCTTGAATGAAACAAATTCAATTTAACATTTAAATTTAGATTGATGATGATGATGTTCGAATAATGGATGAAGCTATGCAACAAATTATTTTCCAGCTCTATCCACAAACTTTCTTTGTTACTTTGGAAAAACGAAGGAAATTTCTCAGGGATGAGTCTCAAGAGAATATTTATCCAAGGTTTAAAAAGCTTCTTTTTAAAAGTTTATCTTTGGGAATTCTAGTTGGTTATTGGATAATTTGGAAACAACATATGATCCCGAAGAGAAAGTGATTGTTGAAGTGAAATGGGTGAGCTGGCCTGATTGGGAACAACTCACAAATGTTGGAAAGAAGCGAAAGATTGAAGAGGTTGTAGAAGCTAGTTTTTTTAAAGTTTATCAAAAAAAACAATGGATATTTATCCAAGGTTTAAAAACAATGGATATATTTTGTAATCTAAATTTTCAGCATTCAATCGACAACGAGCGACCGTCCTCTTCAAATTCCCCTTGTCATGTACAGCTTTCTGAATCAACTGTGAGTTGAAATAAAATCCCTTGAAACATTGATTCATTCTCCTTTTTTTAGATCTCCATTTTACCAACAACATTTCGTCGTTATTTTCGACTTCCCGCCAAGTCAACTGTTTCAAGTTTAGCGAAAATTCTTGAACAGAAACTTGAAGCGCCTACAAAAAACTCATTTGTACATTTCTTTTCACCATGTTTTCAAAAGGTAATCAATTTTTAACTATTCTTTAATCTTTAACTAATCTTTAAAGCCTTTAACTAATCTTTAAAGTCTTTAACTAATCTTTAACGATTCTTTTATCTTTAACTATTCTTTAGCTATTCTTTAAAGTCTTTAACTAATCTTTAACTATTCTTTTATCTTTAACTATTCTTTAACTATTCTTTAACTATTCTTTAAAGTCTTTAAAGTATCAAAAAAACTTTCAGATCGTTGAACCAAACACAAAATTTGGTGACATAATGCTTCAACAGAAAGGTGGACGTTTTCGAAGGGTTAAACTCGCCTTTGTTTGCGTTCAGGTAAAAGAAAAACCCCAAGAAAGAAGCCAATGATTTTTTAGGATTCCCTAAAAGATGAACTAGAACCAGAGCTAGGAGTTGAAGCAATGCCTATCTTGGAGGTGGAATCAAGCGGTGAAGAAGCTGTCCCACCAGTGCCCGCGCTTGACCATCGTCCCCTCACTCCCACCGATCCATTGTCCATCACATTTCCATCAAAACGACAATTTGGTAAATGATTTATCAGAATTTCTGAAGTAATTTTGTATTTTAGCTAATGCTGACGGATTTCCGAAAAAGTTGCTTCAAGCGGCAATGCCGAGAAAACGGAGAAAGCCGTCAAGTCCGACAAAGAGAATCCCTGAGACGGGCACACCTCCACCAATCATTCAAACCAACCCATCAAGCAGTACAAATCTTGGTAATAAAGGGTAAAACTAGAAAATTTAGATAAAAATTTAGGATCAACTACCTCATTGGAAGCACTCAGCGAGATGCCAAGCCCATTAGGTCCACCAAAGATTCTCAACTCTTCAATGGGAACACAAGTCGCCGGTCCTTCAATTCTTCATCCACCAATTACCGGCCCGATTCCACGACCACCAAAAGTCAGTGTTTTATATTTTTAATAGAATTAAACTGTTAAATTGTTGTTTGTTGTTGTTAAATATTGTTAAACAGCATTGTTCTTTCAGCCGAAAACCCTTTTGGGACACGGCGATGGAATGCCGACTGGGATTCATGGCCTCAGGGTTGGTAAAGAGACAAGATTTTAATGTAAAACGAATTTCTGAAGACTGTATAAGATGATAGAGATAAATGCTTGTGTATTTCTAGCCGGGAGTCCTGCCGATGGGTGCTCCGATGTTGAACGGGCAAAAGATGGCGGCTGCAGGAGAGCATCGTTTGCCCACTACGCAAAAAGTCTCGATTACGGTTTGTTTAGAAATATCTAGTTTCTAGATTCTAGCTTCTAAATACCCTAATCAAGACAAATTACCCTTTATGATAAAAATTCAGTCAACTCCTCTTGCGACGGCACAACAGCAAATGCAGAACTACAATCTCAAACTGTGCAGAATATGATGGCGAACATGTACAACTCGAATTTTAATCAAATGCTATATGTAAGTAAAAATCTATAGCTTTAATAAAGTAAAGAAATGAATGGCAAAAAAGATTTTTGAACCAAAGGGAATTGAACCCTCGACCTTCTGCTTACCTTTCGCTTACCAGGCAGATGCTCTACCACTGAGCTATCAGCGCCTGCTTTGCCCTTTTAAAATAGGAAACACAAGGAAGAAGAAAGAGAGACTCTTCAGAAAATTTAAGTAATCTTTCTTCAGATGATGCAACATCAGCAACAGCTCCAACCGCAGCAGCAGGCGGCGGCCGCACAAGCAAAGAAATCGCCTTAATCGTCAATCCACCGCTTTCCCGATGCCTGTACCCGGTTTTCCGCAAATCACCGAGCAAATGTACACTCAATTCAGGTAAAGGAGAAGATATTAAGAAGAAAATTATCATATAACTTATCAGTAAAGAGTTTGAAAAGGCACAAGTGTTTAAATCTTGAAATAAAGAAGTGAAGGAATTAAGATAAGAGATTTCTGGAAATGGGATTGAACCCTGAAAGCTTTTGCTTTAGGGTTCAATCAGGCTCTCCCCGGGCAGCAATGCTCTAACCACTGAGCTATACTGAGAAGGGACTGGGAGACTTTTGAATTTGATCAGTTTTAGCTTAACTCGCCGAGAGAAAGAAAGAATACAAGGGGAAAGAGAAAGAAAGAAAGAAAGAAAGAAGGAACTGGGGGACCTTTGGATTTGATCATTACATCAGTTTTAGTTTTAACTCTAATCTTATAACCTTGCCCAATAAATCCAATCAAAACTGAGCACCAAGATCTTTCAGAGTGGCCGAACAACAAGCAGTTGCAGCTCGAACAGCGTCTCAAGATGCGCCTTCAGCACTCGCATCTCCCCCTTCAAATCCTCTTTTCCCCGTGCGTCAAATACAACTCGTAAACGGGCACACAAACGGTGGATCTCCGTAGTTTGATTGATTTATTTCATTTATTCGCATTAGATAAGCAAACTAATCTTTCCTCCAATCATTCCCTCTTTTTACAATTTTTTACAATATTCAAACTCTAATATCATCATCGATTTAATCCTTTTCCCCTTTTCAACCGATTTCCATTCATTTCATTTCAATTCTTTTCCCCCGTTCCACAAAATCACGTGCCATATGTGTCTCTTTTTTCGCAGATGCCTTTGTCTGCTCAGATAACAAAAAAAATAAAAATCCTATTTCCGTCAAAAAACGATTTTTAGTCATGTCAATTTTTTTTCTTTCTTCTCTATTTTATAGCTTGAAAGCTTGAAAGCTTGAAAGCTAAAGCAAAGCTTGAAATAGAAACGCAAAAAATCTGGCGCAATGAAATAGCTGAAAATTATGCTCTGAGCTCTGTGAAAGCGCAAAATTCATCTAGATTTAAGCTATAAAACTTTAATTAAACTTTATGCTCTTTACGCCAGATTTTTAGCGTTTACACTCAAGTATTCCGAGTGTAAACCCAATACCGTATTTTCTTATTTTCTCTAATAGTAGTGCGCACCGGCGAGCCGAGTTGGTGACTATTTTATGGTTTCCAAGCTTTTGCAGAAGCTCAACACTCAAATCCCCCCAAAAGATCTGATCGTCAGCTACATTTTCCGATCCCACATCGATAGGTTCTGATAAGCGCTTTTCGAGCTTTCGAGCAATTTAGGAAAAGCTTAGGGTGCACTACTATTAGAGAAAAAACGGTATATTCTGGAATAGATCTTTAGCGTTTACACTCAAGTATTTCGAGTGTAAACCCAATAACGTATTTTTTCTAATAGTAGTGCACCCCGGCGAGCCGAGTTGGTGACTATTTTACGGTTTCCAAGCTTTTGCAGAAGCTCAACACTCAAATCCCCCAAAAGATCTCATCGTCAGCTACATTTTTCGACCCAACATCGATTGGCTCTTAAGCGCTTTTCGAGATTTCGAGGAATTTAGGAAAAGTAGGTGCACTACTATTAGAGAAAATACGGTAAACAAATGCAATTCCCCGTGTGTTCATGTGATTTCGTGTAGTCAAGAAAAAGGAAAACAAAAATAATGGATTCTTTGCGCATTTTTTGCTGTTATTGTTGAATTTCTTTTTATTTTTCACACTTGTCAAATAATTTCCTCAAATTTTTGCACAAAAAAATTGATCTTTTTTTGCCTTGAAGAATAATGTGTTCAAAAATAGGTTTTATTTTGCCAAAAGTCTTGATTATTGCCAAGATTTCTTTCTTATTTTTCTTTTTCTTTAAGCTTTTATTAAGCCTTAACAAAATTAGTTTGTTTTTTTTTTCTTTTTGAGCTTCACAAAGTCTAATTTTTTTTTTGATTTATTTTAGATTTTGGTAATGCCGATTTTCAATGCGGGCTTTTTTTTGTACAGTTTTTTTTTTCGAATTATTGATTTCAGATTTATATAGAGCATAAAGTGTTTGAGTTTTTTTTGATTTTTAATTTTTTTAAAGAAAATTTCCACAACAATGCAACAATGATATATATGCTTTATTCAGTTGAATAGCGACAAAACAAAATCACAATAATTACCCGGGACACCACTCAAAACACACCCAAAAGATAAAAAAGATACCTCAAGAAAGAATCACAGAGTAGTCAAGACAATCGCCGAAATTGCGGCTTTAAATCTAGGCAAGATAGGAATATAGAGATCAAGATCATCTAAAGATAATTTAAAGGTTTCGAGACTATTGGACTCTCTTAAATCTCTGAGGAGTTGATTCCAAATTCTGGTAGTTCTGGCAGGAAAAGAGTTAGACAAAAAGTTATTGGGGGTTACTGGAGTTTTTATAAAACGAAAGAACTATATATACTTATATATGCTTTAATCAGTTGAATAGCGACAAAACAAAATCACAATAATTACCCGGGACACCACTCAAAACACACCCAAAAGATAAAAAAGATACCTCAAGAAAGAATCAAAAATGATCACAAAAAAAAGCACGATTAGGTTTTAAAAAGTAAAAGTTTGATTTCTTTTTATACAGTAATCGACTTTAGAAAGCTACAAGTAGTGCAATTGCAATGATTTTGAAAAAGAATCTAACAAAGTAGGAGAGTTTTTGAATCTGAATCTAACAAAGTCTGTAAAAGACAATTGAATCTGACAAAGACAAAGACAAAAGACAAATCTGACAAAGACAAAGATAAAAGACAAATCTGACAAAGACAAAGACAAAAGATAAATCTGACAAAGACAATTGAATCTAACAAAGTAGGAGAGTTTTTTTTTATTAAATTCGAGTGTTGCCTTGAGTTGCTTAGCTTCTCTTCGATTCGATCCATCAAGTAAAGAAAAGAGATTCGTTTTTCTTTCATTTTCTCTCATATTTTCCCAGCTGCTCTCTCTTTTGGTCAAAGTGAAAGATTTGTTCGTTGAGTGAATGAGAAAATAGTATGAGGAATGAAGAGAGGTGAAAAATCGGGGGGTTGAATGAGCAGAACAGAACAGACTGACCTCTGGCGATCAGCCATTTTCCTGTGATTCTACTGTATTTCTCAATAGTCTTCTTTACTCAAAAACTTTAGCTTATTTATGATTAGATTCATGGTTTTCATAATCTACTAAAGAAAAAAAAAGTAAAAGACTTGAAATAAGGTGAAAATTTAGAAACACTTTCAGTTGACTGATTTCAGTTAACTGAAATCAACGAATTTCAACTGAATCAAGTAAAAAAAATTTATCAAAACGATAATCTAAAGTTCTAAAGTTCTAAAATAATCTAAATTTTATTTTAATCGTAATCTAAAGTCTATTTTATTACTCGGTAAAACTATCGACAATCTATTTACTGAAATAGGAAATTCCGGGAAATTAAGCCCGGAAATTTGAGGGGAAATGATTTCGAAAATTGTAACAAATTCATAAAAGATTATATTGAGACACCAGGTGCTATTTAAAGAGAAAGGCAACCCTAATAACCTTTATAGTACGGCTGGGGAGAGGCTACCGTAATCCGCGGATCGAGCGAGTCATGTCGGGGTGAGAAATGACGTATTCGGAGTGCATTGTTTCATCTTTTTCCTCTTAAAATTGCCGATTTGCCTTTAAAATCAGCCGATCGTACCTAAAAGAGCTTTCTTTTTTGGTTTTGGTTTGTTCTTTGTTCAAGTTCTTTTAAAACCCCAGAGAAAAAACAAAGGTACTAATGAGTGAGCATCAAGGTTCTAAAAAAGGAAAATATTTTTTTTTCTTATCGCTACTCTGATTGTCAAGTGATTCTAATTTATTTAAAAATAAAGTAGAATATAATTGATATCGGGGTGAGAAATGACGTATTCGGAGTCCATTGTTTCATCTTTTTTCCCTTAAAATTGCCGATTTGCCTTTAAAATCAGCCGATTTTATATAAAAGAGCTTTTTTTTTGGTTCTGGTTTGTTCAAGTTCTTTTAAAGTTCAAGTTCTTTAAAAGATCTTGTTCAAGTTCTTTAAAAGATCTTGTTCAAGTTCTTTAAAAGATCTTGTTCAAGTTCTTTTAAAAACCCCAGAGAAAAAACAAAGGTACTAATGAGTGAATATCAAAGTTCTAAAAAAGAGAATAATTTTTTTTCTTATCTCTGATTTTCAAGTGATTCTAATTTATTTAAAAATAAAGTAGAATATAATTTCTTGAATTAAAATGCGATAAATGGAGAGTGAAATTCGAGATTTGACGGTAAATTCCGGTGAAATAGAGTGTTAAATAAAAATGAATAGAGAAATCGAAACGTTTGATGAAAGGGCGCGTTGGAAAGGTCAAATTTTTGTTTTGTGTAAAGCCGAATAGAGGAATAACATGTTCTTTTTTTGTCTTTTTCTTTTCAATGATTCATCTCATCTTTTGCCATCTTTGATATTTCTTTGATATTTCCCCATCTTTCCCCCTTCATTCACCGTTTTTTATTTTCACAGATTTGTTTTTTTTTGCTAAATTTTCAAGAAGCATTTCGAGCGGTGTAAACTTTTTCAAAAGCTTGAGCTTACTCTAG